ATAGCTGATGAAAGCAAAGCCCTTGGCCCGCTGTGTCTCGCGGTCCCGGGCAAGGAAAACTCTGGTGACACGTCCGAACCGCTCGAAAAGATCCCGCAACTCTTGCTCCTCTGCCAACTCGCTGACCTGTAGGCGAACAAAGAGATAGGTGTCAGTAGGAGTCTCCGAAAGAAAGAGATATCTGGGCGTGGGACGGAAACACATACGTTTGTAACTCTGAGAGTGGCCAGATCGTCCTTCTCGAAGCGGCCGCCCATCTTGTCGCCGCCACCAGAACCGCCATTGCGCATGTGAGGGGGAACGTAGCTGGACTTGCCAGCACCCAGACCACCGGCATCGGCCTCGCCTGTATCCGCCGCACCACCAGCAGTGGGCTCCTCCACGGGGGCCATGGTGTCCTTGAAGGGACAGCGCGCAGTGAAATGCTCTCCGGAACAAATACGACACTTAACCTTCTTGTCCTTGAGCTGATCCTTCATGCTGCCCTTCTCGCCGCCCTCCTTCTCAGCCTCCTTGGCCTGAGCCTTCCAGTTGGTGCTGGGACGGAAAACGATGTTCTCACCGACGGAGGTGGTATCGAAAGAAGGACCGGCGGGGTGGCCCTTCTCGTTGCCGAACTTGGGCCACGATCGGCGCTCAGCGACCTGGGGGTTGACATTCTCACGAACAATGGTGGTCTTGATGCGGCGGGTGACCTTGACCTTCTTGTTATCGTCGTTGAAGCGGTATGAGATCACGGTCTTGGTGCCATCTTTGTTGGTAATAACTTGTTGCGCGGGGAGAGCGGAGGGGTCGTCAAATTCTTCGTCGTCCGCCCAGTCGGCGCGGCTGTTAAGAAATGAAAAGACTTGGTTAGTGGAGACTTGAAATTTGGATGGAAAGCATATACTCACTTCCCGGATCGAGACATGATGTGTGTTGTGATGTGGTGTTGCGGCAACAGCTGAATTTCTGGGATTTCTTCAAAGGTGAATCCGTTGTGGATTTAATTCGCGGCGCGGCGATTTTGCTGTGGCGCAGCCCCGTGGCTGGTGCCAGGCACCCACGTGACTCACAATTGCCCCAGTGCGCCCAGTCAAGATATTTGACTCACACAACCTTGCAATTAATTCTTTATTGGTTATTCAAAGGACTGACCGATAATATAGATTTGGATTGACTCATAATTCTCCTTATATATGACTAGATAAAATGGTGGAGTCAACTGCAAAAAGAATGGCATCTTCAACTCGGTCTTTCGGCCTTCCTATACGAGATATGATGAGTCAAAACAACGGAAAATGGAAAAACCCGAGCTGTTTTTGGTCGTTTGAATTTCCATGATACTCAGCTCATTTCTTATTGGATGTGTTGGACAAGCTTTTACATGTATCAACCGCTATATACGAATAATATGACTATGTGTACTGATCATTCAACAAAAATATTAACAAAACACAATTCCATCAAGCAAATGTCAGACCGTTGGTGAGATCACCCATCATGGCTTTGTAAAGATCAACAAGATAGTGCACACGTGGGAGCCAAGGGCCCGAGTTTCCACATTTAGGCAGCTCACTCCCTCCCTGTACAACGTACGTCGAGGTCAATGCTAGAAGCGGACGATAGCCTATCGTCTTGGCATCTACACCTCCTGGAACAACACTTCTGTGACCTTGAGCCTGCATGTATTTGAACAGACGACAAAACAGCCGTGCGGCGGTATCAGCCCCCAGGGTCCAGGACGCATTGACATATCCCACCACAAAAACCAGGTTGGGAACGTCTTGGATCAACGCGTTATTCCAGGCATATTTATCGCCGATTGCGATCTTTTCGTTGTCCACACTGATCCGTACGCCTCCCAATACTTTCATCTTGAGCCCCGTTGCAGTCACAATAACATCGGCTTTCAGCTTTTCACCAGAGTAGAGAATGACACCATCCTTCACCACTTGACGGATGGTCCCAGTGGCCACATCAGCCTTGCCGTCCCGGATGGGCTCGAAGAAGTCACCATCAGGGGTGAAGCATACACGCTGGTCCCAGGGTTTATACCTTGGGGTGAAGTGTGGGTCGATGGGAACGGTTTCTGGCAGCTGCTTCTTAGCACCATTTTGCAGCATATTTCTTGAGTAATTCGGAAAGAATCGACAGAAATAGTAGAAAACGGCGGGAACAAGAATCAAGAAGAGCCGAGTGAGCTGGATTGCGAGAGCCTGAGGTAAGAAGCTGAGCTTTGAGGGCGTATTTTCGATTTTCAGGAGATAACTTGGGCTGCGTTGCAGCATTGTAACATGTGCAGCTTTCTTTGCCAGGGTTGGTAGAAGAGTAATTGCAGTTGCGCCACTTCCGATAATGATGATGTTCTTCTGCGAATAATCAAAATCTTCGGGCCAAAATTGAGGATGGATGACAGGGCCAGCAAAGTTCTCGATTTCCGGGATCGGTGCTGGGAGTGCTTTATCGTAGTCATAATACCCAGTGCCCATGATGATGAACTTGGATTTGAAGTAGACTGTATCCCCATTGCCGTTAATTGCAGACAGTGTCCATTTCTGCTCTTTGGTCGACCAATCCGCTGCTGTAATTTGCTGCTTAAATCGAATGTGCTGATCGATTCCCGTTTCAGAAACAGCCTCTTGGATATATTCCATGATCAGTGGAGCTGTTGCAATCAGCTTGCCCGCTTTCCAAGGTTTCCAAGGAAAACCAAAAGTATAGAGATCAGAGTCAGATCTTAGACCGGGGTACCGGAAGAAACTCCATGTTCCTCCAATCTCTTCTCGTGCGTCGAGTACCACATAGCGAGCAGATGGCAGCTCAGTTTGGACCCTGTAAGCTGCATTGATTCCAGAAATCCCAGCTCCAATGATTACGACATCAAGTTCCTCCATGATCGGTTGCCGCTGCCCTTGTATCTTGACAGAGCTGGGCAAATAAGGAAAGACGGTCGCCCCTTACAACCAGGATACGAGGTTGGCGAATCAGCTTGGCCGAGGTCCTGGGCATTGGATTAGCTCGAAACGGTGCTTGGATGGGGTAGTGATTATCTGAGCAACTCACAAATTGGGGTCTATATTCGTGGTAAACCCCGAAATGGAGATTGAGATTTGCTCGGGTGTGCTGCCGATGACTCCCCGACGGGTGGAGGAAGCTCGGATACCCAAGAACAGGGAGAATAGTAAACGTAAACACTTAGTTAACTATGGGTCTGGCAAATTCGAATCCGAGAACACCAAAATATTGCGCAGTCTGCTCAGGGTAAAAAAAACCAAAAAAAAAAAAACCCCAAATCGGTTGAGAATATATTCCTGGTAAAATTCGAGAAAAGAGATGTTTTCTCGACTGGGGATTCCTGGAAGAGGCCAGCTGAAGATGCTGACAGGCGGGGGGCCTAATCCGGCCATCTCCGAATAGAACCACGCTACCCTAGTTCACCGCTTTGGGGGCCACCCTCTCTTATACTTGGACATGGGCGCCTAATCAGCTGTTTTATTCATCATACCAATAATAATCACTGGCAAATTTCTAGACCATCGGCCCGTAATCAATACCCACATGAGTCTTCGCCCAATCACCCAATTTGAAGTTTTGACGAGATTCAATCTTAAAAAAGTGGTACCTATATAGACTTTGATATAGATCCCGCAGCCTAAGAATTGATGAAAAGACATCCCCGATGACCGCTCACGATATTGTACTAGTAGTAATGTACCTAAGTCTTCAAGTTCTAAGGTTCAAGTTGTTCCATGATTTCGACATCCCCCTCCACTTTGCAATCAACTCTTCCTATCAATAAAATCATGAGCGATCGAGAGATCTTAGCCGAGGCTTGTCTCTTGTGGTGAGCGAGAGATACTATCGAGACTCGTGTCAGTGGGAAAAGCTGAGGCAATGCTACCACCCTGATGCCTCCCAAACGGACATAGATATCACTTGGTAGGAATCACAACTCTAGCTACACCTTTCCTTCTGCCAATAGATATTAATGCATGAATAGGTACCAAGGCGACATCGATGGCTCTGTTCAGGGATCCAATGCCATTCACAACATAATGCCTGCTGAAATAACAATCAACTACTTGAAGGCCTTCTCCATATCGGTCGGGGAGCATCACCAGCCGCTTCACTCGGGACGGAGTGAAGTATGAACTTGTGTCGAATTGTCGGTTTCTTTCTAGACTGGAAATGTTCAAAGCTCAATTTTGCCAGATGTGGAAGATGCTGAGTATGGAGGTCATTTACGTTAATGACAAAATATCTCCCGTTTTGCCACTCTCGGGTCCCGCAGATTTCAAAGGCGCGGGTGACTTTCCAAGGCAGAGCTATAAAATTTTTAGCATATTGCTTGAGCCAGAAGGGATACTAGGCAAAGCAAGACCTACCTGATCCCGATGATAATCGCCTTGTTCCGGAAGTTTTGACTAGAAATTTGTCTTGGTTGAAAGCTTGATTAATAGAGACTGGCCTTGCTTGCGGATTCAATTCTACGCCGAAATTAGAGCTGTTAGTTAAAATTGATATACTTTGGTGTGCTGCCACAATGTGTTGAGTAATTTATGCACTATTACTCTGAGACGCCATCGAAAGACTCGGATGGCACTAGTAAATTAGTGCATTGGTCTAGCACATAGAACCTCCCTATCGATGCTTTGAGCTTTGTGGTCCCCAGATAGATGATTTAGTAGAGCCCCACTGCAGTGGTGGAATCACCCACTAGGGCAAATATCCCGGACAGCCAATTCTGAGCATTTTAAAAAGAGAATGATGCACTAGTAAATTTTCAAGAAACGGGGATAATCTGGGGTTGTGGGGGAAGTGGGCCTATCTAGAATGCGGGGAACTATTGGAATTACCGATCTATACCCAGACGCGCTAATGCTGCAGTCTAAAGGCGCTGCTAGTGCGAGTACAAGATTAAAGCAAAATAGATTCCCGCTTTGGACAGAATTTCTCCAAACATTGAATTTCCTAGCTTCACGTAATTGATATCAACGGAAATCTCTTATGCTCTGCCAATGTCGTTGACAGAGAAAGACCCTGGGGGCTGCCCACCAGTGCTAGAGGTTGAATATGCAGCAAATGCACCAGATACGGCCGCAAAACACCCGGAAAACTTGGCCTACGTGGAAAATGAAGAACCGAAGCTGCATATGTCGACATACCTTGCACTGGCGGCTATGTTTCTACTAAATCTTGTGCAAATTTTTGGCCTGATGGGTCCTCCAGCAGCGGTAAGTCTTCATATTGAACTCAAGATTTTCCTCAACAAGAACCCTATTGACAAGCATAATTTCACCACAGCTCTCGTTCATTGAAGCCGATTTGAAGAATACGGCGGCCGGCACTTGGGTTCCGAACTCTCTTTCACTTGTTCAAGCCGTCTTGGCCCCCCCTTATCTCCTCCGCCTCGGATACATTTCAAGCGCGCAAAGAGCTTCTAGTTGGACCTGCAGTTATAGCATTCGTGGGATCTGCGATTGCCCCTGGCTCTACTAGCATCTATCGGCTTATCGCCGCTCAGATTCTGATTGGATTTGGCTTCGCTACTGTGCCCCTGGCATATTGTGTTCCGAGCGAAATTCTTCCTCGAAAATGGCGGCCTAGTAAGGAACTGACTTACTATTGCTTCTTCTGATTAGTATCACTGCTAAATTATTATAGTGGCCCAAGCGGGAATGAATGTCGCTGCAGCTTTGGGCGCATGCTCGGCGCCGCTCATCATCGGGGCCCTCACTAAAGCAAATGCCCACAATGGATGGCGAAACTTTTATGTAAGACTAAAGAATTACATGTGGAATGATTTGCTAATTCTGACTAGTGGCTTCAAATGGGACTTTGGGGGCTAACGGCAATATGTTTGTTTTTTGGCTATAAGCCTCCCAAACGCCACACGGACTTCGATCATTTATCATTGACACAGAAGATCGCACGTCTTGACTTGCCGGGATTTATGCTTCTTACTGCTGGTATAACCCTGCTTTTGACTGGTTTGAATCTGGGAGGTGGGTTATATGCGTGGGCTTCAGCTCCCGTGCTATCCACTATTATTATCGGTATCTTATGCCTCTTCTCATTTGGATTTTACGAATGGAAGGCCACGACGACTGGAATCCTCCATCATGAATTGTTCCGTGGAGGTAAAACTGGAGGACGCACATTTGCTCTGTGCGTTGGACTCATTTTTATTGAAGGAATCTTGCTTTTCTCATACACAATCTTCTATCCCGTCCTGTAAGTGGCGCCTCACATGTCTCAAGGTACAAGATAAGTACTAATTGCCACATATAGGACTACTGAGCTATTCACCAAAGATGCATTCTTACTAGCTGCTCGTGAACAGCCTTACTGGATCGCAGGCGGAATTGGCACAGTGATATATGGATATCTGAGCACGAGATTCCGGTCGATTCGAGCTCCACTATTCGTTGGGTTTCTACTCCTCACGGCGGGCATTGTCGGGCTTGCTACAGTTCAGCCAAAAGACGAAATAAGTGCATTGGCTTTCACAGGTCTCGCGGGTCTTGGATTTGGTGCTCCTCTTATACTTCTCATTGCCGCCGTGCAGCTATCAACGCCTCATCATCTGATTGCTACCGCAACTGCCGCCACGACTTGCTCTCGAGCAATCGCCTCCACCGTTTTCACTGCCATTTTCGCCGCTGCATTCAATGCTCGGGTTCAAAAGTTTATTCCTGAATATGTTTCTCGGGCTGTCCTTGACGCCGGACTCCCACCCAGTTCTGTTGAGAATTTTATCAAGGCCATCGCGGCTGGAGATGAATCCGCACTTAGCAGTGTCTCGGGTGTTGATAGTGGAATTCTCTCGGCGGGAACCAGCGCTGCTAAGCAGGCATATGCAGACAGCGTAAGAGTGGTATACATCATTGCAGCTCCGTTTGGTCTGCTGGCCTGCATCTGCTGCTTCTTCCTGGGTGATCTACGCTTGGCTATGAACTACGCTGTGGATGCTCCATTGGAGCCTTTACATCCCAGACATCATGACGAACAGACAGACAGTCCCTGAATACTAGCCATTTCCAGAGCCCATTGGATCATAATAGCCCCCATGTTCATCTCCCACATGAAAAGTATCTTGCCGAGGTGTTTCTGTTACCTCAATAGGTTTGTTGTAATATCGGAAATTTTGCTCGATCTCGCCTTCAACGTTCGCCGATCTGCAATCATAGCCTCTGCTGCATCGCACATGTCGAGGTCACTACGCTAAAAGGTACCGATGATAGAATAGGAATAAATGCTACGATTCTTACGATTTTGGAGATATTTCTTCCGTCAGTCTTCATTTCCATTCATTTTTTTTCAATGGTCAAAAGAACTTCCATACATTCTCACGGATAATTTCCTACCTGTCCCCTTGGTGATCATGCTTTCAAATTTTCCTCTCAAACTTCATCTAGCGCTAAGAAATCACCTGGAAACATGAAAATTTCTGGGTATTGACCACAAAATGTCCTAAGAATACTTTTACATTGGATGTTCTTTCCACCAAAGAACTTCTAGCTCCCAAGGGTGTTGCCGGATTGAATTGCTATAAGATTATCCTTAAAGCGACCAGTAATGTCAACCATACTAGGTATTTATCTCAGTCACCCGGTGACCTATAATGGGGCCAATCTAGCAGAAGCGTTCAAGGCATGAATGTAAAGAGTAATGCTGATGCAATTGATTGAGGCCATGCCTATGCACGCCAAACTGAATAAAACTAGTACTATGATCCAGTACAAACCGCTATATACACCCATAGAACAAATACAAATCAACGACCGAAGTAATGTAACTCGATCGGTCGCAAAGCACAATAGACCGTAAAGGAGAAGGCAAAAGCAAGCTCAAAGCCAACATCGCCATAAGAGGGAGACACGCCGGCATGCTTGGCAATAGGACCGATCCACCAAGTCTGACTCATACCAGTGACCACGCCCGCAACACCGAAGCAGAAGGCGATACTAGCAGCAATCCCAATGGGGAGCTTATTGGGCTTGTCGTAGTTCTCGGCATGGTAGCCGCCGAATCCACGCTTGAAGATAAAGTGGTCGGAAATGGTGATTCCAGAGTAAATGGCCAGCCAGTAGGCGATGAGGTTCATGAAATTCTCCAGAACGGTCTCGAAGTGCGAGTAGCCGGGGATAGCGATGGCGAGGGAGACACACGAAGCCAGGAAGGTCCAGACGAAACGAGGCACACGCTGGGTGTAGCGGTGCAGGACTTGCAGGGTCAGGGAGACGGAGTAGATGTTGGGACAGTTGTTGGCGATGATGGACAGCGCCAGGATGACGAGACAGAACTTGCCGAATCCGCCGACCGGGTCCAGCACAGCTCCGATCAGACCACCGTTACCAGACTCAAGGTAGCCAGCTGCGTACTTGTTGTCACCGCCATTAATGGCACTGGCAGAGTAGACAGCGATTCCCAGGAATTCGGTCAGGAGGAGAGGAACGATGAGACCCAGCCAGGTTGAGAAAAAGACCTTTTTGCGGCTGCGATCAGCAGGCTGGTAGACGGTATAATCAGCGGCATAGCTCGTCCAACCGGTGGCGAAGCCGTAGACGGTAGAACCGAAGGAAAGACAGGCTCCCATTTCTGAGGTGCCGGCCTGCATGGGGATGTTCTGGAAATCACCCGAGTGGGCAAAGAGACCTAGAACAATCATGAAGACGATGAAAGTAGGAATCCAACTCCATTTCTCGTAGGTGTGGACGACTTTATATCCGGCGAAAGTAACGAAGAGAGTGCAGAAGGTGATGATGAGGATACCAGCGTAACCCGGAACATCTTTATTGACAGCATTGAGAAGCTGGGCACCAACAATGGCGTTGGCGGCGGACCAGCCGATGCAGGCGATGACGTTGAGGACGGCGACTAGGAGGCGGCGGATTAGAATTGGGTTTCTCTCACGCGTGCACGATGCGCATGCTCTTGGGATACTCACTGATCTTCACGGGGTACCAGCCGAACCAGAAACGCGACAACACCATCTGTCGCAGACCAAAGGCAGGACCGAAGCACGAGAAGAAGCAAACGGTCAAGATTCCCAACAAATTGAAGAACAGGCAAACCAGGAAGGCATCAACCGTTCCTAGTCCGAAGAGGGATTTTCCGAGAACACCGATGGCGAAGGAACTAGAGACCATGTCTGCCGCTAGCCACTATAGAAGAGAGGAATTGGAGTCAGTGGGGGGGTGTTCTTTCTCAGGTGTGGCAAGTAAAGCAAAAAGACATACCATGCTGCCAATGTTGAAGTATGAGGTATCAGTGCGCTCGTTGTCAGGCACACGCTCGATACCACGCTGCTCGACATTGACCTTGCCAGCGAGGCGCTGGAGCTTTGCATACATGGAGTCACCATACTCGAAGCTCTCGCCAGGGACTGCGCCATCGCTGACATTGTCCTGGTAGTGGTCGTTGGCATTGTCGCTAGTCTCATTGCTGTGAGTTTCATAGGTGTTGTCGACGTGAGGCGCCTTCTCGACGTCACGAGACCCAAAACCGAATTTGGATCGCATCGTGGAAGTTGAAGTCCAAGTCCAAGTCCAAGTCAAACGTTACACGTTACACGTCAAGATCGGAAGTCGACCGAAAGGAGAATGAGTGCACGCGAGGAGCTTAAGAGCTTAAGAGTTAAGACTCAAGGCTCGGACTCAGGCTCAGCCCAAAGAGGGAGAATTGGAGGAGGATTGGAAAGAAGAAGGGAGACAGCTTCACATATCGAACTTTTTTTTTTCTTTTTTTGTGTTCCACGGCAAGGGGAGGATTTAATATACCAGCAAATGACCGCCAGTGAACCACAAAATTCCTGCAGTGGGCGCGTCGCCCCACTCGCGATGGCAGACTTTGCGTTCCGAGATAGGGCCCTCGTGGGAATTTTTCCAGAACACAAGCAAATGACAAGCTATGGGGATCCACTTGCGCTGACTTTGAGCCAGTCAGCCGTGGTGCACCGTCTTATCGCGAGTGGAACTGCTCCATCCTATGGTGCTGCCGACGCGAAACGCGAGGTCCCATCCATCGCTTCCGACTAAAGTGGGACTCCATCGGGGTTTTCCCACTGGCTGAATGCTTGAATACTTTCCCAAGGGCTGCCGCAGGTGGTCGGACCGCCGATAAGACCCGTGTGAGATAGTCCTACAGTTCTGTGTTAGTTCTATGTACAGAGTACAGAGTACAAAGTACACTTCCCACCGATATCATGGCTGCTGATAACATGCCCTGCAGGCTACCTTACCCTAGGTAAGCTTTGTACAGATCTTGTACCCATGCAGTACACATTGACGGAAGCCGCCGAACTGCGTTCACATTTGAACCCCACGAAAGCTTGAATTGACTTGACTGGTCATCCCTGCCACCTCCAGCTCTGGGGTCTCATCCAACACATGTTCTCCCCGCACGGGGGGTCCCTGCATCGCCCAACTCAAATTCAGTGTGGCAACACCATCCATACCTCCCGAGGTCCAGTCATCATCTGTTTAATCCCGAAAGCAGACGGGATATAGTGCGGAGAACCCTGGATCAAGAAGGTTGAGCCGGCTACGAGGGTGCCTCATGCACTTTCTCGCTCTAAGCCGACCGATTGCCAGCGGCATTAAAATCAATCTCCCGGATTCGCGTCAGAGAGCAGGTGCAGAAGCAGGCGCATCCTGGGCAGGGCTAGGGGTTTGATTCGTGATAGCGGAGATGACCATCCCATAGGGTTATCATAATCTATTCGTGTAATCGGGAGACAGCCCCGGATCTGCAACACTACCTGGCCCCTTTCTGGCATCATCCCCGGTCATGGGTATCCTCCTCGCTGCAAATCATAGCCCAGCTATTGGCTCTTATCGGCGGCGCAGCGAGTCCGACTCCTCCTATCGCTTCCACTTTGGGTCTCTCAGGCACTCTTCCCCAGGGCCCACGACTGACGTTGATCTGCATATTCTAGCTATGATCTTAGCTACGGTTTGCTTTTGACTCTCGATACGCTGCATATCGTCACTTGTTCTCCCTATATGGTGCCTATAGGCACGCTACGATCCCCTCGGTCGTCTCCGACCCCAGTGGTTATCGCTATTGATCTCCGTATCCAGAAACGTTCTGTTTTGAGATCTTCTTGATTACGGTTCGTGACGATCGATCTCCAGAATCTGAACCGACGGCTAATATGCCCAAGGATGAGGGCGACAGGGAACGATCTGCGGGAGATTCCATAGCTCTTGGTGGGCTGGTCGAGCAAGATGACACCATGCCCCCTTCCAAGGTTGCCCCTTTCTCTCGCATTCTGCCATCGCTACTTCTTTTTCCATGTCTTCCAGTTCCGTCAAGAGGAGAAGGGCCCCGGATACCCATTTCCATTCATCCCATAGATCTCTCCACATTCCAAATTTATCTTTGAATGGATTGATACGCAATATCATCTAGATTAGCACACCTCTAGCCATAATCAACGCCGGGTTATTGCATTCCACTCGCTATCTTTCCATGTCAAATGGGATTACGTACAATCGCACCCAGCCCATTATAATTGATCTCAAACAAAGGATTCAAACAAACGCGAGCCTTTCATTCCAAGGTTGGCACTGCATGGTGATGATTTGATCCAAGCCGAGGCTTTCAAGAGTGGTCAGATAGCACCGCTCTGGACCCGTTCTCTACTAGTGATACTAAATACAGTCGGTTCCTGAAAGGGAAACCAGCCCAGCCCCAGTCTCAAAATACTACGAGTACACGCGCGAAATCCAGAGAAATATTAGATTTGGTAAAATATACCAAACCCCTAGAAATTGGGTGGTGAAAGCGAAAAGGAAAAAAAAAGAAATTGCCGGCCCCGAGTCGAACGGGGATTCCCTACAGCACTCGAAGTCAGGAAGGCCATGCCCGTTTGTACTAACACAGCAGATTTTCAAAGTATTGGTTGGTTTACTCATCGCCGAGCAAATAGCCGAATTCAGTATCGGAGGTCTTATACCTGGGAATTTCCGCGGGGATCTACTACTACTAGTAGTATGTTGGAATTAATGACGTTTTTTTACGCTGGACTCGGAAGAACTTCGCATACCTAGGTATTCAAACTAAGGCTTCTTCAATTGTGAAGGACTACACAAGGCCTAGTAAGAGCCAGAACCCTGTCCCTCTCCAATGCCTCGAAGCCAATGCAGCATCTTAGACCTTGGGATAAAGTACATATCGAGGCTAATTTACGGGCCAGGAGGGCTTCTGAGATACCTGGCTCATAGAGGAAAAATAATATGATATTTGGCATCCACACAATCTCCCCTTCTATGTAAATAACCAATAATAGAAGAGTGGTCTTATTGAACTATGTACTTGTGACCGAGTATGCTAGATGAGACAACAAAAAAGAGAATTATTTACAGCTTAGCAACCATCTTTTCACCCTGCTTCAGCAGAGCAGCAGCGTCGTGAACAAGCTCATCAACGATAGCCTTAGCGGGCTTCTTCTCGTCGACGACAGCGGAAACCTTGCCCATCAGATAAGGACGGGCGTTGTCAAGATAGTCGTCATCGACATCATCGGGCAGGTTCTCAAAGTCATGCTCGACGGGGATGACACCCTTGGCAGTGAGCTGCTTGATCTCCTCGGCGCGGTTATCTTCCCAGTTCATGATGTACTCGTTCTTGCGGACGCGCATGGGGCGACCCTAGAGATATTGTTAGTAAGTTGCGTTGCATAATGTTAATGTAAATTTCAACCAGGGTGATCACGTACAGTGAAGATGATAGTGCGGACGTTATCCTCGAAGCCAGCGGTACGGACAGCCTCCTGGTGGGCCTTAGGGGCACCGGCCTCATCAGCCAGGATGAAACGGGTACCGATCCAGACGGCGGAAGCGCCGAGCATGAGAGCGGCGGCAACAGAGTTACCGTTGTAGAGACCACCGGCAGCGATGACCTGCACGGGCTGGCCGGTCAGAGGGCTCTTCTTGCCCTTGACGAGCTTGGCGACAGCGGGAATGAGGATGGTAGTGGGGACATCGCCGGTGTGACCACCGCCCTCACCACCCTGGGCGCAGATGATATCAACGCCGACGGCGAGACACTTGGCAACGTGCTTGGGGTGACCGATCATGTTCATGCAGAGGATACCGGCACCGTGCAGCTTGTCAACAACGGCCTTGGGGGGGGACACCGACGGCGGAGACAAAGAGGCTGGCACCTTCCTGGATGACAATATCGACAAGCTCGTTGAGCTTACCCTTGGTGTAGTCGTAGCTAGAGGAAGGAAAATCGTAAGTTGGTGGATACCACCGGGTGTCACATGGAAGTGGGAACTCACTTGGTCTTGCGAGCGCTGCCGCCGACCTGGGGGAGTAGCAGGTCAACACCGAAAGGAGCCTTCTTGTCGGTCAGGTAGCTCTTCAGCTCATCGATCTGTTCCTTAAGCATCTCGGGGTGTAGCCAACACCACCGATGACACCCAGACCACCGGCGTTGGTGACAGCAGCAGCCAGCTTGGGGCCGGCCGCCACGTTCATGCCTGCCAGCAGAACGGGGTGGTTGATCTTGAGCAGATCGGTGATGGGAGTGCGGATGACCTCTGGGACATGGTCAGCAAGATGTGATATTGGAGATATACCTCATGGGTGTGGAGCATACGAGGAGAAGCCATGGTGGATGTGATGTGTGGAAGTGAAAACTGAAAGAGCGAAGAATCCGGGGAAGGCGGACACCTATAAGAAGTAGTCAGCCGAGGCGCTTTCACAGATGATGGCATGAGCCTCGGCCCATTTTGAGGGGTGGATTGACACCTAACTCCAAAGGCAACAAGGCACTCAGGCAGAGATCCCCGGGGAAGCATCGGGTCACCTCACGTGCACCCGGCCCCTTCCTCCGCGATAGCAACACTAAACTAGGATCTTCCTGATTGAACCACCACAAGAATGGGTTCATGGGCAATGTACCGAGGATCTGGTCATGCTCTATCAACCTGGATTTGTGCCCGCGAGATTTTCTCCTCATCACAGCAATTGAGATCGGTTAGACGGTTACCGTTACAGCCGGGGACTCCGCATTCGACGCATGGCGCTCGGTCTTTTCACGGGTATTGGACTAGAAGGCAGGTCTCTGATTATTGATCGCCGAGGAGTAATTTTCAAGAATTGTGTCTAACATATAGTTATAGTATTACTTCCTCTGCGTGCTCAAGTAGGTTCAAGTTGCCTCCGCAATTCCCAATTCTCAGTTCCACTGTTTCAATTTCCATGTTGCCGCAATGGCGTTATCTATCATTTATCTGTATCGCCCCAGAAAAAAAAAATTGCGGGACATGCATTTTTTACATCCCTTGTTCCACTGCACATCTGTTACCTTCGATTCAAAACTAAACTTAGCTAGATAAGTTTCCTATGCGCGACCCGACAGTCTTGTCCTCGCCCATTGAAAATGTCCGGCCAAAGCGTATGACCCCGCTATCGTACTTGAAGACGTACGCGCGGAGATTTTCTTGCGGGCAAGTGCCGCGCCTACCTGCCAAGATGAGTGTGCCAGATGGCCGGCAGACTCATCGGGCTTTCATTGCACTTGGTAGTAATGTTGGAGACCGAGTGGAAATGATTGAAAAGGCTTGTCTTGAGTTGGACCGAGCTGGTATCACTGTGAAACGGACAAGCTCTCTTTTCGAGACAACTCCGATGTATGTGCTTGATCAAGGTACATTTATTAATGGAGTTTGTGAGGTATGACTTCCCTGATGAGAGCAAGGCTTTTCTCTTTCTCTCTCTCTCTCTTTATTTACCTCTCTTCTCTATGCTTGAAATAAAGCTAACGGCTTCAAGGTTGAAACAACTCTCGCGCCCATGGACCTTTTGGATGCCCTTCAGTCGATTGAGAATGAACTAGGCAGAATGAAACTGATTGACAAGGGCCCGCGCTCCATCGATCTCGACATTCTACTCTATGATCACGAAATATTCTCCCATGAACGCTTAAACGTTCCGCATAATCTAATGCTAGAGCGTGATTTCGTGCTCCGTCCTCTCTGCCAGTAAGTCACTCATGATCTGATACATGCTACAACCTCGAACCCACCAGTCTAATATCATCAGACTCATTCCTCATGAACGACCGCCTCAATCTGGCAAGAATTCCAAAACATACATAGATTATCTCAAAGCTCTGCCACCCCCAGAGCCAACACCATATTCAACAACCCCAATCTCTCCCCAGTTCCCCGCAATCCACGCAACAGACCCTAAACGCAACACGCACGTCATGGCAATCATGAACCTAACCCCAGACTCATTTTCTGACGGCGGAAAGCACACCCCATCAGACATGAAATACATCACCGAAACCGTCCGCAACTTCATTGCCCACGGAGCAACCATCATCGACATCGGTGGCGAGAGCACACGACCAGGCTCAACACCTGTAGGCGCAAAGGAAGAAATCTCCCGCGTCGTCCCCGCAATCAAACACATCCGGACATCCATCCCCGAAGCCGCCAATATCGCCATCAGCATCGACACCTACCGCGCAAGCGTGGCTGAAGCCGCCTGTGCTGCTGGCGCGGACATCATCAACGACGTCTCGGCCGGTACCCTGGATCCCGAGATGTTGCCCACCGCAGCCCGTATCGGCAAGTCCATCATCTTGATGCACATGCGCGGGACCCCGCAAACAATGACCAAATTGACCGACTACCCCGATGGTGTCATCCCCAGCGTTGCGGCTGAGCTGCGCCAGCGCATCGACGCTGCCGAGGAAGCTGGGATTCGCCGTTGGCGCATCATTCTCGACCCGGGTTTGGGCTTCGCGAAGAATCAGCCGGAGGATTTGGAGATTCTACGTGAGTTGTCTCGGCTACGAGAGGCGGAGGGTCTCGACTGTTTCCCTTGGTTGATGGGTCCGAGTCGGAAACGATTCATTGGTCACATCACTGGCGTCAAGACCCCACGTGAGCGAGTTTGGGGTACTGCAGCCACCGTCTCGGCTAGTGTTGCCGGTGGGGCTGATGTTGTTCGTGTGCATGATGTACATGAGATGTGGCAGGTGACTAAAGTCGCGGACGCGATATATCGTGTATAATAAGGCGAGCAGATCCTCTTGATTGGGGGACTGATCACTTTCTCTTTTTGTTTCAACATTGCATACGGCGGACTGAGAATGCTTTCTTCATTCATCATGGAGCTCAGCTGGTCCAACTCGGAGTACAAAACATTAGTTATTTTCCTTCTGTTACTGTATATCAACAGGCCATTTATTTATACTATTCTTTCTGTATATTTTGCGCTAATGAGTACTATATTCCATTCAAATTATTTTTGACCTCAGACGGAGCTTGGTCACGGAGATATCTATATAATCCTCGCCTTCCTCAGAATGAACAAAAGCAATACCGCGACAAGGAGTTCGAATCCCAAGATTCCACACCACCACGCCACATTATTCACCTCCTCACCAGGCACCTGTACATTCATACCAAAAGAAGTAGTAGTAACCTGCATGAGCACAACGATCGATCCAATCGCAGTGAGACGGCTGAGAGTTTCTGCAATCTGATTCCGCATACGAGTCGAATCAAACGCGATTCTGCTCATAAACTTCGTTTGGGACCGCGACAGCATCTGCTCTGCGTTGGTCAGGTGGGACATCATGGTCAAGACGTGGTCCTGGATATCGCTCAAGTATGAGGCGACATCGGAAGGCGACGCGCTCAGGCTACTGCAGTGACGGGCGAAGCACCTCACGACATCTGTTTTATCGTTGAGCAGGTGGCGGATGTGAGTGACTTCTTTGCGGTATTTGTGGATATTCTGCAGGGCCAGGCCGATGTCGTCGGGCTGGGTTATGTCCAGTGTATCTTCAGTTACTTCCACGCTTGTCGTGACTCGGTCTATGAGGGGTGCGAATCCATCGACAATATCATCACTGGAGAGAAAGTTAGTTCATGGGGTCCGACGAGGCTAGTCGTTTGAATATGGATATTCGAGACGGTAGGTAGAGGGTAGGTGCGTACATAAGAGCGTAGCAAATCCAATCACTCGTCAACGACAAGTCACTCTGATGTTCCTTGATGCGGTTCCACACATGTGCAGGGTGGGGGGGTATCATCGAAAGTAAAGCTCAAAATGCTATCTTGAAACACGACGCCGTAGAAATTATCCGAGTCGTCCAGGTCTCCCGCAACGGCATCCGGCTCGAGAGGAAGCCGCAAGGAGACGAAGTAATAAGGACCAAAGAGCTCAATCTTCTCCCGGACTTCGCGCATTTTGATATCCTCAGTCGTGAGGGGGTGAATGTCCAATAACCGCGAGAGGGCCTCAATATCCTCATTAGACGGTGATGTCACATGAAGCCACCAAAGCCCGATGTGCACGCCCGTTTCCATGAGATGATTAAAGGGGCCACATAACGACTGCAATGAATGGAGACTGTCGGCGTGGGCAACGCAATTCAGCCGAGTGCTGAAGAAGCTATATTGTCTATCTCCCTGGGCAGAAGATGGGGCATGGGATTTCTCGTTGGCGGCAGTATCTTCATGATTGGTGCCAAGAATGGACCGTCGCAAGCGGAAATCATCCATCAGCCCCATTTTGCAAGTGAGAGTCGAGAATCACGCTAGATTGGCCCATATGGAATAGGAGTACTGTTTGGGAAATGGGATGGAGGGCTCAGGAGGTTGCAATGGCATATAAAATGGCGACTAATATGGTGGTGAAAAATTGCGGTCTAATGCGGTTCAAAAGTCTCGGCATTGTGGCGGAGCCGAGGAGAACGGGCTCTATATCTCCCCCCTTACTTTAGCCCCCGCGTCACTGTCACCCGTGGTTGAGTGAATTTTGTAGCCCAATCAGATGAATTTTTTTGGATTTACAATTCACCATCAAGTTATCTATGGAGTAGTTACATTCAGTGAGTATAGATTCGCCCGCATGATAGTTGGCGACTCAGGCTTCGTTCTAAGATGGGCTGCGTCATGCCAAGAAATTAGCGGTTCGTTTAATTCTGCTTATTGCATGCAGTTAAATGCTCATGTATAGTATGGTCAAAGATTTATCGAGGGTTTCAGGTGAGTGTTATGGGCTTAATACTGACTGATCATCGTTAGAGACAACGTTTGTCCAAATTGAGATGGGGTATCTAGTTAAAGGACTCGGCCTCAATACGAGTACGAGGCCAGGGAATAGAAAACTAGTATTCTTGATGCTTCAAATTATGTTATTATTGTAGCAGCTGATAATTATGCACTTTGAGTTTCCTTATACTTACGAGATTGATGACTTTAACTACGTAATTATTGTCTGATCCGTGGATGACTGTTACTATTCCCAACGGCGGCTTCCATTTTGAGATGCGGCGCGCAGGGCCAATGATTTTTCATCAAGACTCGGACACTTCTAATAGTAGTACCTTTCCCCTTCCAAACTGTGTAGAGACTTTATCTCAGTTGCATCTGTCACACTTGTGTTACGCTTTTTTTTAAATCCACTACCTGTCTTCGATCAGTCGATCAGCTTTTATCTAAATGACGCTGAAAGAATTCTTCGACGACCATGGGTTTTTCTGACGTGGAAGATTCTATACCGTAAGTCACTACGCTAATCCTTACAAGGTCTCAAACGTGTACCGACTTCAATATGGCCACATGCCTTGTGCTCACAAACACGCCCGGGGGATACTTGTTGATATCATTATCGCTGAACACGAGCTCCGTATGCACTCACAGTGGCAGGAACGAATCAAAAGAAAACTCGAGAGTTCCTGCACGACCACTGGCAACTTGAAGAGCCCCAACGAGAAACTGGTCAAGGAATTTCATTCCGAGCTTTACAAGCTTCTACCTGAAGCGAGCGAATTGTCACGCAAGCTCTACGAAGCAGAATCCATGCTTCCTGCCAACCCACTGAAGCGCAACTATGAAGACAACCGCAAGGATCCTAAATGGTACATGCGTAAAGAGCTGGTTGCAGACTGTGCGGGTCGAAATGGGTGCTGTAGCCGTGGCTGTGGCTGCTGTGCACTTCGTGCTACGGAATCTTATGAGAGAGGCGTAGGCCATTGTACAGTGGAGTGCTCATGCTGCGTTAGCTTTCGAGGCTTTGAACCATCCCCGATGGAGAGGCAGGAGATAAAATTTTGGTATCCGGAATGAGGAGTCGGCTTGAGAGTAAAACTCCGTCTCATTTGCTGGATATGTCGAACGCTTACTTCTCGAAGCCTTAGGCTTAGTGAACAACATGATGATCCCTTTTTTGAGAGGGCTATAGCTGCGATATCTACTTGTATTCCAAGGTTGATGGCCAAGTTGCTAGAGAAGGTGACGGATATACTACTGGACTTCCCACTGGCATACAAGGTTGGGAATAGCATCGGGGTAGTAGTCTAAAGTTTTCTCAATTTCAAGTTGTTATTCCGATTCATGCACTTCACATGGTTCCACTTGCTCCAAATCAAATAGATGCAAAGCTTATCCGTTTATTTTGCGACTGGTTCGAAATCATACTAAGAAAAAAACATAGGAAGTGACAAAGGGAATAAGGTCTTGCATTCATCCGTGTGGTATGGCGAAAACGAGACAAGGCAGGAAAAAGAAATGATAAATAAGGTTCTTGAGCATCCACCATCACTCGAGTAGAGGATCTCCAATAACTAAATTTCCATGGCGGTGGTCTTTTTAGGCGAATGGACAAGAATGAGACTGTGGTTGATAGCGAGGTGCTGGGAGGGCCAAAAGTATACGTCACACATCACAAGAAGGGGGATCAATAGTAGGCTTGCTAAGTAGGTATTTGATATGACAATAATATGTAGTCATGGCATTTAGTTGTTCAGGTAGTTGCGAATGGCACCTATGCTCAGCACGGTCAGCGCACAAACGTTCCGAATACTCTGTATATACTGAAAAAAACTCTAGAAAAACTGACCTTGAAGCTTGGTAGCTCCCTCGCCAACGATGTGAGACAGGTTCTCGAGGTCGTCGCCAGCAGTGATTCCGAAGCGACGGACAAAGTCCTTGGCCGCGTTCTCGAGATCACCATAACCGTCATCCATCGCAGGGAGCTCATCCTCGGGCCGGCCGAAGTAAGCATTGCTGGAAATCGACGTCGCGCCGCCAAAGTCTTGCAGTCGCTGCTTAGCCTCGGCTTGGGCGTTGGGGTCGAAGCGCTCGCGACCGAAGTATTCATCGGAGGAGATACCCTTCTGGGTGCCGAAGCGTGTCCGGGTCTCAGCAAGCTCCTCCTCTGTGGAAATATTAGCTGCTGACTGGGAGGGTTGGGATAAGAAATAAATACCGTTCATAGGGGACTTGGCAGCACCAACAGCACCAAAGCCAAGCTTCTTGGGGGCCGCGGGCTTAGACACTTGGCCAAATCCAAGTCTGTTCATACCCATACCAAGTCGCTCAACGTCACTAGAGTTGCGCTCGTGGGTCTTGCTTTGGCTTGGGCTGATAGGGGCGGGAGAAGCAATGGGAACGGCCGCAGTAGCAGCTTTGGCCTTCGCATCGGCCTCAGCCTGCTCAGCTTCCGGGTCGTAACCAAGCTTCTCGATGCGTTCGGCCTCCTCTTTGGCCTTACGCTCCGCCTCGTCGAAATCAATGTCACTAGCGACCACCTTCTTCGCTCCGAGCTTGGGCGCCTTCTTGGCTCCCAGAACGCCACCCTTCTTAGCACCGGCTGTCGAAGAGATCTTTCGAGTAGAGGAGGTAGGACGAATGGCAGTCGGAGCGGGAGAGGAAACCTTCTCTTCGGACGCGGACAAGGGGGATTTTGAGCGAGATCCATTTGCGCCGGCGTTCAGGAAAGGGGATCCGGTTCGGCTCACGACAGGTGGCGTTCCAGTGCGGGATGGGGGGTTGCTCGGGCGCTTGATGGAGGGCTTATCCCAAGAAGAGAAGAAATCGTCATCTGCCTCAGCAGGGGTGTTTGAGCCATCGGAGGGAGTCCCGGCGGGCAAGTCGGTAATGACTACCTCCCCACTGGGAAACCTAGATCAACAATAACCATCAACACCAGGATTCGAGGTTGTCCAATGTTCATTCGAATGGGTATACTGACTGTTGCGCATCCGCCGCAGCGCGTCTCTTGAGCTCTTCCTTGTACTTCACAGCCGCATTGGAGGTATACTTGACCTTGGGATCCTTGCTCGCCAGCGCCGCAGATCCACCGTGCGACTGGAAGTATTTGGTCGCCGACTCATTTCCGCCAACTTTCATCACTCGGAGCTGTTCCCATTGCCATTCTGAATCGCATGTGTTAGTCAATTTCGAGGGCGAGGCGCGGCTGGGTCGAAGGGGGCGAAGATCACGAAATACATACGGTCGAGGTTGGTCGAACGAACAAAGGAGATGTGGACACCGAGGTTGCGATGGTGAGCCGAGCAGTCGAGGCACAGATAGATTCCGAGTGGGACTGATGACCAGGTGGGATTCTTAGAGTTGCAGTCGAAGCAGACCTACTCGCCAGGATCATATTAGTGACCAATGCTCCGAATAACACGAGGGCCGCACCGGGGATGGCGGGGTGGTGTGCGCACCTTGTTTGCGGGCTTCAACTTCAGCTTCTCAAAGATCTTTTGAGACTGCGCCTTGGAGGCACTCATAGTGAACTGGAGGGGGAGGGGAGAAGATGTCCAGCAGTGTAAAAAAAAGAAGCCGAGACTTGGGGAGGAATGGCGAAGGACGAACGTGGTCGGAGTTGGACTGGACTGGACTCTGTGCCTGGGTGTAATTTGCAATCTGGCGGTGGCGCCGAATGCGTACTGAGTGCCAGTATTACGCCACACCAGCCTTGCAAAATTACCGTATTGTAACTTTCACAAGCACGTGAGCCCTCGCTATCGGTCGTTATCGACTGCGGCATTTGGGACTGCGCCGCATCTTGGGCATACCTTACGGTCTTGCTCTGGCTATTGAACGCACGTCCAACATGAATCCTCAATATTTGCGTGCCCTCCCAAGGGCCTCGGCCAATGTGTCTGCCGCTCTGCGCTCCTCAACCCGTACCGAACTCACACGGCTCTATGCCACCCAAAGCGATCTAGGCTCTGGACCTCGACCGAAGAGGAGGAACATCACGGTGCTGTCGGACGATGGAAGATACGAGTGGGGTGAGCTCAGTGGCAGGGAAAAGGTGTCGCGTGCGACTCAACAGTCCGTAAACTTTATGGTTGTGATCGCTGGTGCGGTCCTCACTGGTGGTGTCTTCTACCTTTTCTGGACCGAGATTGTCTCGCCAAATAGCCGAACCTGGCAATTTGAGAAGGCAGTCGATCGTATCAAGGAAGATTCTCGGTGCACAAAGCTTCTTGGAGATCGGAGAGAAATCAGGGCATTTGGCGAGAATACGTCAAGCCGATGGCAACGAAACAGACCTATTGCGTAAGTCGCTTGAACTGCTTATACATGTTGAAACTCCGTCGCTGATAGATTGGTACAGCACTACCGAGGAGAAGGATCGATTAGGACGGGAGCATCTCCGTATGAACTTTCATGTGAGAACTAAGACTCCAGCTCTCGTTCTGAGACTATTATTCTGACTGTATTCTTTAGGTGGAAGGACCCCTCAACTCTGGCGTCGTCGTCGTACACATGATCAAGCACTTGGACAAGACTGAGTGGGAATATCAACTCCTCGCCCTGGATGTCAAGGGTCACTCACGCATTATCTTGGAGAAGGCATCGGAGAGACCCAGTGTGGCCAGCTCCCTAAAACTCTTTGGTATCCAATGGCGCTGAGCCATACATACTGAATTTTCTCGGCTTTGTTCTACTCTCATTCCCCATATGAATGATCGGATGACTCGGCGCTAAAATTGAGCATTGACGGGGAAGATGCGATTGTAAACATCTATTTCTTAGTATCGTCCGTGATCCAGCGCCTGTCATCGCAGCGATGCTCTCTGTACTTTTATGGCTGAGTCCTGAGAATCCCACTCAGACGATGGTTCTAGCCTCATTGATGTATTATATTATATACCACAACCATGGTGCAGTCTGCCAAATAACCTAAAGGCGAACAAATGAAATACCCTACCAGAAGCAAAAGACTGAAGCTGAATATTTTGAAATAAAAACTATTGACATGAATACACGTAAAGACATTAAGAAAAAGTCATTTTAATCTATACCACGCGAGGTCCCTCCAGAATGTCCTTCGCCTCCGCTGACCGCCACCAACTCTTACCCTCCTCACCGGGGAATGCAAACGCATCCATGCTCTCGGCCTTCATCTCGACACTGTAGCCGGGCTCCAGGGGAGTGACGTAGTAACCGTTCTTGACGCTGGAGGGGTGCACGAAGTGCTCGTGCAGGTGGTCCACATACTCCAGGACACTCTTCTTGCCGCTGACAACGACGTAATCGATCGTACTCAAGTGCTGAGTGTATTCAGGGAGACCGACACCACCAGAGTGAGGCACAATGGGGACACCGAACTTGCGAGCCAGCAGGAGGATTGCCAGCACCTCGTTGACACCGCCAACACGGCAAGCATCAGCCTGCAAGACGGTGAGAGCACCGGCTTGCAGAAGCTGCTTGAAGATGACGCGGTTCTGGCACATCTCTCCGGTAGCAACGCCGATGGTGCCGTGGGGGGTGTTCTCAAGAGCCTTCTTAATAGCGGCGTGGCCGAGGATGTCGTCGGGGGAGGTAGGCTCCTCAATGAACCAAGGCTTGAACTCAGCCAGCTCCTGCATCCAAGTGATAGCCTCAGGGACGGACCAAACCTGGTTGGCATCGACCATGAGGATGTTGCCACGGTCGTAACCAATAGCCTCACGAGCGATACGCAATCGCTTCTTGTCATCCTCCAAGCTAGCGCCGACCTTCAGCTTGAAGTGCTTGTATCCCTGAGCAACACTCTGGTCCAAGAGGGTCTTCAGCTTCTCCTCGCCGTATCCCAACCAGCCAGCACTAGTAGTGTAAGCAGGCACAGCCTGGCTAGCCTCAGCCTCGCGGATACGGTCTTGCTTTCCGCCCTCAACCTCCTTCAGCAGAGCAATGGCCTCTTCGGGGGTGATAGCATCAGTGATGTAACGGAAGTCAATGCAACGCACGAACTCCTCAGGGCTCATATCGGCAACAATGCGCCAGACAGGCTTGCCCAGGGTCTTGGCCCACAGATCCCAAAGAGCGTTAACGACAGCTCCAAGGGCCAGGTGAATGACACCCTTCTCAGGGCCGATCCAGCGCAGCTGGCTGTCGGAAACCAGGTAGCGCCATGTCTTACCCCAGTCAGCAGTAAGCTCATCGAGATCCTTGCCAACGATGAGCGGGGTAACAAGGGAGATGGCGGCGCAGACGATCTCGTTTCCACGACCAATGGTGAATGTCTGTGTAGGGAGGGTGAGTTAGCTAGTGTCTTTGCGGGGTTGCTCCGATGAAACCGAAATTGAGTGGGGTCTTGAACTGGGAGGGTCGTACCATGCCGTGTCCGCTGAAGTCGGAGTCTGTGTTGAGGATACAGTAGGCGGAAGAGTAATCGCCAGCTGCGTTCATGGCATCAGAGCCAGTCTTGTCGAGGGAGGTCTGTACACTGTGGTCAGCGAAAGCCTGGCAAGAAATTCCAAGGGCAGTAATCTGCGCGAGAGAGAACTTACGGGGAACCGCACATCCCGTGTGGTGAAGCCAGTGATCTTGACCATTTTGACTGAGATTCAGCAAGTAAAATAGCTGGATTGAACTCAATTGCGCGCGGCAGTGCTTTGCTGTGCAATTGCAATTCCAAAAAGGGCAAGTGATGTAGGGGAAAGTAGAAATGCGGGGAGTATTTCCGGGGAAAAATCGACCAGAGAAATAAACTGGAAGCAGAAGATGATCAAGAAAACGACGGGGTATAATGGAAATATTAAAAAAGTGAGCCGGGAGAAATTTGCGAGTCGTGGCCTGTATATAAAGTGCTGTCACCCCACGCGCGCGACCACAATTCCCCTCGTCACCCCTCGATTTGCCCCAGTTGCCTCCATTTTGATGGGGGTTTAGTCCAATCGAAGTATCTGGTTGATGGAGAATCTTTTTCCACCAATCACAATCTCGGCTGGGGAATCGGGGTAACTCCGGACGCGGGGACCGGATATTCTATTTCCATTAATTACTAATTATCCCTTCGGATATCCATTACCTTGGTCTGGCTAAATTAGGAGGTTGTCTGTGAGATTGACTGCCAGTAGATAAGCTTATTACTACTAGTAGGAACTCAGTAGAGCCAGGCATTAGATATTTATATCGTAGTACTACTAGTAGTATGAGGTTGATAGAACTTTAGACTTCATGGATATTTATCGATGTACACCTGGGCATACAAACTCCATCGTAATTAATTGCAAGGAAAGGTAGAGCATTCCTATCAATATGATCTGCTTAAAAAATGCCTTATGGGAATATGAAATCTCAGTGTCTCTTCTAATCAGCTCGAAGCTCTGTGAAGCAGCTCTTAGGCCGACAAGCCACGCTTCTCGCTCTCCGAGAAGAAGATGATCATACGCCAAAGTTTGCGCACAAGTACCTCGGCCTCCTCGTCCAATGCCTACAAAATTGTTGTTAGCAATGCCATTTCTCGGGGGTTATTAAACAGAGTGGATGATCTTACCTCCTCTAACTGCTCCACGAGATCCTGTGGAGATCCGCGTTGCCGGATGTGCTCCTCCACAACGTCTACCAGCATTTGCTCCTGCACGCCAAGATATTCGACGATCTTTTTCTCCACGAAAGGCTTGATCTGGTCGCTTATCACGGCATTGTCCACGAATTCCCACTTCACCTCCCACTTCCAAAGACCCTCCTTGTTGGCCGGGATTTCTGCAGCAAGTTGGCGCGCAGCCTGGGCTCGTTCCTCGTCCGACAGACCAGCAGCCTCGGCAGCGGAATCGAACTTGATGGGAATAAGAGGACGGCGAACAGTGTTGGCGGGCTCTTCCTCGTCTTCCAGCAAGCCCTCGACTTCGGCAACTGTGCGACGGCTGGTTGCGGCCTGGGCCTTCTGCGCAGCTGCGCCAAGGGAAAGCTTGAAGCGTTGAGGCTCTTCGCGAGGGGCCGGGGCGCGGGCCTCGAGCTCCTGTGCCTGGCGTGCGAGGAAGTCGTCGGCGGCTCCACGGGCCTGCTCTTGTTGCTGAGCGGAGCGAGCAAGTTCGCGCTCCTCCGCAGCTCGATCAGCTTCATCGATGCTAATCTCACGAGCACGGAACGCAGCCCGACTACGAAGCCACGCGCCGCGATCTGCGTAATATTCAGTGGCCTTGCGGATGGCCTCCGTATCGTCATTCCACTCCTTAAGCCTCTCATCTGCCTCGTCATGAAGAGCCTGGAGCTTGCCGTCTTCCTCTTTGTCTCGCTTCGTTTCGCGCTCCAAAGCGGCCGTGCGACTTCGCTCGCGGTTGAGCCAGCGGCGCTCCTGATCGAGGAATTGCTTCTCTTGCTCAGCCTTGCGCTTATCTTGACGACGACGCTCAAGCTCCTCGTCACTGGCGTCGGTGTCCTCGTCCTCTCGATCATTATAGGCTCCGCCTCCGTTCATGCCGCCGTTAACAAACGAGACACCCTTCTGGTAATCCTTCGGAATCTGTACGCCGAATCCCTTCGGGCCTGCTGGGGCGTTGGGCATTCCGCGCTCACGTGCACCCAGGGGGATACCATTTGCGCCACCAGCAGGACCACTAGGAGCCGAGGCTGGAGGAGAAGCGAGACGACTGTGCCGCGAGCCCGAGTTCCGGGCACGCTCCATTGCCTCGATTTCTTCCTCGCGCTTCAATCGTTCAATATCACGACGATTGCTTCGCTCGCGGAAGGCTGCAATCTCCTTGGCGACATTTTCGCGCATCTCGGGGGGGGATATCAGCCAGTTCATCTTCCGCAGTGATGGGAATGGTGACGACCTCGCCATCCTTGGGACCTTCGGCGTCTTTCATTTCGCTGTCACCTTCCCTGTCGAGAGTCGAGATGTCTTCCTTTTGGGTCGGAGTAGCCGGGTGGAAGAGGCCGGACAAGACATTCTTCAGGTCGCTGCGTGCAGTATCGAGGCGCTTCTGAAGTTCCTGGGGGTCCCGCTCACCACGGCTAGCAACGAACTGCTCTAGATAGGTCATAGTACTCTCATCAACAACGACCTAGTAGATAGTGTTAGAAAAAGTCTCAAACAATGAAACCGAAGAGCGTATACATACCAAGAGGGTGCTCTTTTCAACCTCCTTCTCCTCCTTGTCATCGCCAGTGCTAGGATCCTGGCGCTTCACAGGAACTTCAATGTCCTTCAATACCTCCACAGCAATCTCCAGGCTATCGGGATCCTCGAATTCGGCGAAACCAAAGCGACAGGGCTTTTCATCGGCATCCGTGGCACGGATCCAACGGCGCAGCTTACCCGCCGATTGAAGAATTCGTTCAATACCATCATCACCACCAACACCCTCCGTAATGCCTCCGACAAACAATGTGCGCACAATTTCATCCCGGGTCGGCGGCTGGAGCTGCATCATGGAGTCGCGGCCATGGTGGCGCGGGTTGTCATTACTTGTCGATCCGAGACCTGCGCGCCGACCTGGACCCTCAGGTCCACGCTCACGACCAGACTCTGGCGCTGTAGGCTTTGCGGGACCCGAGGTACCTAAACGAATGACTGGTGCGGAGAAGTTGATGTTCGGCATGTTCGGGGGCGGTTGGAAATTGGCCGGGAAGCCTCCGGGGCGACCAGGTTGTTGGACATTCGATTGTTGCATACCTGGAGGGGCACCAGTACCGGGCGCGGCCATGCCTGGAGGTGGTGCTAGAGCCAGTCAGCAATGAAGCTTTTGCGCGTGAGGTGGTCTTTTGAAACTTACCCATTCCCGGGGGTGCAGAAGGGTATGCGCCATATTCGGGGGCTCGGCCATATAGACCAGGAGCTAAGAGTAAAGTCGGCATTGAAGGCTCTAGGCGAGTGCAGGGCTTGCGAGATTGGGGTTGATGATTGAGAAGAGGTACTCACGTTGTTGGTAGGGATTGTACATGTTGCCGGCGCTTAAGCCAGGGTAGCCCAAGTCTTTTCTTTTCTTTGGAAGTGACCTGCTGGATCGCAATTCCCTTAAACCTCAGAATAAGGTGGAGTTTCGACTTCTATCCTGTAGAGCCACGTCGCGATGCTCAGCTTCGCGTTGCGGGCAAAGAAAGTTGAAGGTTGCGGGTTTGAGGAAGGCCCGTGCGGTAACTCTTGGCGCGGGTTGCACGGAGCCGCCTTCTCCAGCAGAAGACTTGGACTTGTACTTGTACTACATCCTGACATCTCAACCATGGCCTCTTTCCGAGATTTGTATAAAAATGATGTCGATTTCGCCGCATTGTCCTTGCAATCAAAGGACTTTGCTCAATAGTAAGTTTTGAGCATTCTATCTTCCAAAGATCGGACGCAATCTGATGCAACCTCATCACTCTTAGCTTGAAACCAAATGGCCAACTGGACTTCAATGATTCAAATGCAGTGAGGTAAGATTATGGTTCTTTGAGATATACGTTTTTAGTTTGAGCCACAGGCTTACCAAACTACAGACAATTGACGATCAGCCTGCTCAAACAGGACTTTGGGCTCGATGTGAAGTTGCCAGAGGATCGACTCTGTCCACCGGTACGTATAATGTGCACGAAATTCTAGGGAATTGAGCCAACGAAGAATATATGCAGGTTCCAAATAGGTATGGGTAATTCCATTCGCTCAGACGAACATGATCTAAACGTCCCAGGTTGAATTACATACTCTGGTTACACGATATTGTCGAATCGACATCAAAGACATCGAATATCGCAGAGGACACTGGAAAGAAAGTCGTAGGTCTTGACCTGTATGTTTGATACCTGAACTCGAAGCCGCAACTTGGACTCATCTAATCGTCTCAAGTGGAACGGGATGTTGCAGCATCTACCCGTTGCTCGGATGCAAAACCAGATCTTCCTGGGAATTTTTGGCCACCGGTACTAAACCCGCTCTCTCTGGTATTGATACAGTACTAAATCTTTATTTTTAGACATTGATGAGAATAATACACGGACTGCACAAGAGAATGTGAAAAGAAACCAGCTCGAGTCGCGCATTCGAGTCATCAAGACGGACCCCAAGGACGACCTCTTCCCACTGGACAAGCTCGAGCAAAAGAGGTATGAATATCTTAAATGGATCCAAACATCATCATCTAACAAGATCAAAGCCTCGATTTCACCATGTGCAATCCCCCATTCTACACATCACGTGAAGAAATGGCCCAGTCATCAGAAAGTAAATCGCAGCAACCCTCATCAGTCTGCACAGGCGCCGACGTGGAAATGGTCACAAAGGGCGGAGAAGTCGCATTTGTCACCAAAATGATCGATGAGAGTCTGAACCTTCGAGATCGCATCCAATGGTACACTTCCATGCTTGGAAAACTGAGCAGTGTTTCCGTTCTCGTGGAAGCACTCATCAAACATGGTAATCACAATTATGCCGTAACGGAATTCGTGCAAGGGAGTAAAACGAAACGTTGGGCTTTGGCTTGGTCTTGGGGAGATCGTCGTCCTTCTATGGTATGGCATCCACTTCTGCTTTACTGGTTACTTCACGGGTTCTCGCTTCTAACAATTTGCAGAGTGTGGCTAGGGGGATACCTGGATTCCCTAAACATCTACTACCTTTCCCTGCTGACTACAACTTCACGCTCCCGAGCGAAATCTCCATTGATAATGCGACAAAATCGATAGACAAAGAGCTAGAGTCACTTCGTTGGTTCTGGAAATGGGACCAATCTCGCAGCGCGGGCGTGGGATTTGCGGCTGAGAATGTTTGGTCAAGACAAGCGCGTCGGAAGCAGATGAAATTGGCCGGACAAGACGGTTCTTCTTCCAAAGTTGATTCTGTTCCAGATGAGGTTGCTTTGGGCGTTCGTGTCGTGGCCAAGCTTGTTCGGGACCAGTCGGGTTCTTCGAATGAGAACGAGGTACAGATTGTGATACACTGGATCCAGGGTATGGATAGTGTGCTGTTTGAAAGCTTCTGTGGGATGCTGAAAAGGAAGCTAGAATCTAGCAAACCACACGAAGCTGAGAAGATAGGTTGAAAACAATTTCGTCCCATTACAATTTTGGAAATACTACATCTCCAACCTTTTATTATGGACCCATAAACACCAAACATGAATACTTTAGTAGGTACTAGTAAATTGGATGGACAGAGCCTAGCCTTGTGGAACCAATCATCAAAATTCTAATGCTATCAAATGTATTTCTGAATTTAATTTTGCAGGTAGCGTACGACTACGCACTTAGTTGCCAGTGACTTCGCTCTGCAACTCCTTCAGCCTTGTCCATCCCTCAGAGTCTTCCCAGAAGTCCTTGCCCTTGCCTAAGATTCCTCTGATAGCACTCCGCGCCTTGAATCTCCAATCAGGAGCAACCATCTCAGTCTCCCCATCAGCGCCTTCTTGGCCTTCCCGATCCATCGGTCCATATCGCGAGTATCCCTCGCGAACAAGTTTCTCTGTGGCACGAACAACCTCCAACCATGGTTTCTCGTCGCCCATCTGGAATGCACCTTGCGCACAAGTAGCGACAGTAGCGCGCCAAGCCTTCTCGCGAACATCCAGTGCGCGGCTGGGTCTATTGCGGAACATCTCGACGCGGGAAACGAGGAGCCAGAGCGAAGCAGAGTGGGTGATGAGCGGGACAACATTATCGTCAATAAGAGAGAGGATTTGGCCCGGGATAGTACCAGTTCGGAAAACAGGACCGGAATCCGATTGAATGTGAAGGGATTCGTAATCGAAAGCCGTGGTTAGAAAGTCGACCAGCATAGCCAGGATCGGGCCATCGATACACTTTTCGCCCTTCTTGGTACCGAGGATTTCAATTACTTTCTTTTGCGCGGTGACGACGTCGCGGAATGGTGTCGAGGGAGGCGGAATTGAGGCTGCTACTGTGAGGACATTGTCCCAGATTCGAGCGTCGGTGTTCTTGAGTTGGGCAGCGCGTTGAAGAGCGGCTAGGGCCTCACGTGCGCGCTTGTAGGGGTCAGCTTCGAGTTTGATTTCTTCGCCTGTGGTTTCGTCGATTGTGACTTCGGTTGTTGGCTCCGGTTCTGGTTGGCGCATGATCGCCGCTGCGAGGTTACTGTAGGCCTCTCCGTCGGTATCGTCTAGTTGCACGCAACGGGTGAAGGAGGCTGCGGCATCTTGCCACTTTTGGAGTTCGAGTTGAACACATCCATAGGCGAACCAGGAGCTGTGGTTAAGGCGATTGATTTGCAAACTCTTACTGTAGGCTTCTTCGGCCTTCTCGAGCGCTGGTGGTGTGAGGGCCAGGTAGTGGCGAGCCAAGGATCGTTGGGCACGAGAATAGCGTTGGTTGGAGATTTCCCAAGCGCGCTCATACATCTTCTCATCCTTGCTGATATCTCCCAGGATACAGAAAAGGCGTGGCGCATCGGCAGGTAAAGGTGACCGCTCGGGACCCTCGAAGAGCTCATTCTCGTCATTCTCATCTTCACCTTTGGCCTCGTATAATTGACGGCGCACCATAGTCTTGCCCTTCTCTTCCCGCTCAGTGGCTGCATAACAAAGGGCTACTTCGGCCCACATCTGAAGTCTCTCGTAAATTTCAAGAGCAGTGCGGAGACCACCCAGCTCGACCCAGCGTTTAGCAAGCTCAGCCTCCAACTTCCATCGCGTTGAGAAGTTCATAATCCAGATATACTCAAGTCGACTAGCAGCTGGGGCAGACTCGTCCTTTTCAGGACGTGGAAGGAATGTTGTTGGATCCGATGACGGTTGTTGGGCGACCGAATCACTAGTAGCTGTATCCGCGAGGACTTGATCAACAAGCGCTTGCATCTGTAGAACAGCTCGCTCAACAGTACGGGCTCGGTAGCCTTCCACTCTACTGCGGAGAAGCAAAGCCTCGGTATAAATTTGCCAGTTGGAGCTTCCGCCTTCCAGCACTCTGGTAGCGTATGGCTGGGTTTCTTCCCGGGTCAATCCGTTCTCCGGGGCAGTGTTGGTGATTGCGGAGGCCATAGCAAGCAGAATGGCAGAGTCCACGGGGTTGAGAATAGGTTGGTCATTAGGGTCCACTGATTGGAGAGCAGGAGAAAGGTCCTCCTGGACTGTTCCGGACTTTTTATCAGCGAAGGAGATAGCTTCGAGGAGGGTATCATCATCCAGATCCAGCTTCTTGGGACCAGAGGTGTTGGTAGAATTGGGCGTCGCATCGGCACTCTTTGCCAGAATCACAAGCTGGCTAGTGTCGCGCTCTTGGAACTTGGTTCGCTTTCCCATTTGTCCAGTTAGGGCGAATTCAAAATTCCGGATTTTGGATGCCCCATCAATATCCGCTCGTGCCTTGCCATCAGATCCGTGGTGAGTGTGAATAATAGCGCGCTCTAAGAGATAACGACTCTGTTCTTCGGAGTTCAAATCAGACTTGGCGAGTTGTTCCGTGTCCTTGTAGATGGCCTCCTGCAATGTGCTTGTAACCTCGGAAAGCATCTTTTGGTGGAGGAAGTTGACGCGCATTCGCGCAGTCTTTGCTGCGATGGACCCATCGAGTTCGGCACCTGCAAGCAATCCCTTGGCGACTGAGAAGAGCTCCGGGTTTGGCGTCAACTTGTAGGCTGCTTCTCCATCGACAGACCAGTCGCGAATGATCTTGCTTCGAACACTGCGGGTGATAGCGATATCGGCTCGGAGGGCAGCGGGGAAAACAGTATTGGACGAGCTGAACTCTAGAGGAGGGCCGGTGACATTGGACTGGAGGAAGGCGAATAGTGCTGCCAGGCCGATATGCAGGATTTGCGATTTTGTTTGTTCCGAGGTGAGTCCATCAACGGGAGATTGAAGAGCGGCGCGGGTTTGGTCGGCGACAAATGCGGTATAGGAAATTTCGTCACTGGCGACTTTTGCAACGGCATCGTTATCGGAGGTCTCATGGCCCAGGAGCTTCTTTGCTAGCGGTAGCTCGAGAATTGGGACAATGTTGTCGGAGGTAAGGTGGACAGGATCATATTGGTCTTTGAGAGGTGCGTCAAAGACGCTGTTCAGCGTGGAGGGGAGGGGGGACTCGCTCATGTCGAACTTTTGTTACCAAGATGTTCGATCGAGGAAAAAGAAATCCGGCACAACTTGAGGTCTCCGCGGGGTCTTCTCGAAAGTGCGAATGGAAACCCCGCGATCTTTTTCGATTTTTCTTTATCGATAGCGTGTGTATAGAGGGGAAAGTGCGTGGATCTGAGGTTTATCCTTACATATTTGAAGTATAAAAGTATATTGCCACATCCACCCCATTTCAACATCTTCAGTTGCATTTAATGCAATAACCAACGTGGATAAAGATGAGAACAGTGGATGATTAGATTATCCCCATAATATTTTTCAATTCTAATAACATAGTAAGACGACACTCACTGAGTACCCGCGCATGCCCCCTCGGAATCCGATTGAAGCCTTCTCGTTGCAAGCACTCGTCGGACGTGGAGGCACCATTCCCACTCAGGTAGATCGAGTGGTATTGTAGGCTACCCCGGTTAAAATCAATATAATTAGCCTATAGGTCCTACTAGCAAAGGACCCAGAGAACTGGACTGGTCCCTGTCAGATGGTACATAGAAATAATGTGTATTCAGAGAAAGATACAACAGATGCAAATCGACAACAGCCGACGACCTCCCGGGTATTTGTATCGTACAAATGAAATGCAATCAACGCCATTCATAACCCGCCCGAACGCTCAGGTGCACACACACAGAGAGAGAGAAGACAATATAGAAAAGGAAAATAGATGGCCGATTTATTACCAGTCCTGTCCGCGATCCCGCATCAGGATCTCAATTGCCTCATCCTCTGGGACGGGGTTGTCGTTCAACTCCTTGACACATTGTGTCAATCCCTCCGCCGCTTCATCCACTTTCTCCGCACTCCACCCAGTACACGCCATCACCATGCGACGGTAGTTCTGGCCCAAGACAGCATTCTTTGCCTTGAGACCATCAACTTCCGCTGTGAGCCCAGCGTTGAAACCCCCGTAGCATTTCAGTCGGTGCTCGAGTACATCTGATGATGAGAGATTTGCCAGGAAGGCAATTTGCTCCTTAGAAAACCCAGAAGAGGCATCAAAGCTATCTGCGAAAACTTGATCAAAAGCGTCAAGATCCACTCCACAATCCTTGTCGGCGTTGCCAACAACGACGATTCGTGAAGGGTCAAAGCCCTGTGTACCCTTCAACGAAGCCAACAAGCCCTCGGAAGACCGCTCCAGGTTTTTGATACGCCGGTCGACTTCCACCCGGTTAGACGATTTCAGTTTCAATCCATCCAGTTGTTTTTGCTCTATCTGGCGAGCCTTGGCAGACTCGCGAATCTTGGAGTGCCAGTGATCGAACTTCTCTTGTTTTTGGCTCAAGCTTGCAGCCAGATCTCGGTCAATACCTCCGAGTGCCTCCTCGACCATTGTGCTGATTTGTGACATTGCCGCTAATAATCAAAGTTAGCCGTGAGTAAAAAGATCCTGAGTATTGAGAGCACCTTACCTTCGAGAATTTCTTTTTTGGATTTGGATAATTGGTCAATAAAAGTATCTCCCTTTTGTGATTGTGAGTTTCCATCGACCATATCAACGCCAACTCCATAATCTGCAGGTCGCAACCCGGTATGATTAGGAATATGAGGATCAGCGCCGACTTCGAGAAGCTGTGGAACTAATACGGAGCGTGCACGACCTGCCAGGTTCAAAGCGGTATCACCTTGGTCATCGCGGAGATTCACAATCTCAGAAATAAACCGGCCCAGAGAAATGACATCGTTGCCAGAAGTCCCATTTTGTACACCATTAGTAGGTGCGATGATTCCCCCATGCCGAACTATGAACTCCAGCAAAGACTCAAGATAGTGTTTGGCAGAGACATGACCGCCGCCACCAGTCGCCGCCATGACGGCAATGTGGTGCAGAATCGTTCGTCCGCTGTAATCGACCATATCGATTGTCGGTGCGAGTACTTGTAATAAACGGGGGAAACTTCGGTAATCTAAGTTGTTGCGAGTTCCCACTGACTTCTGTAAAGCAGTTTCACCCGCCAGATTCACTCGAGAAACACTTGCACCTTTCGCTACAAGCGCGTTTACCAGTGGCATGCGCGCCAGCATTGCGGCCCAGTGAAGAGCATTGTTTCGATATTCGTCAAGTGGGATCTCAAGATCTTCACCGCTCAGCTGCATCAAGGCAGGGTGATTGGAAAAGTCCTTGATACGTTTGTCAAGGAAAAGAGTCATGATCAGCCTTTGCTTCTGGAAGCCTTCCGGATCCGAAGCAGGGGCCATAGATTCGGCACCACGCTTCTGGCCATCATCAATGGGCGGTGGGGGCGCAAAGTCCATGTCTTGGTAGAAGGAGTCATTAGGCTCGGTCGGGGTGGGTTCATGCATGGATAGGTTGGATGGTTCTCGATGTAAGCCGATCGACTGCAAACCATGATGCGATTCAGAGCGAACACGTTTGCGAGGGGGCTCAATGAAGTCATCGTTGTCATCATGTGCGTGGTAACGATTTTGTAGACTGCTGAATCCGCTATCGGACATATACATGCTCTGTTGACTGCTGAAGGCCATACCGGACTCTTGACTGCTCATCTGTTGTGACTGCGACTGCGACTGTGATTGCGACTGTGATTGGGATTGGGATTGCGAAGGCTTGCGAATCACGCTGGGGCGACGGCTATTGGTGCCTGGAGAATCGAATCGGGCTTTACTGATCGCGTTGACAGCTGTTGCGGCTGTGCGTGAGATGTTCTGGAAGAATGTTCCCTGCTGTGGCTGCGACATGCTTCGGTTCTCCGCGCCATTATACATTCGTTTCCGCTGTGCAGCCATGGCCTGTTCTTTGGTGGGCGTGTCTAGTGTTCCTTGTGAAGGGGCGCCGGGGCCGTCGGGGCCCATATCGTACTCGAGCAAGGGCCGCAGCATATCTTCGACGTTGTACTCTCGGCATAACTCCACACCCCTTTGGTAGTTCACCCATGTCCCTTGGTATTTTCCATATCCACCTTGAACCTTCTCGTGCTCGCCGGCCGCAATTTCCTTTTCCAGAGTTTTTGTTCGTCGAGCTTTGGCCACACCAGCTACCTTGAGGATCTGAGTGGCATTCAGCCAGGAATCGGACCGACGCTTCATAACCGCAACTCCATTGACTTCCAGCTCATAAACAGAAACATTGGAGTAGACCGCCTAGAGATTTGACACTGTCAGTTGAGAGGGCACATGGGAGGAAAATAATTGATCGAAACGACGAACGCGATAGATCTGCGGCTTATATTCCTCCTGGTACGACATATTCGACCCGTAATCATTCTGACTGTCGTATCCTCTAAAGCTACCGCGAGAGACACCGTTTGACATATTGAAGGACATTTGTGAACACTGCGGCGCTGTGGGAGTAGGGCGAGGGGGGGGGGGGGTGTCAAGGATTGTGAGCCTTGGAGGGCGTTGTAGAAGTCGATTCTATTCGTAGACGATGTACTACCTCGTGAGTAGGGGTTGCTGAGCGTTTTCCAAGTCGGATCAGCATAGAACCAATATGACCAGGGTCGGAATGGCGAGTGGGGAGGCTTACCGGGTGAAACGCGAAAAGGAGGCGCGTGGTGGCTACCACCCACAGAAGGGAAAGCGCAGCTGGCCTAGACAGGAACCATTCAAGATAACCTCAAGATGCGGGAGGAGCAAAGGCCGGAATGTGTCAAATCGAATTGCGATCGAGGATCGGACAATGCAAGGCAGGCTTTCTTCAAGTCGCGGGGTTGGAAGAGGAAGGGCGCGTTCCGTGCGTGTCACGGGAGTGCCAAGGATTTTCGCGTCTTCGCCGTTTTGGGCCACTCGACTTTAGATTTTATGGCCTTGACTTGCTCGATGGCGTCCATTCCGAAGTCAAGGGTTGCTGATATCCCATGGCACCATCTTTTGCGTGCCTCTCTGCGCGAATGCACCTATTTACCTGACCCCGTTGCCCGGTCTTACATGCGTGACTATGTTCTGGACCGATATCGCCGCGCTTCTGACAAACTCGGCCGACCAGAAAGCCAAAAGCTCCAACGAGCCCGCCAGGGACTGTCAATACTACGAAGAGCCAATGAGGGGTTTCAGCTCCCCCTTGAAAAGGTTTTATTCCTCTCATACGGTCGTATTGGCAAGCGACGGCATGAAATGCTACACGACTTCATGAAACCCGCCATACCAAAGGATACAGCTGCGGTCAAAGCACTCATCAAGCAGCCTGCCAAATTTCAAGATGGTTGGGAGCCTCCAGCGTTAATGAAGAGTCTCGCCAACTCCCAGATGCAGAATGGAGTGGTGATGACGATTCGTCGTCGGCCACGGCTACAAAAACTCGAGCCGCCTATACCAGAGAAGAATTCCTGGGGTCGACCAGTGCCTAAGGTGCGTCGAAGGAATATCCGCCAAAAATGGTATCAGTCGACTCTTTTTTCCCTCTACCCCCCCTTGCCAGAAAAGGAACTTGGCATCCTAGACGGTCTATTATCAAGAACTATACCCTGGGAACCGGTGAAGCGAAGGGTACTCCCAACCATCACCCCTTCCCCCTCCACCACCACTGATAATACCATCCTGGATTTCTTGGTAGAGGGGCCTCAAAAGGGCCACACGTTCCGTGAATATGTCCTCGGCCGGCCACACAACTTTACACCCAGATTCATGCATCGCCAATGGAGGCGCATTTCTGCACTGGTGCCTCGGATGTACCACATTCCCCAGTCTGATAAAACATACTTCAGCTGGGATACACCAAAGCCAATGCTGGCAGTGAACTCGTCCGTCGTCGCAGAATCAGACTTGGATGATATCTTTGGGGAAAAAATTGTTCCAACTCCGAAGCCCAAGCCCAAGCCCAAGCCCAAGACTACCCAGCAGAATTAAGCTGAAGTATTCTCAAAACTTCCTGTACACCACTCCACCAGCATTTATCATTTTCGTGTATACTACCCATTAGCATAGCGCTTTTTTCGATACATTTCTGTTTATATCCTTCCGTTCGGACAAGGATCAATTGATTGGAGTACTCGGGACAAAATAATTTACGTGCATAGCGAAATTTGAAGAAAAGAACTACAAAAAAAACAAACTACTAGTACAACCATCAGTGACTGTAATCAATCTTGGACAATCGCGAACGCATGGATAATCTGAGGCAAACATCCCGGACGTTCACTTAGGGGTCATTCATTTCAGAAACAGGGTATAAGAATAATGCGTTGTCGAAAATGGAGGGTAATCATCAAAGTTTCATCGAACAAGTAAGTCGATCAGCCACTCGCCCTTAATCGCTCGAACTGGACGAACTCGAAGACGAGCTGGAGCCCTTGCGCTTGTGATGCTTGTGCTTCTTTTCCTTCTTTTCCTTCTTTCCCTTCTTGTGATCCTTTCTATTGCACGTAAAAAAGATGACGTTAGCCACAAAACTAGAACAAAAGACAAGCCAAGCCAAGATACTGGGTAAAGAATTAACTCACATTTTATGGGTTGCCATATTCATACCAACAGCGCCAATGGCCGCTCCAGCGGCGCTGCCCAGGAATCCACCTCCAAGCTTGTGGCCGGCGAAGCCACCCGCGGCGCCACCCATGAGAGTCGAGCCGAGACCTTTCTCGCCTTCCGGACCACCAGGGCCAGGGGCATTTCCATATTGCTCCTGAGGGGGTGCGTTGCCGTAGTATGAGGCACTTGCGCCTTGAGGCGGGTATTGCTGTTGCTGCTGTTGTGGGGGATAAGGCGAGTGGCCACGGTCTTGTGGGGGACCACCATATCCGGGACCACCGGGATATTGACCGTGTTGAGGCTGTTCGTTGTATTGGGGAGGATAACCCTGCTGGTTATACTGAGGGGGCTGTCCATAACCCTGCTGTTGCTGACCGTAGCCTTGTTGCTGGTGCTGCTATAGAAAGTTAGTATGGTATGAGCTTTCAGGATTGAATAGGGCATTTCTCTTACCTCTGGGGGATAATAGCCTTGCGGTGGAGGACCGCCATATCCTTGCTGAGGAGGATAGCCCTGGCCCTGCTGACCCTGTTGGCCGTAATGATCACCACCGTACTGCTGGTTGGGAGGACCACCGTAATGCGACATGGTTAGAGAATTGAGGATGATGTAGACGAAGTGAGAGGGGATAATATGAAGATGGGAGGAACTTCGTCAGCGCAAAGGGAAAGTAATTTAAATAAGAAGGCTCAACCCGGATGATTGCGGGGCAACTATGGAAAGCACCGCCTCGACGCGGTTGAGCCAACGCGGTTCAGGCTTGGATCGACTGCACAGCCTCCCCTCTCCAGCCTCAGCTCTAATCTTTGGATTACGTGGGTCTCAAGACTATTTTGGGTGAGGCCATCAATGATCAGTGTAGGCTACTCATCTCTTACTGTATTAGGACATGACGTGATGTGGCTGAACTTCTGAGGTTGGCAATACATGCGATTTATCATGGAGTAGTTATGGAGTATTACTAGTACATGATGGATGCCCCACAGTTGGCATATTAGTCGATTGATTGATTGTTTGAATGCTTGAGACGGGAACCTGCATGCATTGGTGCATTGCAGAAGTTAATCTCCAAGGAATAGACTGTGCCATTCTGGTCAAATTCATTCTCTATCTTGTATGGATTTAGTAGGCAGAATCCCCAACATCACCCTTTCATTTTCATATTCACTGAGGTTGTTGGTCCACTAGTTAAGGGTCCAATGCCGAACAAGGAAACGAATACGAGCAACAAGCTTTAACTAAAATCAGGCCAGAAAACCACGTCCCCTCAATTTCCAAGGTTCGAAATTCTACCTTTCAGACTCTGCTGCTACGGTAATCCCTTCATGGACGAATACTGGCTTGCTTGGTTACGCTGATCAAAAATGGCCGGCTCGACAAAAAAAGAAAAGGGAAAGGAGAAAGACATCCCATCCTGCTTCACCGATACCCACGGAATTGTCACAACCACAATGAACGATCTCCCAGGCTACAAGATCAGAACCGTTCTAGGCACCATCTACGGTATCACCGTTCGGACTCGAAATTGGGGTGCAGACATAGGCGCCGTTGTACGATCGGCTGTTGGTGGCGAAATCCGGTTCTTCACCAATCTCATGTATACCTCAAGAGAAGAGGCTATGGAACGACTGGTCGGAGAGTGTATGAGTCGTGGAGGCAATGCAATCATTGCTGTCAGATTTGATGTCGCTAGTTTTGGGGCTTGTTCGCAAATTTGTGCGTATGGAACTGCTTGTCTAGTGGAGAAGATCGACGAGTAAGGACGTCTAAGGGGGGTGGAGTGTGATAAATACCAGCAACAAATCCACATCTCTCGAGCTTTGACTGTATGTTCCAATATAATTAATCTAGGGAGCTTTTGAATCCAATATGAATTCTTAAAGTACAGTATAATATTAATCCCTGGAGTCCCATGTCCGTTCCACTAGAGCGTAGCAGGCGCGCCATCGAGCTTGAAGTATCCTGGCTGAAGAGTCTGGTAAACCGCCTGGGGGTCGTATTTCTTCGCAATCTTCTGCAGAAGAGCCTTGTTGGTTGCGCCGTAGCCGGAGATGGGATCCTGGTACAAGCTGGCGTAGTTCATGTAGACGAATTCATTGAAGATGCCTTCGCTCTTGGCCTCGGCGAGAACCGTCTCCCAGAAACTGTTGACGAACGCATAAATAGTCGCGTCGTCAGACTCGTTAGACCACCAGCATGAAATGTGCATCAGCTGAACAGCGCCGTTGGACGCATCGAGGCCCAGTGCATTGCCACCGAAGTCGCTCATCTTCTTCAGCATGGGCTCGGTGATAGCTTGGAAAATGATCACGGGCTGGGCACCGGGGACATCCTCGACCTGAGAAATCATTGAGTAGAAAGTATCCACAACCCAGTTGGAGAACTTCTCGTCCAGCTTCACTGCAACGGGCCAATACACCTCGCGGAGGTGGAACGGATTCTCGGTTTCCAGGTACTTGACGTATTCAACCAGAGTCTTGGGACTGGATGTATCGGCGACCGCAGGGATACTGCGGTATTGTTTGAAAATCTGTGGGTTGGAGACATTCTGGGTATAGGTTAACTCCGCCGAGGCAAGGTTGGTCCCCTGGGTCCTGAGGAAAGCAATGTATTGCTGGGCGTGAGGGTCCACGGAGGCATTATTGGCGACATTAATGAAAGCATTGATAGCTTGCGGGAAGTAGGTCTGGATGAATGTTCTGGAGCCTCCATACATCTCTGGGGCAGGAATGGTATAGAGATTGTACTTGGTGACGAGGCCGAAGTTGTTACCGCCACCACGAAGAGCCCAGTAAAGGTCGGGGTAGGAAGTCTCGCTGACAGTGAGGATTAAGCCACTCGCAGCGACGACCTGTAAATGTGAGAATTTGCTAGAATGAAGCGTTTCAGATTAACCTCAACTCACCTCGAAGCTCTCAACATTGTCGCAACTCCATCCGTACAGGTTAGAATGATAGGAGATACCGCCGCCCAAAACAAAGCCTCCAACTCCGATACTGGCGGCGCGGCCTCCGATTGTAGCCAGCCCGTAAGGCTGGAGAGCGGAGTAGACAGACAACCAGTTGTTTCCTGGTTCAATTGAAGCAACAGACTTGTCGTTGTTGAGAGTGACAGCATTCATGTCCTTGAACCAGATACTGATACCGCCAGGGCTACTGGAGGCACCGGTAAAGGCTGCATGGCCACCACTTCTAGCAGCAAACTCACAGCCAGTCAATCGACTCAGAAGAACTGCAGCGCTAACGTCTGTGTTTTTGGTGGGTCGGAAGATACAATGAGGCTGAACCTCTTCTTGCTGAACCGACCAAAAGGAGTCGGTGAAGTTGCTGTACCCAGTGGTATTTTGAGCCGAGACTTTCGAGTTGAAGATAAAACTCAAGCTTGAGCACTAATATAGAATTGTTAGAATATGACAGTCTTTCGAACTAGTTTTCTTTTGAGGTTTTCCTTACCGCAACTGCACAAGCCTTATCGGTCGACCGGGCCTGAGCACCATTGAAGGACTTCAATGCTGGAATAGCCGCTACATCGATCCCCAAATCTTCCAGGGCAGCGGTGACATTAAAATTGGATGATTCAACTGCACTGCTGGCATAGGCCAGTGTTGCACCGCTCAGAACGGATAAACCGCCAAGCACTGTCGAAATATACATGATCCAAGATCTCGATGCCAGGTGGTCGAAACGAGTGGAAAAAGAAGCAAACAAAACAAAACAGAACGCGGGGATGGAGAAAGAAATCAAAAAGAAAGTCGAGAATGAGCTTCTTTTAACACACTCGGCCGCACTTAGATGATCGGGCGGGATCTGCTTAAACTTGAACGAACTCGAATCGGATTGGAACGGCGCGTCTCTGTGGGGAGAAGCTATTTTAGCGTCACCGAGGGAGTCGTTCTCGTGTAGAGTAAACGCGTGAGATAATTTACACTATCCCTAAGCGAAGCGGTGCAGGCCGATAGCGTAAGCCGAGTGATGGTTTGATCAATCAACTTGCATGTTTGTTTGCCATTGGCTCGAGTTAACGAGTTAATTGACCAAGTCCGCTGTTCCTTTTTCCTCTTAGGGATGATTAGGCCCACAGTTTCCTATAGGGGTGAGTTCAATTTGCTATTGTCTCTTTATTCTTTCAATGTCCCGCGTGTCTTGAATTAATTTTGATGATGTAGTGCCACGGTTTATTCTCGCTCTAATTTCAAAATACCCAACAAAATACATTCCGATCGACTTTTCATCAGTAGCGTGGGATTCAAAGCAGCTCGCCACCGAGTTATACCAGTAGTTCACAAGGCTCCAGTTCGCTTAGAGAAAATCCCGCAGAACAATGCAATCCTGGTAGTTCTACTCCGTAGTTTAGATTCGATATCCTCCGTGTGCAAATAAACCCGAAATGTTTACGGAGTAATGACTGCGAGTTGCACCGGGAAGGGGACCTTCGAGTTCACTATTCTTAAGCGAACCCGGGACTAAAAGCGCCACGCCCAGGCCCATCGCTAAGGGGTTCGAGTTTCCAAAGTGGATGTGGCGGGCTTGAGATATAACTTAAAAAGCAAACAATCCCCAGATGTACTTATTCATCTACGATCCCAAGCCTTGAGTTCATGCTGATGTGATAAAAGTTTTGTAGGTAGAGGGCTTTGAAAAGTGCTCCAACTGAGGGGGGGGGGGTATTCACTGCAATTGGACGGTTACATCGGGCATGCCTGCAGGCGGCGTGAACCTCGACCCCCGCCGGGGCTTGGCCATCGACTTTCCGGCCCCCATAGACCTCCGTGGGCCCCCGTGGGCCTCCGTGGGCGTTGGCACGCGGCCCTAACTGGCCCGACCCGAGGATGGGGCCTGCGCCCTCTGCTTTTGAACTTTACTATATTAGTCTGACAGGGATTATGTTACAGGATCCCGGTAGATGTGGTAGTGGCCATTCAAATCCAATCCCACAAGCCCTTTCTCAGAACTAGACACCTGGATGCAGGGCGCCGAAACGTGCTTCTGCGAGATCTGTACTCCGTACGGAGACTCCGTACACGAAAGGATTCTCAACATGTGTTTAGAATACCCGACGGGCATTTTAATAAATATGAATATCCACCGTCCTGCGCATCCCTGAGCCAGGCTTCCTTGGTGCCCCCCTAAGCGGTGATGGGTATAACTTCCGAAGGAATCGGTCCTGGTACCATCAAGGCGACAGGGATTGCATTGATTGTACTCACTTCGCTTGTGGTCCTGGTTAGATTTATCGGGTCCGTACGGCGACCGAAGGACCTCAAGGCAGAAGATTACTTTTTGATCGTTGGATATGTCTTCTTTTTGGAATTGGGTATCCTTTACATCTACATTGCGCCGGTGATCTTTCGACTGGCGGCTCTCTCGGCCGGAAAAATCCTTCCCTATCCAACTGTGACGGACGATGCGGTGAAATTGCAGATCGTGTTCTTTGTCACCACCTCTTCATTATGGATTTGTTTGTGGATGGTCAAATTTTCGCTCCTTTCAATGTATAAACGGCTATTGGTGGGGAAGCAGTACCTCATGGCTTGGTGGGCAATCGTGATACTCTGCATTTTGGTATGAAGGCCTGGCTACCTAGGCATCTACCTACTAGGTATGCGCTTCGACGCTAACAAACACTCTCCCAGTTCCTCATCGGCTGCATTCTATCATCCTGGTTCTCTTGCCAGAGTTTTCATGCTTGGTTCACGGCCGGCGAATGTAGTACAGCGCGCGACCATCGCGCCGCTCGGATCAGTTTATACTTCGCCTATGCGGTGGATATCCTTACTGACTTGGCCAGTACGTTTTACTTTCTCTGCACCTCAAGAAATCCAAAAAGAACCCCTTGGAGCCTTGGAAGAAGCTAAAACCGATCCTACTACTAGTTATGGCTTTGCCCCTGCGTCTCATTTGGAACCTACGCATGAAATCACGACAAAAGCTGAGCATCGGAGGTTTATTTTGCTTCGGCTGGATCTGCATCATCGTCTCCACACTACGCGTCGTAAAGCTTGGAGAAGGCACGGCAAACGGCACCCCAGCAACGTCATGGCTAGCCCTATGGGCCACGATCGAAGCATCGATTGGTATGCTTTCAATTCTTTCCCTCGCTCACACATCCTCCAATATGCTGACAACACTCTCTAGCCGTCATGATCGGATGTTGCCCCGGGCTTTATCGCGTCATAAAAACCGGCCTTTCGCCAAGCAAGCACTCCTACGACTACGGCTCATATAACATGCATGGCCGTGGAGGGAGCGGTATGCCGTCAAATCGATCGGGAACTAGAGGGGTGGATATTGCTCTCAATAGCTTCGTGGGAAAATCGGACGATATATACCAATCTGCGAGTGCGTACCGATCGTCAAGCCCAGCAAGTAGTCAAGAGAAGTTGGCTCAGCCCAGCGAAAGGGGTAATATCATGGTTAACTATGGTGTTGCGGTGACGGTTGAGAATCGATCGAGTGACTATAATCGGCCACAACAGTTTGTATAATCATGTATAAAATCATGAGTCCAAGGGATATTATGTTATATACTTTTTCTTAATCCGCAAAACTTAGAACATCAATGTGAAAGCAAATTTGAATTTGAGGGTTTCAAGCTAATTCATAAAGTATCGAATTGCGTGAGTTTGGACGAATGTTTGATTCCGGATTCTATTTTCTTATAGATCTTAGAGTCAAAGTGACTCTAGACCCTGGTGCTTGCTTTTACATGGAGTCATCTAGCTAGCCGGTAAGAAGATTTATACGAACACCGTGACTTATGATATTGGGCAACATACTGGATAATGCTAGTGCATGGAACGGCGTTTGAGGCTGTGAGAGAAAGTGCCATGCAACTTGGAGAACACAGGGCAATTTCTCAAAATACTAACCACCTCTGCAGTTGTAGATTGGATGATTACCATCATCGCAGAAGCAAATCTAAGTAACCAGAAGGAAGCTGATTCATTGTATGAATATCGACGACAAATTAGTAATTGAATCGGCAGCAAGTCGGCTTTGAAGGATTCCTCAACGGGAAGTAGTAATACAGCGCACGTCCTTAGCCATTAGTTGCTCTCGCCACTGACATTTAGCTTTCGGTCGGGTCTTGGTTGCGGTTTGAAAAATAAATAGTCTTCTGAGCAAAAGGTCGAAAAAAAGAAATCGAAAGCAATAACAACATCTTCCAATGAGATGATTATTCACTGGCGATACCTAGGTATCTATTATTCTAAGGCTGGAGTTGCCGATCGGCACAACCTTCTACATGAAGGATGAAAGAAGTGCATCACGGTGCCCGCCGGAGCCCGCTTAAGCTCAAATCAGGTTTATGAATGGCGTCACAGGGCTGTCCCCGCCAAAGAAAAAGGTAGCGTGGCAGTATATAGACCACCATACTTCGTCAAGTACGAATCGTAGAAGTGAATTGTTTCTCAAATATCCACGTCATCACTTACCAGTAACATAATGGCTCAGGATTCTGCCTCCCATAATCCAAGTAAGCACCTGCCAGCGGATATTTATCGATTTTCCATTCACCCAGGACAATGCTAATGGCCGTCTAGTCGGTCTTTCGGTTGGGAATTTGACAGAACCGCCACCTCCAGTTGATGACGATACGAAGAGGAAGGTAGTCGAAGCTGCAGAGAAGGATCCGACGGGCCAGAGTCAAGGGGGTCAAGGCACGGACAAGAAAGAAAAGTCGGACGAGACATGTAAGAATGCCTGTATTTGATGGGACCGTCAAAGGGTTAGTGGTCGCTGATGATATGCTGATTTAGTGGACCTTGAGCGTGAGCGTGCCGAAACAGCGACCAAGTTCGCCCGAACAAATCATTGATTCCAAGCTTTTCTTTACTTTCAACTTCTGCTATGATAACCATTTCTTACCTGTACTTGTCAATTTCGGGCTGGGGGTATTTGAATATACTGAAGTGATCGATTGAAATAGGTATCCGCATTCAGTTGTCTGCTACGGAACGTTTTCACTTTGAGATATGCGAGCATGATGATTTCAAATTAACAGACTTATTTTTGATTGTTTTAAAACTATAGCTACATGGTACCTATTAATGATATCACCTAGTAGTTGACGATTTGTTTACATCCACTAAAAAGAGCAATGTTATCCTACCAGCACCGATGTCCAGATCAAAGACAAGTAAAACATAAAGCCGACAGCGTCATCTAACAAAACTCCCCAAAGAACCTAAAGAAGACAAGAACAAAGATATTCAGTGACTTGAATCTATTTAGGGTTCCACGCGAATCTATCGCTTTGCTCCTCACGTGCATGAACTAACGCTAACTGCCACTCGCATTCCATCCAATCAAGCATGTCCTGAACAAGCCTCAATTCTTCAGCGCTCTCGGAATCTACCTCATGCCGGGAACTATCAGGATCTTCAAGTTCGACCTCGCATTTCTTCCGCCCATTATCCTGTTCATCCAAAACAGGGTACTCAAAGCATTTCAGCAGCTTAAGAGAACATCCAAGCTTCTTCACTGAGGACTCTCCCCCGTCGGCGAATCAGAATTATATAGCCCGATAAAGTAGCCAAACCGACGCCGCCGGGTATCTATGTCTATTTCTGACTCGTTTGGTGTTCCTAGCCAAGGCTCTAGTTGGCGGGGATACCAGTGTGTTTCCGGGACAGGTGGCCATGTCTGATCGAAAAAGCGAGATAGATTGTCTAGTTGAGCCGTTGAGAGAAGGTGATATTTCAGTATATTGCTTGGCCAGTCTGAGGGTTTTGCGCCGCTTGTGCAGTGGACTAGTTGAATGAGGGGTCCGGCGAGGTGATTCAGAAGTGGCAGGAAATCTGGATGGAATGGTGATGTTGATGGTTTCGGCGAGTTGGCGCTGGAGGCTGAAGCTGAGACTGATGAAGAACATGAACAGGTGCTAGGCTTTCGACTTCGCGAAAAGGGGGAGGATGTGGATGGCATGGCGAATGGCTTTGCCCAGTGAATCAAAGCAGATGTGTGCGACAATAGCTAAAAAGCGGCTTAGAAGTTGTCTAGGGGGGATTGTTGTCAAAGAATGTAGCCCTGGAGTCAATGAAGTAGCGCTGAAATACGAGGAGATAGCAAAAATGGTAGGAGATTTAAATGCTTCTTATGTGTTCCGAAATTTGAAGTCTCATAAGAATGGTGACGGTATGAACAAAGAGCCGAAACATTCCAAGAATAGCAAAGGCTGGACAAAAAAGCAAAGAAAACAGATCAAAAAATGCTTTGGTCTTCAACAAAGACAGTCCAAACCCAGACACCTGATTTCAATCAATACATGTCGTCCCAAAGAAACACACAAATCAGAAATGTATATCGTAAGTTAGAACACATATTAGTTCAATATGTAGAAGACCGCCTAAACAGCCATCTTGGTGACGCCCGAGGTAAGGTCAGCCTCCTCAGCTATAGGAGGAAGACCAACGAACTTGTTGATGAAGTTAAGCACGGTCCGGTGCCACATCAGAGAGTTCTCCGGATTCAGCACCCAATGGTTCTCATCAGGAAATGTCAGGAACGCACTCTCCACGCCGCGCATCTGGAGTACATTGAAGGCAGCCAGGCCCTCAGCGATGGTCAGACGATAGTCCAGTTCGTTGTGAATGATCAGGTGCGGCGTCTGCCAGTTCTCAGTGAAGCGCGATGGATCCCACTTAGCCCAGTTCTCGGGAACCTTCCAGATGGGACCTTCAAGATCGTGCAATGGGAAGTACTGCTCTTCACTAGCCAGCTGACCAGTCATGCTAAACACGCCATCGTGGGTAACGAGGGCTTTGAACTTGCGACCTAGCGGATGGCCTTGCACCCAGTTCATCATGTAGCCACCATAGGATGCACCGAGTGCAACCGCACGATCGGTGTCCACGTAATCGAGATTCTGCTCAATGTGCTCAAAGCCTTTAACTAAGTCTTCGTATGGCCGGCCGCCCCATTGGCCGCGGATCGCGTCAGTAAAGTCCTGCCCGTAGCCAGTGCTACCGGTTGGATTCGGCGTGATCACGATATATCCCTGCTCTGCAAAAACAGCTGGGTTCCACCGAGTGCTCCATTGGTCGTTCCAAGCGCCCTGAGGTCCACCATGGATCAGGTACGCTAGAGGGTACTTTTCGCCGGGCTTGAAGTTAGATGGTTTAATGACCCACGCGTGGACTGGATGATCCTCTGCCCCTCGGAACCAGATCTCGTCGATCTGAGACGGGTCTAATCCAAATGCTGCACCACCACGACCGCTGGAAGAGACCAATTCAATTGGGTTGGGGCGAGCAGGATCGATAATATACCATAGACTGTTATCCACCATGTTGCTGCTGGAAATAAACAGCTTGGTGTTGTACTTTGATGCAGGAGCTACATCATTAACATAACCGGCATGGGTCAGTCGTCGCAATGAGTTAGGCTTCGCCTCTCGAATCCCTTGAAGGGGGAGTTGATAGAGAACTCCGCGGCCTTTCTCTTCCGCCTGAATGAGCAAAGAGTTATCGCCCTGAGCGAAAGAGATAGCAGAGGGACTTAAATCCCAAAGACCCTTTCCATCCGAAGACTCGAAAACCTCGATCATATTTCCATCCCAGGGGTTCGGTACGTATAGAATTCGGTTCTTATCGGATTCGTATCCATCTTTCTGCATGGCCAAAAGCGCAATGGAACCACCGTCCGAGGACAAAACAGGCGATGCCATTGCTCCTTGCAGAGCGGTAATCTTGCATGCCTTTACATCCTGTGTGCTCATACTAGTCCATGAGAACATGGGCGCGTAGTAACAGGAGCAAGTGGTATGGGTGGCGGGATTCACATCCGGATCCCTAGCGATGAAAACAATGGCCGATGGGCTAATGTCGAAATCACCAGAGCCTCCAAAGGGCGGCATAGGTGATTCGACACCGGCCAGTCCAACCACGGAGATCAGATTGGTCAGACCTGAAACACTGAACTTCCCAGCTTGGCGACGGGCAGGTGATAACGGAGCCTGCTCCAAAAGACCGTACCAAATAGCATTCTTCTGAGGTTCAACATAAGAATCCCAATGGCGAACGAACAGTGATGTGTATAAGCGACCGGTTGATCGTGGCTTTTTGGCGTCATGAGGGTTATATAGGGTTCCGTCAATATTGGCCTTGCCGCTCACCGCAAATCCAATCTTGCCCGGCTCAACGGTAGTGACCTTGAGATCCGAGACAGGACCAGGGACAGTACCGGCGGTATATGTCTTGTCGGCCTCGCGAGCATCACCTACAATAAAGCTGGTGTTTCCGTTGCCCTTGGTCTTCAACCAGACGAGTCGGTCGCCGTCACCCAGCCACTGCGGATTGCTCGCGCCGGGGTCGTTGGTGATGAGGGCTGATCGACCAGAATCGATTTCGATAACACGGATCTCGTTTGTCTTGGAATGGGACTCGAAGGAATAGGATGTTTGGGTGTATACTGCGAGAGTTCCAGCCGCGTTTGGAACGGCCGAGGACCGCCTGGGTGCACCAAGGAGGACCCTGTATGACGTCAATTAGGTGCCATGAGCTTATGCAATAGGAAGACTCGAATTGTCATGGGGAAAGAAAGAAAGAAAAAAGACAGCGGATCAAATAGAGGAACTTACTGTGGCGTGAACTTCATTGTCCGAATGGTCATCTCCTCTTTGGTAGCTCAAGCTATGTGATGCGATAAGATAGAGCTAGCGCGGAGCTAAGAGCTTGAAAATGGGAGCTTATAGAGAGGTCCCTGTAGGGTGTTTCAATGATATCAAGTATAATATAGGCAGAGAGTAGGGTGATGAGGAAGAGGGGAAGCAATAGGTGTATGTGCAAGAGATGAGGAGAAGAGGGGAGGAGCAGCAGGGGCAAGGGGGAAGAAGGAACAGAGTGACCCTCGTTGAGGCGTGACTCCATGCGGGGAAAGGATCCACTTTAGTACTCACCGGCGATCCTTCGCGGAATCTTTGCATTTTACCACTGTAGGGTTCCAGGGTTATAGTTATAGTTCTAGTTGTAAATATGTACGGACTTGATTGGAAAGACCTTTTTGTTCCGATTGCTCCAAAACTATTATTTTACATAAAAAAGATAAGAAAATCAAACAGTCCTCTACTCTTCCTCTTCCTCTTCACTCTCGTCCTCATCCATTCCTTCGGCCGCGGTCACGCTGAACGTGGGGGCTTGATCCACACCGACATAACTGTCACTCATCAAGTAGAGGGTCAGATCGTGCTCTCCAGGAGTGGGCACAACATATTCCAAACGGAGCTCTAGTTTGCGACCGATAGTAACACGCTTAATGGCCAGGAGGTTCTTGGTCTTCTCGTCGCCGACCACCAACCACCAGTTCTCCATCTTCTGGCTGGGGTAGAAGGGCGCGTGAACAAGGGTATCGGGTTCCCCGTCCTCTTCGACCTCCCGCTCGATCTTCACCTTAAGGTAGGCAGGCTCGCCGGAAGTGATACTCTCGGGATCCTCAACCTCAAAGTCCAGCTCGATGTTGGGGTACTTCTCGTTGGTGAAGCCAGCGGCCTGGGCCAGTTGCTTGTTGTTAAGACCAAGTCGCTTGACCAAGGTGGCGTAGTCCTTGTTCTCTGAGGGGTCCATAGCTTCCATGAATTCAAAAATGTCATTGATCCTGCAGGTATAGATATTAGTAACTGGCCGTTCATTATCAGCGGGTTTGGGGATTAACACATACTTGTATTCGTTGGCAACCTGAATGACCTCGGGGGAGAAATGAGGGATCTGCTTCAGGGGGCTATCACGGTCCCACATGGCTTGAACCACCATCTGCGAAAGCTCCATGGCATTCATGGCGTTGATGTGACCCTCTGAGGAAAGCACATCCACACAGGCGCTAAGCAGGGTGAGAACTTTGCGGATGATATCTTCCTGGTCCTTGGCTAGATCAAGAGGCAGTTGCATACGCGAGAAATGGGCTTGAAGCAAGACGAAAGCTTTGAAATGCGGGGAATCGAAAGCAGGCTGCGACATCTTGACGGGCACACGATCGTAGACTCGGCGGAGGATGTGATCTTCGTGACGGCGCATCTGGACAGACTCGAATTCGGTGGCAGAAGTGACAATCTCCAGGATACCCTTAAGCTTCGTCCGTGAGGATAGCGACAGAAGGAAAGTCTGCATGGTGATGAACGAGATGTTGTAGTAGGCACTAATCATAGCAGCGTTGAGAGGAGAAACAGTGTCATCCTCCTCATCCAGGTCAATGATCTTAGCCTCCGATAGTTCCTTGAGAGTGTTCTCAACAAGTTCCGACAGGAAAGTGCTGAGACCCTCGTGGCTAACGTCGGCCAGACCGTAGAAACTAGGGTTTGCCAGAAGACGGCGGTAGAAGTAGGTGTATGTCATCCAGTCAACCGCGTCCTGGGTTGAGGAGACTGTCCTTGTGCTGGCTTCGGTGACAAACGCGTCGTGGAGGTAGACCTGAAGGTGACTCTCGACTGGGAGTGCCTCGTTGAGGAACTTCTTGTAGTATTCGCGTTTGACAGCGGGAACCATCAGAACACCTCGGCCAATCTTGTCCTGGCCTGGGCGGGAAGCCTTGCCGAACATCTGGAGAATCTCGCTGATGGGGTAGTCGATATAACGGTGCTCACGACCATCGAAGAACTGGGTGTTCATGACAATGACCAGGTGGGCGGTGAGATCCAATTCCCAGCAGACCTCTCGCGAAGCAAGCAGAACCTGAATAGCACCGATGGTGAACAAGTGCGAGACAATGCGCTTGTCAGTGGCACTCAGAGCTTCGTGGTAGTAGCCGATACCATGGGTCAGCGAGGTGGCCAGAGTTTGTTCTTGGACACGTGCGAGAAGAGGAGCGAGCTCTTCAGCATCGGCGTTCAGGAAGCGATCCTCGTCATCATCCATGGCACATGCGGCCAGCAGATCCATGGCGGTGGCACGGGTTTGCTTACGGCTGGGGACGAAGACCAGGGCAGGCTTATCGGCAGAGAGCTGCAGAATGGACTGGTAGGCGGGGCGGGCCATCGAAAGCATCAAAGAGGGGAAGTGAGGGATGGTAAATGACTGGATGTGCAACTCCAGAGGTACCGGTCGAGCATGGGGGCTGAAGTTGAAGATGGTGTGCTTGTTCGCGCCGATCCACTCGCCAATATCGCGAGCATTGGAGAGAGGTACACTCAGGCCAAGAATGCGCATCTCATTCTCGGTCTGAAGAGCAATATAGTGCATACGCGAAACCACGACCTCATAAACATATCCACCGAAGCCACCCAACATGTGAAGCTCATCAGCAATGAAAAGCTGCACAGTCTGGACATTCTTGCGTCTCTGCCACTGACGGGAGAGTACGTCCCATTGGCTAGGAGTGGCAAGAACAAGGTCAGCGCGCTCAAGGAGCTTCAAATCAGCCGTAGTCTCGCCGGTGAGTTTAATGATGGTTTTGCCACCCGCAAGGCCACCAAGTCGCTTCTGCCAGTCCGCAAGGCGCAGATCAACAAGCTCCTGGAATGGAGCAATGTAAACAGCACGGCCACTTTCTTCGTTAGACCAGTGGCGGAGTAGTGCAAGCTCGGCGCAAACAGTCTTGCCGCTTCCGGTGGGAGCGCCGATGAAGACATTGTCATTCGAATTGTAGACAGACTGGAAGACTTGTGTCTGAATCTTGTTGAAGTTCTCCCATTCAGGGTAAAGCTTTTGGTATTCAGGACGCTTCAAGGCCTTGACAGGAGCCCGCTGCATGTCAAGCAAAGGAGTGTGAGGAGGGAAGCGCTCGGGAAGGATCAACTTTTGGAAAGAAACGGCAATCTTGGTTTCAGAGTGCATCCAACGATCAGAGACCAAAGAGATGAAGTAGTTAGGCGGCATGGGCTCAGTGATCGGGACGGTGAATTCGACCAGGTGCTCATTCATTTCCGACTTAGCAAAATCAGCACGCAAAAGGAAGCGATCATGGTGCAGGATTTCTTCACCGTCACAGTCCTCAACTAAGATCCAGAAATCCTGAGCGTTGCCATGAACAGCGTCGTCCCAGACAAAGTTCGGGGTAATGGTCAACTCGACGCGTAGCATGGAGCGGGTGATCGGCTGGACCTGAGCCTGAACTTCGAGGCGGGGGAACTTGGAAACCAGGTCACACACGACACGTCCAGCCTTGGGCATACCCAAAAGCTCGCCCATGCGCGGGGGATCGAGGTCGAAGTAGCTAGCCCAGGGGACATCGATACGCTCGGCCTTTTGGAGAATATCCCTCGGGCAATGATGGAATTGTCGTAGAGGGGACATTGTCGGCCACATACGCTTTTCGGCCATTTTGCAAAGGTCAAGGGCAGTCTTCGCAACCGAGGACCAGCCCTTCTTCAAGCAGATCTCGAAAAGAGCACGAATAATACGACCAGCAGATTGGGTGACGTACACCATATCTGCCATCAGTGCAAGACCATCCAACTTGAGACGCGAGATGTAGGCCTGGAGCAAAACATTGATCTTCGCATGTGGTTCCTCGATGGACTCCTTGACAGGCACGGGGACTCGGCCCAGGAGCTTGCCCAGCTCCAACTTCTCATCCTGACGGACGGGAATGTACTTGAACTCATCACTAAGAGCAAAAATACGGAACAGCTCAATGGTAGTAATTGAAGGCTGGAGATGTTGAGCGTAGGTAAGCATCGAGTTGTGGCCAATATAATAATGAGAAGCGATTCGACCCAGCTCAGTAGCTTGGAGACGGCCAGTCTGCTTCTCATACTTGACAAGACCCGCTTTTTCGAGGATGTTGGCGGCAGAGTGGATCAGATCGACTCGCTTTTGTTCCAGAGCATCATCATTGTCGTAGTCGGCACCCACGCTGTAGAGACCCGGCGAGCGAAGCATACGGACATAGAGATAGGTGTAGCCGAGCCATTCAACACCTTCGTCCCGGTTGCGAATATTGCCAAGGACAATCTCAGCGTTCATGTTGTCTGCAAGCTTGCTGATCAATTGGGATTCAATTGGTAACTGTTGGTTGAGAAGCGAGAGATAGTACTGCATCTCGGCTTGAGTCGTAATGATAATACCTTCACCAAAGGTATCATACTGCGGTCGACCAGCACGGCCAAGCATTTGCAGAACATCCTGGGGGCTGAGTTCAACCCAGCTACCCTTTTCTGGGGAGTAGACTTGAGTTCCCTTGATGATGACAGTGTGGGCCGGCAGGTTGACACCCCAAGCCAGGGTGGCAGTACAAACGAGAACTTGGATACTACCGTCGGCGAATAGCGCTTGCACAGAGTCACGATCCGCGAGACTGAGACCAGCATGGTGAATTCCCAGGCCGTAAGGTAAAAGGTCCTTCAAGCCCGCATCGTCAACGGACTCCGCCTCTTCGGAAAGAATTGCACGACTAGCAGCATCGCTGCGTAGAATTTGACCGATAGTCTCCATCTCGACAGCCTTATCGCGAATATACTTGGCAGTCTTCGCAGTCTCTTTTCGCGAGTGAACGAAAATAAGCATCTGGTTGCGTTTTTGACCAACCTGCTCCATGACCTTGGTGTAGCAAATATCATTCATAGTCTTGAGCTGTTTGATGGCTTTCTTGTCGGTCACACCAATGAATTCTTGCTTCAATGGACAAGGTCGATATGAGCCATCAAAGTGGAACACGCCCTTCTCGGGGTCCGCACGAAGGAAACTCGCAACATCACGGTAGTTGGGAAGGGTAGCACTGAGACCAACAATGCGGACGGGGTCACCAGTCTGCTCGACGCGGCGAATAGTACGGCTGACGATACTCTCGATGACAGGTCCACGGTCATCGTGGAGCAAGTGAATCTCATCAATGACCACCAGGCGAACAAGGTTTGTATAGCTGGTTTCCGATGCCTTACGTGTGATAACATCGAACTTCTCAGGAGTGGTGACAATAATCTGGGTGTCGGCAATTTGCTGTTTCGTGAGCTGACGATCACCAGTGAGTTCTGATACGCGAATGCCATAGGGCTCCAGACGTTTGCCCAGGTTTGCGACCTGTTCCTGGACCAGGGCTTTCAGGGGAGAAATGTAAATGATCTTGAAGTCATCCAGCATGATCTCCCCGGTTTCGGGGTTGCGGTTCTTGCCAATCTCGCGGAGGATGGTGAGCATAGCAACGTTCGTCTTTCCGGAACCAGTAGGAGCACAGACAAGCATGTTGCCATCGTCATGGAAAGCTGTGGGATAGCACCTGCTTTGAATACGATTGAGCTCCTTGGCGCTTCCAAAACCGGGACGAGCCCACTCAGGTAGCTCGGTGGCGGGAATATTCTTCTCACCGGGCAGCTTGGTCGCCTTGGGAGGGGGGACGTGGATTTCTTCGTATCCCTTGAATGAGCGCTTCGTTGAACCTTGAGGCAGTCTGACATTGGGGTTCGTCATGAGATGGTTTCCTTGGTGGAAGACCAAGTTCTCGAGGTTGATCGTTCTCTTTGGCTGCAAACCGCCAACCAGGCCATTCTCACCAGCGACCTTCTGCTCGGGCTCAGCGGCTGAGGGAACATCGACATCCATAAGATCGAGTTTCATCTTATTGCCTGACGGGGCGAGATCATCGGGGCCGACCTTGCCGCGAATCTCGTCCAGAATAGCCCGGTGTCCAGCCTCAACCATCTCGCTTTCCACAAGGTTGCGCGCATCGGCATCTTCAGCGACGCGCCTCCAGCGAGTGACCCAAACTACCTTGTCACGGTTGGTGACCAGTCTAGCTACCAGCTCGGGATGATCGTAGTCGAACAGGTCCATCAGGTCGTTTTCAACATCACGAAGCGGGCGCTCGGATCCATCCTCGGATTGACCACCAAGAACTTCAAGGGCCTCTTGGGTCTTTTCCTGTTGGATGTGTGCATCTGCGTATATATCACCGATTTGGCGCTGCAACCAGTAAGCGTCTATCTCACGAGCGGAAACACCCAGCCCTGTCTTGGCTCCAGCCTTATCATCTTGTCCGAGACCACCATCAATGACCATCCCATCGTCTTCACCCGTTGCTTGGGCAGTTTGATCATTGTTGAGTTCATCTTGGTCATCCTCCTCATCCTCGTCGGAATCCTCATCGCGGATCTCATCGACAGTGCCCATACCATCGTTGTCCTCGTCTTCGTCGAAAACCACGGCGACACCTTGGCGTTCATCAAGTTCGGCTTCTTCTTCGGCGATACCACCATCCATGTCCTCGTCGTCATCCTGAGCGTCGTAGTCGGTGATTTTCTTACCCAGATTCATCAGCTCGTTGAATTCCTTGGGATTCATGGCGCTGCCGAGAAGATCGTCGACTTCCTTCTTTTTATCGAAATCCTTCATCTCCTCATCCTTCAGCAGCTCGAGAACGGCGTCGGCGGCACTTCGGGCGACTTCGTGGGGGACATCGCCCAGGTGACTTCCGGTGATTGTGAGAATAAGGTCGTAAGTGGCTCGTGTGGCGGGGGTTCGTGGGCGATATTTCAAGCCCTCAACGAGAGCGTCGGCGGCGGAAAGGATACCCTGTCCTCGTAGTTGTGCAGGCTGGCCGCGTTGACGTTTCTTTTGTTCCCGCATCAATACATCCTCGCCTTCACGAATCGCGCCTCGTTCGAGATCTGATGGGCCGACTGGCTTCTTCTTAGACTTGGGGGCATTGTCGCGCGCTATCCGGGAGCCCATCTCTCTGATTCCGATCCGGCCAGCGATGGACTCAGGGTCTCCGGTAGGTTCGTCATTGACGCGACTGATGAAACGACGGTCCGCCTGGAGAACCAGGTTGGACATCGCCGAGTACTTATACTGCGAGATATTTTGGTCCGCCATCTTGGTGTGGTGGTGTCGTTTTCACGACAAAGCGATCAATTGGTGTAGGGAAGAAAAAAAGAGTGAGCTTCGCGACTTGGATCGGCCTGATGCGCCAAAGTCGAAGTCGTCCACGTCGGGGAGGGGTATCAGCGATTGAGTGAAATTAAATGGAGTCACAAACCTGGCTCATTCTCCTGTCGCAAGCGAGCTGACTTGTTGGGGGAGAAATGAAGGCCAGGGTTTGGAAATAGTAGTAATCTCTCAAAGGAGAGAAGCAATCGGGAAGATTTCGGTGGATGGCGAAGGCGGAAGGCGGAGTGCGGAGGGGAGCTTCTAGTTTGATGAGAGACCGGCAGAACTCCCCTGCTACCTGCTTCGATCGAGTTGCTTCATTGCAATGATGCGCCTGAATTTGAATGGCAGGCCATTGGTGCAATGGAGACCATCCTGGAAATTACCACTAAGACCAAGCACAGGTGTGAATATCTCATCCCATCGCTGCCGCGTGCATCGAACGATCTGTCACCATGCGCCATACTCGCCATACTCGCCAGTTCGCGCGCGTATCCATAGTGCGACGCCGTTGGTCCCAGTGGTCCAGCAACAAAGAGGCGCAAAGACGAAATCTACTGTCAAATTGAAGGATCTTCCACAAGGTGTTGTGAAGCTTGAGGCCTATGATGATGGCGTCGACGACGCCCCCCGTTACCCGACAGTCGTGCAGGGTCACAGAAATAACATGCAAAAGTTCAAGAATTGTGTAGTTCTCACGCGTGTTGGGGGCTTCTATGAGGTATGTATAGCTTCTTTTTTTTCCTCCCATCGTCGAAGATAACTCCTAATATGTTGTATTCAGCTTTACTTCGAACAAGCTGAGGAATTTGCCCCCTTACTCGGCATGAAGCTTGCAACCAAGCGGACCAGCGCCGGGCCTGTTCCCATGGCTGGATTCCCCTTCTTCCAACTCGATAGGTACCTGAAAATGTTAGTGCAAGACCTAAACAAATATGTGGCCATCAGTGAGGAATTTACCCCGGCGGCAGAGGAGAAAGCAAAATCAAATACGGGCTTGCTCTTCGATAGGAAAGTGGCCAGGATTATCACACCAGGAACATTAATCGATGAGAAATTCATTGACCCATCTGAGCATAATTTTTTGCTATCAATATACCTTGATGTTCCATCACTAGAAGCACACTTGAAACAAAAGGACGATGCACAATCATCTCAACATATACTGTCTTCTGTGTCTCAAAGTGTAGGATTGTCCTGGTTGGATCTCTCCACGGGGGACTTTTTTACTCAACTCACCTCTCTACAAATGCTTCCATCTGCAATAGCCCGCATCGGAGCTCGGGAGATTCTTGTCGATCAGCAAGTCCAAGATCTCATCGGGCAGGAGCTGCAACTTTTGGTCGGCTTCGAGCATCGCCTCGTCACTTTCTTCCGCTTTCCCGAAACATTCGCACCGATGTCACAATGGGAATCAATGCTTGAGGCTCCAATCCCTGAGGAATCTCATGCAACTTTCTCCTCGGAGGAGGTTGCCGCTGGGTTCAGCTTACTTGAATATATTCGCGTGCAGTTGCAGGGATCGAATCTCAAACTACAGCCCCCACGTCGGAGACATCTTGATGAATCAATGAACATTGATCGGAATAGTTTGAGAGGTCTTGAAATCCTCGAAACTGCACGAGATGGATTTGGAAAGGGCAGCTTGCTTCATGCCGTCCGCAGAACATCTACTAAGAGCGGCGCCCGTCTTTTAAGAGACCGACTCAGTGAGTTTTTTTCTTATAAACAAAAGAATTATTACCTAGGTAGTAATTTATGTTGGCGTACTTTACTAATTCCTTCCACTAATACCTCCCAGCTTCTCCATCTACTTCATTACACATCATCAACCAGCGGCTTGACCTTGTTGCGGTACTAATCGCGAGCGAGGAGCTCCGTGATAGCGTTGTCCAGCTGTTGAAGCGTAGCTATGATGCTCAACGACTAGTACAGAAGTTTGCACTTGGCAAAGGAGACCCCGATGATCTAATCTGTCTTTCCCGTGCTATTGAGGCATCGAAAGGTGTTAGACAGGTCCTATCTGATCACGAGAGACACCTACCCTCTTCTTCGTCCGACGCGAAACACAGTCTCAACACCATGATATCACGTCTTTATCTGGATGGACCAATAGCTCTTGCAGAAAGGATACTTGCCGCTATTGACGAAGAGGGCCTTTTGCAGCAACAACGTATCGAAGACAGCACCGCCGCCGCCGCAGCTAATCTAGCACAGGAAGTCACACTCAATGAAGGCACATCCAGCGACCTCCAGTCGCTACCTAAGAAGGTCAGAACCAAAAGCAGTGACCGGGCAGCGACAGCGGATGCAGAATCCGGCTCTGTTGATACGTGGATCATGAGACGCGACGCCAGCAGTTCCTTGAACAAGCTGCATGCAGAAATCGAGCGCCTGTGGGAGGAAAAGGCGTCGCTAACTCAACACCTTCGTGATTCAGTCGGTTCCTCCGCGCTGACTCTCAAATGGACCCCTGGCCTCGGCCATATTTGCCACGTCAAAGGACCGAAGGTTTCACAAGAAGCCCTTGAGGAACTAGGGATCACGCGCAACGTTTCCTCCACCAAATCGACCAGGTCGTTCTATCTCCCTGCGTGGACCGAGCTAGGAAATAAAATGGAAACTATTCGAGTCAAAATCCGGCAAGAGGAGCAAGCCATATTTGAGCGCCTCCGCCGAGAAGTCATCCTCAACTTGGTCAAGATCAGACGCAATGCAGCAGTCATGGATGAACTAGACGTCGCATGTTCCTTCGCAATTCTAGCTCAAGAGCAGCAAATGGTACGCCCGATTCTTAACGACGGCACCTCGCACCGAATCGTGGGCGGCAGGCATCCAACCGTCAAGCTTGGCCTGGAAGAACAGGGTCGATCTTTCGTCAGTAACGACTGCTTCCTCGGCGAAAAGGAACGAATCTGGCTCATTACTGGTCCAAACATGGCGGGCAAAAGTACATTCTTGCGGCAGAACGCTTTGATCACCATCCTGGCGCAAGTGGGCTCGTATGTGCCTGCCGCTTACGCCGAAATCGGAATTGTGGACCAGATATTCAGTCGCATCGGCGCGGCTGACGATCTCTTCCGTGACCAATCCACGTTCATGGTCGAGATGCTTGAGACGGCCGCTATCTTGAAACAAGCCAGCCCTCACTCGTTCGTTATCATGGATGAGGTTGGGCGAGGCACTACACCCGAGGACGGGACAGCTGTCAGCTATGCCTGTTTGCACCATCTGCACTATCATAACCAATCCCGAACACTATTCGCGACACATTTCCACTCGCTGGCGGATATGACGAGCCAATTTGAGCATCTGGAGAGGTATTGCACGGATGTCAAGGAGATGGATTCTGGGGCTTTCTCGTTTGTGCATCGGCTGCGGAAAGGTGTTAACCGTGAATCGCATGCTTTGAAGGTTGCCCAATTGGCGGGTCTTCCTCAAGAATCTCTTGATCTTGCCAGAAGTGTCCGTGAAGAGTTGCGAGCGGAGATCGCTTCCCCAGTCCTACCGATTGAAAGTCCGAAGATGCCATTCGGTTCGTGACTTACAAACGACAGGTTGATTTGCGATAGCGCGCAGGTCTTTCCGGGCCTATGTAAAATAGATCGTCTATGTAAATATGTACAATAAAGGCTCATTTGCCCAGCCATTTTACCAAGATCTACTGTGTACCTAAAAAGGCTATGATACAGCGCTAGCGAACCATCCCCGCAAGAACGATAGACACTACCTAGGTAGTTTATGCTATGATAGTACCACTGACCTACTACTAATACTAGTAATCGCCAGTACCCTAATAGTACACGCGTCCTACAGATAGATCCCAAGGTCATCTTCAAGTTCCAAGGTTGCGCACAGACCTATCTACATGTCCAGGGTATATTTAGTATCTGAGGGCCGTTCCGGCGTAGTGGAACGACCGCGATTGATAATAACCTTCGGTAATGAACCCGTAACCTAATCTCGCCATAGTGACGGGAGAATGGATCGTCGTGGCAAATGGAGCCTGCATACCTAGGTAGATCAGAGCCAGAATGCAGATTAGGGCTTGAATGTGCGCTTAAATTGAGATGATTTTATACAATATCTATTGTCTAAACCTCGAGTCACCATAGTCTAAAGCTTCGCTGCTGTCCAAAGCCTTGGCCCCGCCAGCTCTTTACGGCCATACTGGCCCTTGTAACCAAGATCAACATTAATACCTTCGCCGAAGGCCGCCTCTTGACAATCCTCATCATCAACGCCATTGACGTGCTGCACGACAACGAAATCCACACGGCGCGGGCCAAGCACGACCATCGGCGCATGCCAAGTGCCAGCAGCGTAAGTAACGGCCTGACCACCTCGTCCAATGAAAGCCTTCGCGTTACGCAGATCGGGCGGATCGCGAATTGTAATAACTTCGCCGGCTTCGTCCTTCGCAGTAGTAGTTTCACCTTTGAGGGTGGGCGCAACAACGACCAAGAAAACGGGCTCTTCCTCGCCATTTCCAACCTTGGAGTGGCTCGATAGATCGGTAGGGATGAAAGTCTGGTGGGTGTATGGGTGGCGCTCTAGAATGCGAACATCGAAGGCTTCTTTCTCGGGTTGATTGGTGGCTGTGATACTGCGGAGTTTGCGCGGGAAGCAGCAGAACATGGTCAGTCTTGTTGCCGAGGGTGTGCCACTTGGTCCATTTTTGTAGTTGTCCAGCATAGGCGAGATAGGGCTGAACTTGAGAGCGGAATTTTGGTTTGCGAGAATGGGCGTCGGGGTGTGCGGGTTTGGGGGCAGGGAGGTCGGTTGAACGGCAACACTGAGGTCGCGCGGTAGAGGCGATTGAATTGCTGTGCCGAATTGGGCGAAGCTGGCCGGGCTCAGAGGCTCGGGGACCAGTGTGAGGGCTGGGTTGAAGGTGAGGGTTGGCGCCATGGTGGTAGTGGGGGTTGGAGAAGGTGCTTGATAGAATCGGGGCTGTAGAGCGGTTCTCTCGCTTTTGGTGCGATCTCTTGTGTCAATTTATCGCCTTTCTTTGTCGGTGTTTTCCTCTTCGGAGAGAACGAAAGAGAAAATAGCAGAAGGTGGGTTTATGGGGTCAATGGAAGCGGAGAGGTTAATGTCGGCGCTCTCCGGTTGAAGTTGGGGTCGATAAGATAGCGGCCGGGGCCGATAGTCCGGGGAACCTTAGAAAGAACCTCAGAGCCATACTGTGTTCGTATATGAACCCGGAGAAGACTATCGGATAGTAAATATTGATAAATACAGAATATTCAGACAGGCTGATAATCACGGGATATCTCATGCTGGAAATGGTCGGAAAAAATTGATCTGACCTTAACCATTCCCCGCTTGATATCGGAATGCATCAGCCGGCCACTGGGAACCATGTGATGCATAAAAGCCACATTCCTGAGAAGTTCACCGGAGATCCGAAGCACTAGCCTTAGGATTCGAGGTACCCGTCAATTCTTAGCATTTCTTTCTAAAGTTATTGGTCAGATCAACCTTATATCTAATCGGATGGTGTAATCGTGGTGAATTGAACTTATTAGTGGCCATCAAAACTTGAAGCGATAGACCGGATGGCAGGTGACCCAAAGAGATATTACTACTAGTATAGTGTATAACTTGCTTTTAGCCAAGCAATGACCAACTTGAAACCTTAGAATAGCAGTGGCTCTGCGTGGATGACTCGTAGATAGTAACAGATGATACTAGTATATTCTCGATTATACTTTCAAGTTCAAGGGCCGGCTCCATGCTAGGTTTAACCTGCTCCACGAAAACCTGAGTTAGTACTAACTTTGATACCAGTAGGATTTGGATTTTGCCTGAGGACGGGGAGTGGTATGATCTAATCTACAGTCTTTAGTCTGCTTACTATCGACCGGGAGGGTCTGATATAGTCAGGTTTAAGTAATCAGGTAATTATGAAACTTATTTACTGTTAAAATTGACGCAGTTTCCCTATTTATCTACGAGCATGGGGTGAACAACTTGAAAGCTGTGTGGATTCCCAAAAGAAAGAGCTCAATACCAATGTATCCACACCTTGTGCCGTTCATTCGACCCCACCTCCTCTCCACGAAGGCGCTCGCATGTGAAACAGAATAAATTAAAGCTCGAACGAATATGCATGAGAAGCGTACGAGGTCTCTTTGTATAGGTCGCATGAAAGGTGGATATCATGCAACGGGCCAACGCATCTCCGGGTCGGTGCCCAACTAACAAGATCTCCCGAGGTTGACGTTAGGCTTAACTATCCTAATTCTGGGAATGCTAGACCATTAATTATCACGAATAAAGAGGAAGCTCTATGACTCGCACAACCGAATGCTTGGACCGTCCCCGTGGGTCACACCTCATTGGTCAGAATATCGGGGTCGGGTGAGGATGCGGAACACGATGTGAGAGAGGGGGAGGGATCCTGGATCCTCACCCTCCAAGATGACATGACCTGCCCAGGATACCACTTTCCCTGGTTGCTTTCATTGCTCAGAGCCAGTGGGAGCCAGACCCCGAATAGAGGGGTTCGCACCTGGTTCGCACCTGGTTCGCACAAGGCAACCATCATATCAATCCTTATACACTTGCATCTACAGCATACAGCGGAGAGTACATCTACATAGTGCGTCAACATAACGCGGAGACTGGTTCTAACACATTGTAATGCGGCTCTTTTCTGCGGAGTTCCTCTGCCCAATTTTATCTCCTCGGGGCGGCCGCGCTCAGAGGGTTCACCATTGGTCCATCCGCTATTTGGTTGAAGCATCGTCGGCTACACGGGCCTTGTTATTGGAGATCAAGCTATGTGCCCAATATGCTACTCCATCGCTACGTTTCGCATTCCGATCAAGGTCGAATTTTATAAAGGAATCGCCTACGGCACCAGTTGATTCCTGTGTTTCTTAAGATGCCACCGTTTTCCTGGCTCTTTCATCCTCCGTGAATTCGTTCTTTCGACCTTGTCATTAAGATTCCCTCATTACATCTCTCCATCTCTCCGAAACGAAATATCTGAGTAACAAATCCACAAAATGCCCTCCGAAGACGGTGGACAGAGCGCGCCAGCTCCCCCAAACCCCTCGGGAGGTTCAGGTGGGACATCACAGAGGTATTTGACAACATTGCATTCCCGCTTCGTCTCTCAGTCCATAATAACTGACGGCTTATTATTACACAGTGGCACAAACGGCAGTGGTGGTGACATAGCCTTCCAATACATGGGGGGCATGGGTAGGTGACTCGCAGGCATTCTTTCTGATAGTTCTAGCTAATCAGAGATATGCGAGGGGAAAGACCGGCAAGTAATCAGTAGCCAAAAGAAGACGACGCGGGGGCAATTCCGGACATAAGATACCAAAGGATGAACTAAGGGAATGGATCTCTTAGCACAACCGCATGGGGAATCCGGAGGGAGTCCGACAATACCCGATCTGGCTAGGAGATTATGACGTTTGTCTCACGGCTGCACGAATATCTAGCAAGAAACTGGGTCTGTCTAAATGGAGCTTTTCAGCAGTGGGTAAAGGCGTTGTGGAATTGACTTGGATTGGACGTGCATTCAATGTGATGCTTGCGAGGGGCGCCTATCAAATGGTGCATGCATGCAGGCTTCGGCAGCGGGGGGAGGACTACAACGGATGGGGAAATTTCTCGACAAGGACCTATCCTTGCTAGGAATTCTGAGGTTGGAAAGAGATGACGAGAGCTTCCTCCAATCTCGCCCTTCGACCCGCTGCAATGGATGCTCTGACTTCAAAGCCGAGGATGAACGTGCGCCGTCTTCTCCGCATCTCCCGTGTTGCCCCTCTTTTTCTTTTTGTATGAGGCGCTGGCGTATTAGCAAGGGCTGTCTTTCTGCGTTGTCAATTTTTTCTTCCTACCCTGTCTTCGGCAATGGGGATATTTGATGTTTTGGGGTGTTTTGTCTTGATTCATTTTCTTTTTCCCTCTCTTTTTGTCACCAGATTCCAATGTTTGCTACGCGGTAGATCCGCCAGCCTATTCTCAGTGATCGACAGTGAAATATGCAACTCCAGTTTGATATTGCCACACAATGCCTTGGTAGCATCATGAAGTTTCATCTGATGCGCATGACTGCCCAACATTCGAGTGTAGACTACATAACTTGAGCCTCCTCCACCGCGATATCGCAGCACCATCCGATTCCACACATAGCTTGACGGATCAAATGAGAAAATTATAGACCTGGGATTTCGGAGGTCGGAAGTTTACTGTAGGGCTGAAGGTGGATACTCCCTTTAAGTCGAGTGGAGGCCCGACTAGCTGCATCGGAATGTTTTGTTTTGTTGTGATACCTTCAAGTTGTGGTAAGGAGTGGAGTCTATATTTCGTTGTTGGTCAAATAAATCCTACATATAGTATATACGTCCTTCCAATGGGATGCCTCCACATTGGCATACATCATATGAATCAAAGAGCTTTTCAATTTAAAACTGATATAAGAACATTTGTTGATTGTGTTAGCAACCTTGGAAGTGGCCAGTCTTGGATAGTTGAAAGAAAACCTAACAACTAAGAACGTATCAGCCATCGATAGTGTAGTAATTAATGGCTCGGTATATCAACATACTAAGGTTGTTTTCCCCTTGAATGCATTGGATTAAACATGATGATTTTCACCCTTCACTACTATTATTTGAGTTTATTTCAACTCAATTGGTACTACTTCTAGATTTATATTTTTCTTCAATCTTCTGGCTCTCCCTCAACCACTGGGCAGCTTGTGGTTTCGTAAAAAGATGGCTTTATATACATTCGAAGCCCTGGAGCGCTGGGAAGCCCAGATAGTACCTATGTAGGTATATCATGAGCACTTTAGGGCTGCCCAGGTGTTGTGCATGAAATATCTCTAAGACAGTACATTGAATTTCACACTCACGAGTCCTTGATAAAGGTGAGTCTCTAATAGGCAATGCCATCATTTCTCCTCGAAAACTTTCTCGATTTTCCCCTCATCTCCAATATGGTTGTAGCACCGATCATATCGGTGCTCAATTTCTTCGTTGTGCTTCCGTACGTCTTCTGGTAAATCCTCATGTTTTACGCCGCTTATATCGGCCAGATTGGATTGCCTGCCGTCTCGAAGAGTGGGGTGGGCCTTGTTGGAAGGAATCGGGTGGTTGGGAGTGTTGCCGCGGTCACATTCCTCTTCTAGGTTATGCTCATTTGCACTTGAAAATTTCTGGGCAGTGTCGTGAACGTATGCTTGCTGGCCGAAGACGTTGCTCGAGTTGCGACCGAGAGGAATTGAGGCTGGAGTTCGTAGTCGCAACGGAATACGAAGGAAGGGGCTCATTTTGGATTAAAGTACTCTGATACCGAGAATGAGCGATAGTCTGGCTGAATTTTGGCTGAAATAATGTGAAATGATAGAAAGAATGCTAGAAGATAACTGGCCAGGTGGGAGGCTTATATCAATTTCAAGTTATATCCAGAGGTGATCTATAAAATCAGGTTTCTACGCCTTCTCAGGAACGTATTCATAGCCCCACACCTGGGCACCCTTGGTAGTTTTCTTGGAGATGGTCCATGACGTAGACGTACCGATGTCATAGTAGCTACAAACTATTTTTTTTGTTATTGGATGTATAATGTCTCAGAGCTTGTGATATCACTGAGGATACTAGATGCGTTCAGAAACCTTGGGAGCCTATCCACTCTCTTCACCGCGGAGTGCATATGCGATTTTAATACTGTACAAAACTCAAAACAATGAGCCTTTCAATACTACTGGCATGACAAGGTTATTGGAAAAGAAAATATGAAGCGTTTGCGGCAATTCCATATACATTGTTTAAAGTAGTAGATCAAATATTCATGATACTCCAATTATTCAGTGAGATGTACTTGGTGCCTGAAAGGCTATGCGGGCCAACTTGAATACAGAAGATTCGGATAATCAGCCATGGCTGCCGATTGGCAGGCAGCCTGCCGAGGGATCCAAGCAGTCAGAGAGAGTTCTAGACACTCGAGACCTCTCCAAGTGAGACTAGATACAGGACAAAAGATAACTGTGGACAACTATGCAAAGGTGTCAGGGTGGTAATAGTTACCTTATGTGTGACCTTGAGCAGACTAGTAGTTGAAGTGCAGACGTATGCAGTACCTCCCTCTTTGACCCATATACAGTCACAGCGGGCGACTGTCGATATTGGTCAATAAATTTCTAAGCGGACTTAGAAAGAGCTCTGTTTGGCGAACTAAATGGCGTGCAGATAGTAGGATGACCCCCTGTAATTTTCCGAGCAGAGCGGCTGCGGGGGTCTCTGGATCAGAGGATATTTCGCGATGTGCATCTGACTGTCGAATTCTCTTTACTCGGCAGATAGAAGCAAGCTCGCGGTGTGGGTAATAGGACAAGGGAAACACCTCATAATCAGGTGTCACTTGGATCACCACCTCGTGACTCAAACTTGGCCTTCTTGGCCCGGCGTTTCATCTCTCTCTTTGAAATTGCCTTTTCGGGTTCTTCAACCGATTCAGACCCCAGCGAAGCCTTTCGCTTCAAAGTATCAGCCGCATTACGAGGCGTGGTTGGGGTGTCGAGTTTTGTGGAGGCCTTCTGCTTCGGCGCCGGTTTCTGGCGCTCAACCTTCTCGCCGCCATGGACAATATCGACAATGCCCCGCCAGCTGCTGCGCTTCAGCTTAGCAAGAGCCGTGACCTTTCTGGATTCCTCGCAGATTGCCTCCTTGCCACGTTCCTGCGAAAGGCCCCAAACACAGGTCAAGTTGATCACATCCCATGGAGCTCGTAAGCTCAGAGCTCTTTGGGCTTCACTGGACACAATGATACCGCGGCCTCGTGTGGCTCTGATCAATGCTGTAGCATTCCCAATAAGATTCCGGCGAGCGTCTAATCCACTTCCTGTGATTCCGGGGCCATAACATATTTCTAGTCGGACTCCGCGTGATATAGCAGCCGACAGCATCTTGAATTTGAAATGATACGGCAAACGAACTGATAAATCGAGCGAGATCACATCACATTCCAGATTTGTACAAGCGTTGAGTAAAGCCTTTTCATTTGTCGGACGGAGAGCAACCAGATCGTATGCCTGGGTCAAACTAGCCAGACGCTGGTTCTGCGCGGGATCGGACAAGGTCAGGTTGAGCCGGGTCAGCAGCTGGAGGGATTTAGGCGGATTCGGCGGGAGAGACGGCGGGGAAATGCTTGTAGGGAGCTTCCCATTGATTGTTTGAGACAAGGCGACAGTAGTATAACCAACTGCAGGGTCAGGTTAGTACCTCATGTGGTCTAGCACTGGATCTTGTGCTGGTTGTCGGCAGAATGACTTACGTTCTGCCAGGAAATTCAAGGTATGAGGAACGTCAGAGTCATCTGGACTATAAGGAACGTTTAAATCAAAGAACATGATGGGAAGGGAGAGAGGGCCTTTAAAAGACGCCACCAGGCACAAGAAAAAGCAAAAGGAAAAGCAAAAGAACAGCGCGAGGTTCAAGTGACTTGAGCTGTCCAAAAAGGGAAATCGCGCTTTCCCACAGAAAATCAGTTCGGAAGAATACTAAGTCCGAGCGGATTAACCATATTGGTCCGGCTCCCCACAGCCCAAGTCCCGTGACAACGGAACATCAGATCTGCTCGCATCAGAATTAAACCCCCCTCTAACCCATTGCTTTAGGACGTTTGATAGCACGGCTGTGTCTGAGCTGGTCAGTTGTTGGGCCCGCTGCGTCTCTTCTATTTCTGTGTCAATACTTCCTCCGACCTCCCCCTCCCTCCCCTCTATCTCTGTCACCCGGGCGCACCCCGCGTGACCCCGCCGCATATCTCGATTGTGGGCGCGGGCTCGGAAGCCATCTGCGATCATCATGGCGCGTGTTTATGCCGATGTCAACGAGCATATGCCTCGGTCCTATTGGGACTATGACAGTGTCAACATCTCTTGGGGTGTGCTGGAGAACTATGAAATTGTTCGCAAGATAGGTAATTCGCGCCTGATTGGAGCCCATCCCAACTCCCGGGAATGACGGTACCATTCGCCGTCATTCCTTAAACTATAGAGATGATGTGCCTGCCTGACTATTTGCTAACTTTTTGGAACTCTAGGCCGAGGAAAGTACTCGGAGGTATTCGAAGGCATCAACGTTGTCAACTATCAGAAATGTGTCATCAAGGTTCTTAAGCCTGTTAAGAAGAAGAAGATCAAGCGAGAGATCAAGATCCTCCAGAATCTGGCCGGGGGACCTAATGTTGTCGCGCTGCTGGATGTGGTACGTGACAACCAGAGCAAAACCCCCAGTCTGGTTTTCGAGGCTGTCAACAACACCGATTTCCGGACTCTGTACCCCCGCTTTACGGATTACGATGTTCGCTACTACGTTTTTGAGCTGCTGAAGGCGTTGGACTTCTGCCACAGCAAGGGTATTATGCATCGAGACGTCAAGCCCCACAACGTTATGATTGACCATGAGAAGCGCAAGGTGTGTTGGCTTTCCTTTGCGGCTTTTATCTCACTTGACGATCTTTTTTTCTCTCTAACTCTCTTCTAGCTGCGACTTATTGACTGGGGTCTGGCCGAGTTTTACCACAAGGGTACCGAGTACAACGTCCGCGTTGCGTCGCGGTACTTCAAAGGCCCTGAATTGCTCGTCGACTTCCAGGAGTATGACTACTCCCTCGATATGTGGTCGCTTGGCGCAATGTTTGCCTCCATGATCTTCCGCAAAGAGCCATTTTTCCACGGCAACAGTAACTCCGATCAATTGGTCAAGATTGCCAAGGTCCTTGGGACTGAGGAGCTGTTCGAGTATCTGGACAAGTACGACATTGAGTTAGATCCTCAGTACGACGAGATTCTGTCGAGGTTCCCCCGCAAGCCTTGGCACTCTTTTGTCACTCCCGAAAACCAGCGCTTTATTAGTGACGAAGCTATTGACTTCCTTGACAAGCTACTTCGTTATGATCATGCTGTACGTGGATTTCCATCATACTTTGGACTGCGTAGAAGTACATATACTGACCTTTTCTCATAGGAACGTCTGACCGCCCAAGAAGCCATGGCCCACGCATACTTCGATCCCGTCCGTGCTGATGTTGCCCGCAACAACAACAGCCAATCTTGAACTTAGTTGGTGTGTTGATGGCAATGGCATTCCTACCCTCTATTCCCCCAATTCCACTATCCCCACTCTCCTTTCTCACCCCTTCCATTTGCCATTAAAACAGCACCCCCGGCATCCCGGACCCTTTTTTTGTCTGAGTTTGAACCATGCCGACGTGAACGGTGCACGAAATGAGAACACGAGAAGGCGAGTGAATGACGCAACCACGGAAGCTGTTTCGCAGGCTTCCTTGATGAAATGTGGCTGCAATCAGTGACCGAATCCCAAACCGAACGGAGACGACGTTGATGATAAGACATGACATCTAATCTTCTTGGGCAATCCAGCCCTGCATCGCCTCGGCTGCGGGGCATGTTAGTGAGCGCAATAAACCAGTTGACGTCTTAGAGCCGGCGGGGCAGTTGTTGTCTCCCATTTCTAATTGTATAGCGCTCCTTTTCCTTGTCTCTGCCACTTTTTCCTCCATGCTAGTCCTTGGTCCGGTGTTATGGCCCTTTTGAATTTGATTTCTTGTTCTGACCCAGTTTACTTTCCTTCCCAAGAGCTTCGTATTCACCGTATGAGTATTTGCCAGTGATGATTAGCATTTCCAGAGAGTGCCCCAATCGGACCAATTTTCTTTATCCTCTATAAGGGTGAATAATAGTACCTATGGTGCTAGTATCCAATCTGCTTATCGACTCGGGTCACCTGTTGGCACCAGCGGCGTCACGTGAGAGAATATTCCTGAGCAGCGAGACTAAAGATATCGCGAAGGGGCAATTGACACGAAAAAAAATACAGACTAACAGGCACAATTCAATGGTGGAACTACATCCGGTTTCCCTGCAGCTGCTACTACAACGTCCAGCGCGCCCGCGGTCTCCACCGATCCTCTCTTGTGCCCCGCCCTCTCATTCGTCGTGGGAAATTTAACTGCCCGCATTTCGCACAACCACCCCTCCTTGTCGCATCTTCCCTCTCCCCAAGATACTTATCCGGAGATTAGTGGCGCGATCGACGCCCTGGAGATTCACTCCTCAATATCGATCATTTACAAGGATGGCTCAAAACTCTGCCTCCCAAGACCCCAGTGAGTCCCTACCCCCCACAAGTCCATGACTCACCTAAGTCACGAAGTGCTCCCGTACTCATGCGCCGCTTCATAGCCGGGTTGCAAAACCCCCCCTGCGACCCAGAATCCTCAGACTGAGGCCGGACAAGATGCCTCCGCCGTTCCCAAGGTGAAGACCGAGAAGGAGTGTATGTCAGACCCCGCGGAATCCTCAATTGTCTTGTTCACTCGACAAGCCCTTCGATCTATATACTCGGATATCTTCTGACATATAGGTTCGTTCTAGTGGAGCGTGAGCGCAAGAAGGCCGAGAAGGCGAAGAAATTCGCCGAAAAGAAAGCCAAGGCTGCCAGCCAACCCGCCGCCGAGCCCAAGCCCAAGGCTGAGAAGAAGCCCAAGGTCGAGAAAGAGAAGACCACCGACGCATACGACCCCAAGGTCATCGAGGCTGGTCGTCTCGAGTGGTGGGAGGAGCGCGATCTCTTCAAGCCCGAGTTTGGCCCCGACGGCAAGGTCAAGCCCGAGGGCTCCTTCGTCATTCCTATCCCTCCCCCCCAACGTCACCGGTTCTCTACACATGGGCCATGCCCTCACCAACGCCCTGCAAGACACGATGATCCGCTGGCAGCGTATGAAGGGTAAGACTACCCTCTGGCTGCCCGGTATGGACCACGCTGGTATCTCTACCCAGAGCGTTGTCGAAAAGATGCTGTGGAAGAACGAGAAGAAGACCCGTCACGACATTGGACGCCCCGCCATGACGAAATTGATCTGGGACTGGAAGGATATGTACCACGCCAACATCAAGAACGCCCTACGCAGAGTTGGTGGTTCTTTTGATTGGTCTCGCGAGGCTTTCACCATGGACGCTAACCTGTCGGCTGCTGTTACCGAGACCTTCGTTCGTCTTCACGAAGAGGGCATCATCTACCGTGCTAACCGTCTTGTTAATTGGTGTGTCTCTCTGAACACTTCTCTGTCTAACCTCGAAGTCGAGAACAAGGAAATCGAGGGCCGTACTCTCCTCGACGTGCCCGGCTACGACAAGAAGGTCGAATTCGGTGTCCTGACCCACTTCTGCTATGAAATTGATGGCTCTAAGGAGCGCATCGAGATCGCTACTACTCGTCCCGAGACCATGGTCGGTGACACTGGTATTGCCGTTCACCCTACCGACGTTCGTTACAAGCACTTGATCGGCCAGAACGCTCGCCACCCCTTCGTTGACCGTCTTCTCCCCATTGTGGCCGATGAGGCTGTCGATCCCGAGTTTGGTACTGGTGCCGTCAAGATCACTCCCGCTCACGATTTCAACGATTTCACCCGCGGAAAGGCCCACAACCTGGAGTTCATCTCCGTCATGAACGACGATGGTACCTTCAACAAAAATGCCGGCTCCTTCGCTGGCCTCAAGCGCTTCGATGCCCGTTACAAGGTCATTGATGCTCTCAAGGAGAAGGGCTTGTACGTCAAGTGGGAGCACAACCCCATGAAGGTCCCTCGATGCGCTAAGTCCAACGACGTTATCGAGCCCATCCTCAAGCCCCAGTGGTGGATGAAGATGGAAAGCCTTGCTGGACCTGCCATCAAGGCCGTTGAGAACGGCGATATCATCATTCGCCCCGAGAGTGCTGAGAAGAGCTACTTCCGCTGGATGCACAACATCAATGACTGGTGTCTATCTCGTCAGCTCTGGTGGGGCCACCAGGCTCCCGCCTACTTCGTCAAGATCGATGGCGAAGACAACTCCGATAGCGATGGTGACTTCTGGGTGACCGGCCGCACCGAAGAGGATGCTCGGGTTAAGGCCGAGGCCAAGTTCCCTGGCAAAACCTTCACTCTTGTTCAGGATCCCGATGTTCTCGACACCTGGTTCTCTTCCGGCCTCTGGCCTTTCTCCACCCTGGGATGGCCCCAGAAGACCCACGATTTCGAGAACCTGTACCCCACTTCTGTCCTGGAGACTGGCTGGGATATTCTCTTCTTCTGGGTTGCCCGTATGATCATGCTTGGTATCAAGCTGACTGGTCAGGTTCCCTTCAAGGAGGTCTACTGCCACTCTTTGATTCGTGATTCTGAAGGCCGTAAGATGTCAAAGTCTCTGGGCAATGTTGTCGATCCCATCGATGTCATGGAGGGTATTCCATTGCAGACTCTCCATGACAAGCTTCTCCTTGGTAACCTTGCCGACAAGGAGGTCGCCGCTGCTACTAAGTACCAGAAAAAGGCTTTCCCCAAGGGTATCCCCGAGTGCGGCGCTGACGCTCTTCGCTTTGCCCTTGTCTCTTACACCACTGGTGGTATGTAGTCTTCGTTCTATTCCTAGCAGAGCATGACGCTAACGATATTTTTAAAAGGTGGTGATATTGCATTCGATATCCAGGTCATTCACGGATACCGTCGCTTCTGTAACAAGATTTACCAGGCTACCAAGTTCGTTCTTGGCAAGCTGGGCGAGGACTTCAAGCCTCAAGCCACTGCAACCAAAACTGGGAAGGAGTCCCTGTCTGAGCGCTGGATTCTCCACAAGCTCAATGCTGCTGCCAAGGAGGTCAATGAATCCCTCGAGGCCCGTGAGTTCTCCAGCGTCGCCATTACCACCTACCAGTACTGGTACGGCCAGCTGTGCGATGTTTTCATCGAGAACTCCAAGTTCCTCTTGGCCGAGGATGCTTCCCCCGAGAGCCGAGAGTCTGCCAAGCAGACCTTGTACACTGCTCTCGATGGCGCTCTGACTCTGATTCACCCCATCATGCCTTTCGTCACCGAGCACCTGTGGCAGCGTCTGCCCCGTCGCCCCGACGACAAGACTGTCTCTATCATGACTGCCAGATTCCCCGAGTTCAAGGAAGAATTCCACGACCCTGCCGCCGAGACCGCCTACGAGCTTGTACTGAACACCTCCAAGGCCATTCGTTCCATTCTTGCTCAGTACGATGTGAAGACTAAGGGCGATATCATTATCCAGACCTACGACGCCACCAGCGAGAAGACTATTGCCGAGCAGATGACTAGCATTCAGTCTCTGGGTGGAAAGACCCTGGGCGAGCTGTCCCACCTGGGCCCCGACAACAAGACCCCTCCTTCTGGATGTGTTGTCGCCGCTGTCGGTGCTGAGGCTGCAGTCTACCTGCGTGTCTCTAAGGAGGTAGCCCTTGAGCAGGAGGAGAAGGCCAAGGCCGGTCTCGAAAAGGCGCAGGAGGCTGTTCGCCGCTCACAAGGCATCATGGGCGGCCCTAACTGGAAGGATAAGGTCAAGCCTGAGGTTCGTGCCGCTGAGGAGAAGCGTCTTCGCGATGCCGAGAGCGAGGCTGCTCGTCTGGAGGAGCAGATTAAGGAATTTGAGAAGCTCCGTTTGGAGTAAAATGCGGGCGGATTGTACCCGGATAACAATATAAATAAAACGCAATTTACAATCTTTATCTTGTTCAACATTTTGGCCACGTAGCATATCACGTACGAGTACTACTAGTAATTGTGGGTTGACCTTACTTACTAGAATTTGGTAAAATTGGAACTTTGATCGAAAATATATCTGCCTCAGGCCAAATTTGCCCCGGCCGCGCTTATCGATAAGCGGTGCCAAGACCTCCCAGGCCCAAAAGTTTTCTGCGTTTTTTACTCCGAGTCTCCTCAAGAAAACCAACCCCCACCATCACAATGTTGCGCGAAGTGTGAGTCACAGCCCATTGGCATTTGCATATTCTTCATCTGACATGTTTCCTGCAGTAAAGCCAAGAACCCGCGCACAGCGCGCATTCTCAAGGCGCGAGAGCCGCAACTCATCGAGCCCCCGAAGAAAACGCTAATTCTCCACGGCACAAAATGCCCCCAGGCACTGGACACCGTGCTGAAGACCTTCCACTCCCTCACAAAGCCTCACTCCGTCCTGTTCCACAAGAAGAATGCAAACATTCACCCATTCGAGAACCTCGAGAGCATGGAGTTTCTGGCCAACAAGAACGAGTGCCCTCTGGTCGTGTTCGGCAGCAGCAACAAGAAGCGTCCTAACTGCCTCACTCTGGCCCGAATCTTCAACTCACAACTTCTCGACATGTGCGAATTGCTCCTCCTGCCCGCCAAGGACGATAAAGATATTCCTCCCATCCGCGAGCTCAGCATGCACGTTGGCCAGGGCCTGCGACCTATGATGCTTTTCGCTGGAACCCCGTTCGAAGATCCGACTTCTACCTCTCACGCCATGATCAAGACCTTCTTCCTCGACATGTTTAAGGGTGAGGAGGCGAATGCTATCGATGTCGAGGGTCTACAGTACGTTCTGATGGTCGGTGCTGAAGAGCCCCGTGATGACCTCGCTCCTATTGTTCACTTGCGCTGGTACAAGGTCATCACCAAGCGCAGTGGTCACAAGCTTCCTCGCGTGGAATTGCAGGAGATTGGTCCCAAGTTTGACTTCAAGATTGGCCGCATGCGCGCCGCTTCCGCCGACGCTATGAAGACCGCCATGAAGCAGGGCAAGCGCCCCAACGTTGAGATCAAGACGAAGAAGAATATCATCGTGGACTCGATCGGTGACAAGGTCGGCCGTGTCCACCTGGGCAAGCAGGATCTTACGGGCCTGCAGACGCGTAAGATGAAGGGTCTGAAGCGTCGTGCTGGTGTGGACGAGGATGATGATGAGGAGGAGGCAGACGAGGACGAGGATGAGGATATGATGTCGGTGGATGAAGTCTCGGAAGATGAGGAGAGCCACAAGCGGGCCCGTATTCAGTAAGAAAGAGTTGGATCTACTTGCATTGTTGCGTATCTATTTTCAACGGCGTTTGGACCGGCTCCCGGGGTTTTGTGCTTTTTGAGGCCTGTCTGCAGGATATGTCATGTATCTGCATGGAAAAGTATAGAAGCGCTGCTTCCCAAACTGTTTATCTAGGAAATGTCAATAACTATTACCCGCCCTATCTAATCCTAGTACTACTGGACTGTAATCCTGCCCAACTGGGATATAGTAGTTGACGACCTTTGGTAGTCCACGTGACCCTGACGTAGCTCGGCAGGTCTCACATGCCTCGGTCCTTTCTCCAGGCGGTTCCGACGCAAACTGCCGTTCCCCTCCCCCATGCCATGATTCTCGACTTCTTTTCACCTCTTCTCTTGAACTTCATCAACTTCCTGACTAGTCACTTTGTTGTTACCCCTTAATAGATCCCTTTTTTCAACGACGACCTCCAACCGAGGTCCCTCAGCGCTATGGATGTGCTTTTGGTGAGCAATTCCGCAGAGTGCAGCCACATGCAAATAACAAGCTAGCGGAACATCGTTAATACAAGTTACATCACAGTCCCGCCTGGAAGAACTCGTCCTGAAGCCTGAGTTTCAACCTCTCTTATCACTCGTGAAAGGCGCGCGCAATGGTGTCGTCTACGGATCCAAAGTGCGGTTCCCGCATGCGCTGGTGTACGTCGGTTCCGCGGAAAGCAACTACAGACAACTGGATATGAGACTAACTGGGGTTATATTTTCTATCTAGCATGATATTGCTATTTAGATCAGGATCGTACGTGATTACACATTCCTCATTACCCTCGCCTCCCTATTTCCCCGCGTTCCGTCCTATCGCATTCCGCTTTCCCTCGGGCTAACCAAGCCGAACCGCTATAGATTCCGACAAAAGATCAAGTTAGTCTTGAATGCCACACGCCTACACGCGCGAAACCTCGCCACATTCGCAATCATCTATAAACTATCCATGATCGTCTTGCGAAATCTCGACACCTCCGGCGCCGCGAAAGAGGGCCGCTACGATAGCTTCTTTGCCGGACTGATGGGTGGATATGCGGTCTTTGGCCGGCAACGGGGGAGCATCAGCCAGCAGGTAAGAACCTCGGCCCTTCTCGCGCCATCTCTCTGCCGAAATACGTACTGGGATTTACATCTTTTGCGCAAATTTCTCCCTTTTTTCTCTTTCTTTCCGTAGTATTTGCGTTGCTAATAAACCCCCAGATCGTCATCTACGTCTTCGCCCGTGTGATGCTCTCTCTCGGGAAACTCGCCATCCAACCCAACATGCACCCACTCTCCTCCCTCATCACACCCGAAGCCCGCACAAAGATGACAGATAATGCCTGGCCCGTCTTCGCTAGTATGACCTGGGCATCAGTCATGTATATTTTCCGTTGGTACCCGGATACCCTTGCCTCCAGTCTGCGGAGCAGTATGGTATACATGTATGTCGCGCCTGAGCCTTTCTCCCGGCGGTTTCTACTTTGTTACTAACATCACGATTTAGCTATGCCGATTCAGATCACTGGGACTCATTACGGACACTATTGCTGCATAACAAATGAGTGCGGGGGGCTTCTTGCCTTGGCTGGATCCTGCCTCATTTTCTTCTTCTCATCCAACTGGTTTTGGATTGTACGGCGTAAAGCGTGGAGTATCTCTTTTCTTCATTGGACGGAACTCGTTCATGATGTGCATTTCTGTTGATTGTTGATACCGCCGTTGTGTACTATGAGACATGGACATTGTCCATCAGTGGTTTTCTTTCCCGCCTTGAGTAGTTGCATTTTGCATGAAATATGATTAGTATTAGTATATAGTAGGCTACGGTATACCTAGTAGTCTGATTAAATACTACCAGATACCTATCTAGGTACCAGTATAAAGTTTATAAGTACATTTTGCACAAGAAATAGGCATAGGTAGTATGTCATTAAAGATCTGATTGGTAGATGGATCGAATTGAGGTATCAGTAGTAAATCACTCGGAGCAACTAGTAGTTCATAATACAGTTTCAAGAAGAGGAGGGGGAATTAATTCGACCAGGTCGTTCGTCTCAAAGGGGGCTGGTGCCGGGTACAAGGCCCATCAATACACGAGACCCGGGAAGGGGATCCATCAGGCAGGGAAGGTACCCCTACCACTGGAGAGCCCACGAAGTTTTGGGCCAGCAGTGGTAGATAGATTGGTTCGCAGACATCACAGAGGTCCAAGATTTTCCATCTCCGTTGGCAGAAAAAATGGGTTCGCGTGGCAAGAGCAAGAGCACCCCTAGTGCTGGGCATTGCCCTCGATCTCCACCAAGACCTTCAAATCGCCGTCCATCCATTCCGTAGTCTCGGCTGTGAGAAGAGCGATGGTCCACTCTTTATCAGTTTGGATATGGAGTAGGCCCTGTGGTAGCCATGCTTTGACTTTCCACGAAGCGTGCGTTTCTCTGACTTGTTGGCTGTTATGATCGGTGTTGTCTCCATTTAGGCTCGGATAGCGGCGGAGAATGGTATGCTTGAACGCTTCAACGTCTGGACATTGGCCGGCGGGAAGGTCGAGGCGGGGTAATATACGCTTCCCTTGTTGGAGCATGTTGATTCGGAGGTATGTTTGGGGTTGGGCTTGCGTACAGGGGTTATTTGTGGGAGCGGATGATGTGTTGGTAGCTGGCTGGGTGTGCGAGGGGAAGTGATGGTCTTGCCCTGGCGGAGGGTTGTGAGCGCCTTCCCGGGAGGCAAGGTTCTCTCGGATGATTCTCGATACATCGCGCGTGATACTGCTTGCACTGTTTAAGGTGTTAGTGATGATAACTTGTACGAAAGGCTCAATGTTGAAACTTACAACTCATCTCGGGCTGGCAGATTGCGACCTCCGCCAATCCGCCAGGATAGATCCGATGCAGTATTTGAGTGAATGATGCGATTGATGTTTTCGTCCTCGCACATGGACGGGCACTCGTAGTGACCATTGTGAACGACATAGTAATGGCTATCAACCGCAGCAACCAACCCACGCCAATCAGGCTGTTGGAGGCCAGAGACAGACCAAAGACTATCCAGCTCATAGTCTTGGTTGTACATGTCATAGATTCTGGCGATTTCGTTCCAGTCAACAGTGTACCCATCCATCAAAAGGTCAGTCAGTCCAATTTCGACTGGCTGGCCAGGGTCAATAGGAGGAGGTTGCGGTGCTGAGATCGGGGGAGGCGGAGGCATTGATTCACTCAAGCTCTCTGTGCGGTGATCCTGGCCGTGCATCTGAAGCTGTTGCTCGGGAGAATATCGTGGGCCGCCTAGCTCAGCGAAGCTTTCATCCGTTTTCCGACGGCGGCGTTCATCGGGGCCACCTCCTTTACGGGTCTCAATGGCGTACTGGCGTTGTCGTTCATTCGTGACCATTCTTCTTAATAAAGGAATGACCAGTGAGATGATCTTCTGAGAATCGCGTGGCCATATGTATGTTCTCGGGCCCATGCCCTCATTGACAACATTTTCCCCAAAGAGTCGATCTCCATTACCCTCGCTATCCAAAAAGGTTCTTGCGCAATTCCACAGGCGCAATTTGACCATCTCAGTATCTCCTTTTCCTCTTTGGCCCACACAGTCGCGTCGCTCTGGGTGATTATCATCCAGCATGTAGGACTTGGCTGCGGCCTGAAGATGAAGGAAGTTTTCCGGCGATAGTTCAAGGGATGAGAAGAGCTTCGACATTGGAGGTCGGGTCTGCTTTTTGTTGGTCGATGGTTGGCGGAAAAGCGCAGCAGCAGAGTGTACACCGACAGCGCGCGCGTCGGACAGGGACTGCGGGGGCACGGATCTAATGCTCATGCTGTCACCGGAGTGTCCATGTTGGGTAGGCTGAGGTTGATAGTGTTGGTGTGCACTACCGAGACCCGCTCCTGCCAGCTGAGGATCTAGGTTGTCGTCATTTCGCTTCCTCTTCTTTGAGACGGTGCGGCTGAGACCAGACGATTGCGAGTGGTCGTTCGGAACTCGTAAATGTCTTCCTCCTCCCATTCCAGAGCCAAAGTGTGCATCACTGAAGGTGTCGTCGCCGAGGTGCATATCTGTGCTGTACCCATCTAATTGATTCGATGCTGCGTCTGCAGTGGCAGCCGCCTGTGCTACCGCTGCCCACTCGTTCACATCATGGTCCGCCGCGGCCGTTGCGGCTTCCACCAAGCCTGCTAAATGGTTGTCATTGGGCGCATATCCACTGTTGGGGTCGACATTTGAATTGGAATTTTGCGTAGACATCTCAGCCGAGGAAGTAGGTATGATCTTAAAGTCGGAGGCCGAGTTGGACATCGCGTGGTGTCGGGTATTAGAGGGTATTGAAGGGTATTGGAGGTGGAAGCAAGAATGTCCGGAAGAGGGTATTCTTTGGAGGTTCAAAAATCGCGATCTCAATTTCGAACTTCCAAGGCGCGCGACTGAATCTGTTCCCAGGAAATTTCACGTAGCCTGCGCAATAGACACAAATGACTGTAGTTGTCGGGGAAGTAAAGCTCCGAATAGAGCGCGCGGCGCAAATTAACCAGTCAAACGGGCGATGGATGATGAGGCGGTTGGATTGGCGACGGAGGAAGTAGGTGAGCCGGGGATGATTGGAGGGAATTCTCTCGACTCCACGCCCCAAACGGGGGTGTCAATCGTGCTGTGGATTGAACTCAAGTAGCTCCGGCGGAGCTCTGACGGGCTGATAAGAACGCGACTGGCGACGGTGGATGTTTGGTTGGTTTGAAAGGAGGACAGACAGTGCAAACTCTCAAGTCACCTGTCGTTGGTCACGTGAGTAGCATGTGTCATATGATCACGTGATACCGATATCTGCCCGCTTGACTTTGGCCTTCATTCATTTGGTTAGATACATCAATCCTGATTGAATTCCTTATCTAAGAATCTAGAAGGATATGGAATAGAATATTGATTTCAAAGCACATCATCTACCGAGAACATCCTGCCGGTAGCTGTAATGCGTAGCTCAAGCCACAAGGATTTACGGTTCTAGTGGTGTGGATACCCCTGTTCTCTGCAAAAAGACCCTCTAATCATATTAGGCAAGGCTTCAGCACTAACGTATGATCTCATACTATGTACAGGACTCTACTGTTAAGCTGTCATTTTGTATCGGATACCTAGGTATACTTCAAGTTGAACCTGCTCAATAAGTAGCTGACAAATTATAAACTCTGACTAAATTTAGAGGATATTGGGTCTTCCAGGGTTATAACGAGGATTTCACTCTACTGGAGTATTTGATTAGGGCTGTGCTGAAGACAGGTCGCATACTAGTATCACATCCACCACACCTTACCCGTTCTGACAGGAGGGGTGCCCATCCGACTACCCTGAAGATCTAAGCCACCTGGTTGGATCAGGGTTTGGATGTCTCTTGGCCCCCAAATCTCTCACGCTTGACACTATTAAATATGCACTGCCATCGCCCGTGCTTATTCAAGTTCCTTTTCAGCTCTCTTCCCAAGCTCAAGTCTGCCCAAGTTCCATCACAATGTTTGCGGAGCAGCGTCTATGATTTCTCGTACGAGATACACAAGAACTCCAGCAATGACTATGACGACTCAAGCCGACCCAGCGTTTACGGCCCAGAGATCGGCGCATTATCATCCGGTCGCAAGGGCTGACGATTCGGCCACTGGGAACGGAGAGAAACCTGATAATGCGGCCCAAAGCCACCAACTCTGGGCGCCCTTCTTCTTGAGGTCGCCAATGATGAGTGCATTTTTGACTATCTTCATTTCCATACTGCTTTCCCTTGTGGCTTTGTTTGTATACTCAGAGCGTCAGCATCGAAGCTTAGGAATTGAAACGCCGGGTTCGAGATACTACTACCTATGGACGTATGGACCAACCGCCGGTACATTATCGTCTTGAAATATCCCCTCTTTCCTCTTGATTCGTGATTCTGAACCACTCTTATTGTCTAGTTTTCACCATTGTCACAGCCGGCTGGACGCAAGTGGAATATCGCGCTTTACAATTGATGCCTTGGGTCTTGATGCATCGCGGTCCTACTCCTGCAGCAGAGAGCATATTTCTCGACTACCTGTCCCAGTGGAATGTCGTCTCGCTGTATAAGTCCATCCGAAGTCGTCACTTCCTAGTATCTCTGTGTGTCGCCGGATCACTGTTGCTGAACGCGGTAACCGTGCTCTCTACTGGTTTATTCGAGCTTGACTCGACGCCCATTACCCGGGATATCGATCTTACTGCGACACATGAATTCGACGCTTCGAATTGGGACCCCGTTTGGAATGATGCCCGGCCCCTCGGTGCATGCATGGGCTATATCGAAGACGAATTGGCTCGACCAATTGGCATTCATGACCCTTACGTCTACCCCCCGTTTCAGAGCGCCCACCAAAACACGAATTCCACGATGAGCGCAAATATCAAGTATGAAGCCAACCTTGATGTCTTTGAACCAACCCTCGAATGTTCAAATGCCACCGTCAAACTGGTGCCGTCTCATGATAACACAACCACTTTTGCCCAATTGGACTCCTATGTTGGCCAAGATGGTTGCGCGGTAATCATCGATCGAATCCCCAATGTCTTGACAACCACCCCTGGTATTGTAGTTGATACACTTATTGCAGGATGCAAAGGGGAAATGCTCGAGGATACGTACGGTGATAAGCCGAATGTGTCATGGTCTGTTGACTGGCGCCTGTGGGCTGCAATTGCGCCATCAATGTTATCCGAAGAGGATGACGCGGCAAATAATTTAAATGTCACGGGATGGGAGCATAGAAAGATTGAAGTTGTTATGTGCAAGCCAGGGTATGCTCTTTCCCGGGGACCTGTCAAGATTTGGCGTGACGCTGGCCAAAATGACATCTCCACCTCTATCCAGCCCGACGCCCTTACTCCGACGCACGGGATAGCAAATGTCACAGGTGGGAAGCTTCTATATGCGGCAGCTCAGGCTATGGCAATTGGATCGAGTGAATTTACCGAGGCGTACGTCAATGGCGCGTCTGCAATCTACGCTTCCAATCATACGCGTAAAGAGCTATGGAATAACCTCGATGAATTTGCGGTTGCAATTGAAGATTCTTTCACCTGCATCATGAGACAGATTGCGAAAGATTCACTCTTGGTGCAAAGTCCGCACAACATTGAAGGCACGGAGCGAGTTGTTGAGCAACGCTTGTTCGTTCGGCCACTTTCATTCTGGTTGATGGCTGTCTGCATGGCGTTTCTTGCCGCCGATGCTGGTATTCTGCTCTTCTTCTATACGCCGGTTGCTGTTTGCCCTCGGGACACTGGCTCGGTTGCGGGCCTTTCTCTCGTATTCGCACGAAGCACAGGGTTCATGGACAAATTCTATAACTGTGATCTCAAGACAGGAACACAGATGGAACACTCGTCCTTGGGACAGGGACGGTATCAGTCTCAAATAACTAATACTGGGGCATTCACATTAGTACCATGCGGCGATGCTAGCGATCTGCAAGATACTAGAACGGTGTCTGAAAGGACACAAGTGGTTTGGTGGAGGCCAGCGTCATCATCTTGGTACATCCAGCTTCCTCTGATTATCATCCCTGTCGCGGTGATAGCGGGCCTCGAAACCGTATATCATATTTCGGAGAGCCATCATGGGATTGCAATGGTTGAAGGCGACTCACCCTATACTCACTATGTCTGGGTCTATGTTCCCGCGATAATCTTATTCGGCATTCGTTGTTTCTTCCAGTCTGTTGAATTTGGCGCGCGAATGGTTCAACCCTACTTCCGTCTACGCCAAGCGTCAGCACCGCCCGAGACGAGCATATTGGAGAACCAACTACGGAAGATCTCCCTCTATGGACTTTGGGACTCATTCCGCAAAGGGCAATGGGCTCTGACTGCGGCTACACTCTCATTGCTCCTGGGGGCTGTTTTGCCTATAGTTGTTTCTGGTCTTTATACAACGGGTCAATCTGAGCCGGATAGGCATTGCCAGCTTGTGCAGGATACAAGGTGGAGCCTTGGAGATCCCACATATGACGGACTTGACGAGACAGCCTATTGGAATGATAAAAACTTCAAGAAGGACGTCGTGACCGGCATGATCATCCATCTCAATATGTCGTATCCGCAATGGACATATAAGGATCTGGCTTTTCCCTCTTTCAGCCTGGCTGATGCACAGAACTTCCCTACAAAAGGTCATATCGATGCCCGGTTGCCAGCCTTGCGCGGGCAACTTCACTGTGAAGAAGCAAAGGGGGTTAATTGGACGTATGGGGAAGATACCCCAAATACATGGGAAGGTCACCAGACTACCAAGTGTCCATCCTGGGTGAATTCCATCGAGTGCCCGGGCGAAGAGACCTATGATTTTTTCGGAACAAGAGATTGGGTTGTTGGCTGTCCAACTCATGCTATGATATTTAGCAAATGCGATCCACAAAATGCATATTACAACAACACCGCGAATTTCCATGTGATGAACTGCTTTGCGGAAATTGAAGAAGTAGACGTGGATATTCGTCTTCAGATCCCGTCTTTCTCCTTTGACCCAGATTATGAACCAAAGGTAGTTGACAATTCCTCGAGAATCCTCAACAACACTGGACTTGCTTCGTTCATTGGATTCAAGGATATGGAGAAGTATTTATTCGACATCAAGCCTTTGACCGGAAGCTATCCAGAAAGCTCAGATGGGAACCCAGTCATGGATGCGTTGATTTATGGAGTCGATGGTGTCCCCGCAGACGAGCTTATGGACCCAGCAAAGCTGGTTTCTCGCGTGAACGAGATATTTGGCGTTATCACCGCACAGGCTTTGAGCAACGCTGGCAATCAACCCTTCGATAAGCCTTTTAATTCGTCGTACACGGTATCACCAATGACCAGCACTCCACCGGTCTTTAAAGCTGTCTTCTATGACGAGCGGAAATACCTCATTCAAAATGAGATCTCAACTCGTATTCTAGATGGAGTCATTGCGGCCATGGTGCTATGTGCCGTTGTTTCCTTGGTCTTTATGCAGACAAAACGCGTTTTGCCCAAGTGTCCATCCAGCATTGCCGCCATCGCAAGTCTTGTACATGGATCCAAGATGGTGGATCCAAACCTCATTCCCGAAGGCTCTGAATGGTGCAATGATAACGATTTGAAGAGCCGTGGTGTGTTTGCGGGTCAAACTTTCACGATGGGCTGGTGGTCACGCGAAGGGCTCAGTGATGGCGAGTATGCCAATCCTGGAGATAGCTCCAGCACTCTTGGTAGTTTCACGAAATCTGCCGGTCAGCGGGAAGAAAGCCACGGAAAGACATTCGGGATCGATTTTGACCTGGACGAGGAGAAGTCTAATCTGATAAGGCCGTGAGTTTGAAGATACCGCGAGCTGGTCAGACCTCGATTTTAAGTATGAAATGAACATAATGCCAACTATATTCATCATGATATAAGCTCTGCCTTTCAAACTGCTAGTACCTGCTACTAGTACTAACTAGTCAGTAGATAAATACCCAAGTAGAAGCTGATAGGGCTCCGAGCCTCAATGAAATCGGCAAGAGATGCGTTTGGGCTCTCAGGACCTCCAAGGGTATTTCAAGCATTTTGCAAGACACTGTATGAACACTAGTAATTTACAGTCTCCAGCTGTCAGTCTCCAAAGAAATTGTGGAATATTGATTCTGAGATGTTTGCCAATCCAGCTGGCCAAATAGAACGCAAGAAGTGAACAGAGTTATAGATACACGAGCATTGAAATGGAAGCTTCCTTGGTCGGAAGCGCAGCAAAATGAACCCCATATGCAAAATAAAGCAACGATGAAAGAGCTAGGAAATCTAATTGCAAACTGCCCGATATAAAACCCATCTTGAACGCCAAAAAAGTAAATTGTAAAATGTAGCATAGGGATCATGATTTCGTGCTTTGGAGCCCCGGAGGTCGAAGGTGGAGTTCCGCCACGCAGAAGGTCTAGAAACCATCGCCATCTTTCCAAGGTCGCCCAACTTCTTCGGCACGGAGCCTGGGGTCGTTCCCTCGGGCGACGGCATTTTCCAGTAGAGCTTCCACCTCCCGCGTTTTAGCGGCCAACGGTTCTTCATGATCCTTGCCGCCAGGAGGAGGGATATTCAAATCCAAAGTCTCATCTAGCTCACCAAAGTTCGTGGTCGTCTCAAGATCATCCGACATCCAAGCGAAGTTATCAGCCTCAAGCTGTAACTCATCTCGCAATTCTAGCGCCTCCTGGAAAGCCCTAAAGTTGTCCAGACCACCAAAACAGAATCCATAGCCATCACATAGACAAACGCTCTCATCCGGGCACAAGACCGGCTCGCCGGAGAAAACGTATTGCCAAAGATATTCCCAAATTCGCCCGGTTATGTAATCACTCAGGGTAGTTTGCAGAAGCCAGTCACGGTAGAACACGAAGCGTGAGCGGGGAATTGTTCGAATACGCTCCTTTGATAGAGCGAATTGGGCACAGCACGGCTGCGCCAGGACGGACGGGACTGGGTCGTCGGGGAAAATTTCACTCCAGGCTCGGGCAAGCACGACTTCTTCCTGTTTTGTCTCGTCCGGCTCGATTGCGCCGGGATGCATCCAATCAGGACACCCGGGGCCTGAGACCGCAACGGAGATTCATATAGCCTTCTCGGATCACGCGGTTTAGATTCAATCGCCTAACGGTCTCCGCAGTATCGCCGCCGAAAAGGTTTTCATTGTGCCAGGCGTTCTGGTGTGCGTGTACAAAGACCGAAACGTCGGGAAGATCGTCATAGAAATCAATGACATAGGTCAGATAGACCATGACCTCGTTGCCCTTGTTCACCGGCGGGTGCAGGGGAGCCGAGGGATCATTCGCGACGTAGATCGCTGTATCCCAGTCCGGAAGTTCCTCTGCGATCCAGGCGACATCTTCCTCCATTGTCCGCGGCACGACGAGCCGTTTTGTATACTTTGTGCCGTGTGGTTTGGGAATTCCGGTGACGAAATTTGGTCGCGGAACCCAAGGGGATGGTTTTATATGACCGGTGCTAACATTATATGCCATGGACCAGTTTGTACTGGCCCCGGAGCCATGGGGATTGGAGGGAAGATATTCTCCCAGGCCAATGGCCTGCGGGACGGACTCCCATGCGTGGGGTTGTCGTAAGGTGCGCGCTGTGAGAAAGACGAAGGTGAAGAAGCAGAACCCGAGGAAGAGAACCGCTCGCCGTGAGAGGACCATCGAAGGGGATTGTCGGGATGGGTTGGACGCGGAGAATTATCTGTCGTACAGGGCAAACGTTAGCTGAGCAGGCCTGGCAAGATGCCAACTGTCGGAAGCTGTGGCATGTGTGGCAGGGCGCACAGGCAATCAGCGATGAACGTACAGGTAGATCAGGGGTAGATCATTGCAGTCAACAAGGTGGCCTCATTGCAGGGCGGGAATGGAGAACTTGAAGTAAAGAATGGAAGGGTCGACGACGATGAGATGGAAACAAAGCACTGGCACTGACCCCTGGGGATCATAAGCTCCAGTCAGTCCGAGTCTCCGGCCAATCCAGCCAGGGAGGGTTGTCACGGTCCACCGTCACCGTGGGGCGAATCGAAGGGGGAAAATGTGGTCGGCGGTGGATCGCCCACTGCACTGCCCGATGACGAGGCCTTGGATGTTCTTCTTCCAAACCAGGTCGATATATACAGACTACATACTAGTACTAGTGTATGATTTTATATGATTGCCAGTGTTTACATAAGGTTGTTTTGGATACGAATGCACCTCCGGTGAATAGATATCTCGGTACTTCCTGCCAGTGGACTACTAGTACTAGAAGTATACTGCTATAATATACTCTCCAGATCATGGAATCATGATCATCCTTCTATTATTCTGCTCATGGAGTCCAATCTCCACGCTACAGCTTTTCAACCCGTTCCTTTATTGATATATGGGCCATAAACCATGCTCGGAACCGCTCAAAGAAACCGGACTGTGCTTGGCAGCCTGCAAATCTATCAACTGGTAGAAGGAACCTCAGGTTGAACACACTATGCCCTTTTATTATGGTAGAAGTTAGATGGACTGAAACCAGAGCAGTTCTTGGAAAGTCTGACTTTCTACATTACCGAATGAACAGGAGATTCGGTCAAAGTAACACGAATAGGGATATCATGATGGGATTCTGGTTGCTAGGATCAGGTGGCGCAGTGAAAGTGGCCCTTAGCCTGACGGCCACTCGAGACCCAGAACGAGCGATTATCTTCAAAAATATGCATAAGAAAGAATCTGGGGGAACCGCCTCGTCCCATACCGTTTTCCCGGCCAGAGGATCTAGCTAATCCCACGTCCCGGTTGACCTCCGAAGATCACCGGGCACCTCAAGATTGTTTTTAATGACATCGTTTTACGCCAAAGGTCTTCCGGTGAGAGCAGCCTAGTTTTCGAAGGTCGAGACCTCGAGAGGACGGCTGACCGCACGTGGGCTGCCATATCGAGGAGAGAAGAGTATGTCCTTGCACCACCCAACCCTTCAAACCCGCATCGAGACTCGAACAAGCACGATGGCCGGATCTGTAAGTCCATCAATCTGAACTGATTTACATTTGATACTAGGGAAAGGCAAATAAATCACAATAGATCCTGGCTTTGCTTGTCCACTTGATGAGAAAAGCTGCCTCCATGTCACCCACACCCTCCTGATTTACGTCTCGTCATCCGACAGAAGGATCGGGGGCTATGCTCAACATTAGGGCAAAGCCCCCTGCCCCTAACGACAACAAGGGCCATACTGCTAAGCAGCATAAGAAAAACAAGGCCCACGATGAGGCCCGCACCGAGGCCCAGATTGCGAAAAAGAAGGCCAAGAATAAGAAGGGCGTGCCCGTATGAAGGCACAGGCGCAGTTGGTACATAGTGGGAATAACAATCCCAAGTATACCGGTAAGTAGACTTAATTGGAAAGGAAAATTAAATTATGCTGACTCTAAGCTTAGGAATTTCTAGAGGTAATACGTCGTAGGAATTCCGTGGGTGATTCGATCCTAGCCCTGGACCTCCAAGCTACATGGGAATGGCAGCAGGAAGAGCACTGAAGTTTAACACAGATCAATACTACTATGTTCTTGTCTAGAATCAACACTGTGCTTACACATCCAATACTAGTATATACGTTACTTCGTTTATGAAAGAAGTAGCTTAATATCCATATTTGTTTGGGATCATGATCCCACCAGACAACCTTCAAGTTGGAAATAGGAGGTTACCAAGCCCCTCGTAAACGCCTAGGTATAGATGGTCTCAAGTATGAGAGCGTGTTCAATTCACCTAACCAGATTATCTTTCTAACAATTTCGAGAGTAGATAGAGCGCCAAATGGCCCTGATATTGCCGGCGAGCGTGTTGAGAAGTTATTATTTTTGAAATTTTTTTGTCTCGGCACCAAGACTGCTAGTGCCAGTCTCTTTTGTACTGGTTCTTCTTGGTTTATGCACTGATTTTACTACTAGCATCTCGACTCCGAGTCTTTCGGTTGAGACTCGGATTATGGAGTCAATGAATATCCATCTTCCAGCTTGAAGGTTGTCCCTTAAAATCTATCACTATATGTGTCGCATGATTGGCCTGTATTTCCGCAGCTGGTCACCACTCGTTCTCTATTCTCTACTTTGAAATATCAAATCGGGATTTCTACTATCTACGATGTATCTACACAGTTGCCTGTCTCCTCACTGACCAATCAGAAGGCAGTAGTTATCAGACCACCGATTGGTTATCTCACGTGACAACGCGAAAACTTGCGGCGCCGCAGCATTCAAACGGGAAATTTCTCGTTCATCTTGCTTCCTCAGATGCGCTGTCATGATGCAGTCTTCCAAGATTCAAGGTCGTCCCGCTGAAGAGGCCATCTCCGTCAAGGCCTCTCATGCCCCCCCAAGAAATCCCACGACCCCTTAGCCCACCTTCTCGCTGGCGCGTAAGTTTTGATTTCCCCGTCGCTTCGCGGCGACTTTTTTTTTCGAAACAAAACATCAAGAAACTCCAACACCAGACTAACTCATTATCTTATGTCTATATAGGAGCGGTGGGTTCGCAACTGCAATCGCAACCTCCCCTCTCGATGTCCTCCGTACACGCCTCCAATCCGACTTCTACCAACGACCCCCTGCACCCTCCGCCTCTTCCGCCTCTTCCCCGACCCTCCCAATCTCCAATGCCCAACACACATCCCACAACACATCCCGCATAATCAGTAACATCTACCGAGCCGAAGGCTGGCGAGCCTTCTTCCGCGGCCTGGGACCCAGTCTCGCTGGCGTGGTCCCGGCCACCGCAATTAAATTCTACGTCTACGGAAACTGCAAGCGCATCGGCGCCCACATGTTTGGCTGCGGCGAAGATTCAACACTCATCCACGCGCAGGCCGCTATCTCCGCCGGCATTGCCACCTCCACCGCAACAAATCCCATCTGGCTCGTGAAGACTCGTTTGCAACTCGACAAGGCTCAAACAAGTACCGGAAACCGCCGGTACAAGAACAGTCTCGACTGCATCCGCCAGGTCCTTCGTCAAGAAGGTCTTGGCGGTCTGTACAAGGGTCTCAGCGCGAGTTACCTCGGTGCGGCTGAGACGGCCTTGCACTTGGTCCTGTATGAGCGGTTGAAGGGTATCTTGCAACGATCGCTCGTCTCGCCTGATGGAACGGATACGCCGACGCAACGGGAAATCACTAGCTGGATTAGTACAACCGGTGCGGCTGGTTCTGCCAAATTTGCTGCTGCTTTGATTGCTTATCCCCACGAGGTGCGTAAAATGACTAGCTCTGCTAGGAGACTAGCCACTTTCTCCGTCAATTTTTTTCCTTTTCTAACGGTCTCTTGCTACAGGTCATTCGTACCCGTCTTCGCCAGGCTCCTCTCGAAAACGGCCGCCCCAAATACACCGGCCTGGTGCAGTGCTTCCGACTCATTGCTAAAGAAGAGGGCATGGCTGGTCTCTACGGTGGACTGACGCCACACATGATCCGCTCCGTCCCTTCGGCCATCATCACTCTGGGCGTTTACGAATTCGTCCTGAGACTTGTCGGCAAGTCCGAATGAACATAACGCTCTCCTCTCATGTGGGCTGCCACATTGTACACTATTATTGAAAGAAGCGGCTTTTCTATCGTCTTGATTTTGCTCTGGCTATTTTCTGCGGGGCTGGATACGCCGTTGCGAACCTAATTGCATGTATTCTATCTACGGCGTTTGATATGGTGGGACCATCATACTATTGCTTTTTCGTGTTTTTCTTCTTTTTTGCTCTGGGAACTGTGGATAGAATCTCCTGTCTTGAATAACTGTACTATACATCATCTTGTCACTATCATCCAAAAGAACTTTCGACTCTTATCATTTTACATTGTTCGTCCCTGTTGTTCATGCAAGTATCTAGCATAGGATAGCGAGATGAAAGTTTGAGAGATGTGTATCATTCAAAGAAAATCTACATTGTTACAAAGGGTCAAAATGCCAGCGTGCAGTTCGGGGTTACATAGTAGGCATCTCGAACAATTCTTTGTCCAGGGAGCCGAGCCCGAAACCTCATATGAGAAGTGGAGAAAAAGAAAAAAGAACCCGGGTATGATATTTTGCTTCAAAAAACGCCATGCAACGCTGATCCAAGGAGAGTGGGCAATGCGACCAGGGGGCTAGAGCTGGGAGCTCATAAGAGGGGAAGAAAAGTACAAAATTGTGGGAGGAGTATGGTATCTAGGGATTTAGGGGCCATTTTCGTCTGCCTCTTCCACTGTGGCTGCGCGAGCCTTGCCCTTTGATGCAGATTCGGAAGATATGCTGTCTTCTTCCGCTGCTTCCTTTGCAGGTTGGGCATTGCTACCCCAGCTTGTTGGAATAGTAGATGGACCTGTCTCTGGTACTTGCTCAGACTGTACATCTGTCCATTCTTGGGACGGTGAGTCTGCCCGGTGGTCCGTTGCTGATGATTCATTTGGCATTCCCCAACTGGGCAATTGAGTAGGTACTGTTGACTGCGTCTCGGCCGTAGATATTTCTGGCGTTATAATCGGCGCGGTGCTTCCGGTGGCCTCATTGCTGCCATTCGGGGGAGGCTGATGCACCCGAGTTGGTGACTGTGCGCTTGGTAAAATGCTTGTTGTTGGCGTGGGGCTAAGTGCTGGCGGCACGTTCTGGCTGTTTTGCTCGGTGGGCTGGAGAGGGACAAGTGTCCAACCTGGCGGAAGGTTAAGTCCTTCCGGCAAGCGGCTATCTCCAGCAGACAGAACAGAGGAGCCAGGCCCAGCGAAAAACTGACGTGCTGATGTTCCCGATAGTCCAGGTTGTGGTGTGGCGGCTGCTGGAGATGTTGCTGTTGGACCAGTGATATTGGCATGTTCTCGACGCAGTCGATCTAACTCTTGTTGAAGGTTGCGCACGTGGCGGAACTGTTCGGTAACGGCACGCAGAGATATTATCTCTTGAGTTATTTGCTGCTCAATATGTTGCAGCTGAGTATGGACATCGGCGGTGTTGGAAGTTGGGATATGATGATGTTGACCATGGGCTGTAGGTACGGGTGGGCGACGACCAAATCCGAATCCAAATCCGACCTGACGTGCTCCTTGTGGATTGGCATTTGCCGCGGGTTGCAACGGCACATTTCCCTGATGGATTTGCTGGTGAAGATTATTGAACAGATCCCCACCGCGTACAGCGCCGAACCCGATCCGGAAAGGACCGAACTGGTAGACGCGAGCTCTGGGCGCCCCGTCAACTTGTGCACCTGGCTGGCCCGGTGCGGGGTTTGGAGGAAACCCACCAGCACCGTTGCCAGCATTGTTGGCATTCGCACCAGCAGGTCCTCGAGCGGCCGCAGCCGCAGCACCGACCACTGGTCGCCGACAAGCAGGACAGTTCTGTTGTCGTTCCAGCCAGCTCCTCAAACACGAAAAGTGCAAAATATGACCACAAGGAAGCTTCTTGGGGCGGAGACGGTCTGGAACACGCTGTGTACTAGCGGCTGGTGGCGGAGCAGCTTCTCCAGCAGCATCACCGGCAGCGGCAGCTGGCAGAACAGAGACCATCTCCTCGCGGCAAATAATGCAGACTTCTTCCTGGCAACCTCCTCCGGGCTTGCATCCGGGTACCTCTCATTCATGTCCCGGGTCGCATTGCGGTAACGGAGGAAGTCCATGATCCGACGAGCAAAGGAGCGGATAGTGACAACAACGTCGCGCAAAATATGAATAGGCAAGCCATAGAAGGTAAGAAGAATGGCGAAGAATACCAAATAGACCACGAGCTTGACAAAATCGGTCAAAAGATCGAGATAGAAGACCCATCTGCCCTTTTCCTCCCATCCGGGGACATCAATCTCAAGCTCATTGATATCATTCTCATCGGGAAGGTCTGCAGGCGGGGAGCTTTCTCCAGCGCGCGCGTGCTCTCGGATTGCTTCCAACCTTGCTTCCCGAATCTCTGCTCGGCGCTCGTCCATCCTTACCTTCAATTGTTGGCGGGTCACGTAGATTTCCACCAACGCGATTCCATAGCGAGCGGTGGTGGAACTTGACAGAATGGTCAAGATTGCGAACTCAAACCCGAACATGACCATCATATCTGGGCGCGCTTGATGTATAACCGTGTTGATGCAATACCGCAACATGAAGGCATTGAAGAGAACCGACAACACCAACGAGGTGGCGAGGCGTGTATGAAAGAGCCGAGGGTTTGCCGGGGGTTGTTGCTCCAGGTATTCGACTCGGCCTTCTCCAATCCATCCCCAGACCTTTCCAACCAGGAGTGAGATGAACATGACCAGAAACCAGCCGCCAAGCTCGCCCCGAAAGATGGTCATGGCCAAGCATGTCTCGGTAACGGCGAACCACGCCCGCTCATACAATTGTTCGGTTTCGATGGGTCGCAAAGGCCCGTATAGAAGTCGCTGTAACCAGAAAAGGACAAATCCGGTGACGAGAAGACATAAATTCGTTAAGATCTAGTAGCGCACCGCTCGTGGCGCGTGGTTAGCCAAGTTTCGAAGTAGGACAACGATGACGAGCAACCAGACTGGATCAACTCACCATCAGATTCGCACTACTCTGCGAGAGATATACACATGCCGCATAGAAGTTCGCTCTTTGGTGGAGAGCCTTCAAGAACACACCGGTGGCTAGGGCCACTGAGGCCTGTGAGTTGTTAGCGGGAAGTCGTTCGCTGGGGACTGATTTGAGGGGGTGAAGAGCGGAGAGTGAGAGCGAGAGGGCAGCTAGACAGGGGGACAAGACCTGCCCCGGCGTAGGCGGCCAGTCTCATGGCGAATCACTGAAATACTAATTGGCAGGTCATCAGAGGAGAAAGGGGGACCAAGGAGAAGGGAGGTGTGAGACGTGGAGTACGGAGTATAGAAGTAGCTGGGTAACTCCATCTGGACAGCTTTCCACTCTCCCGCCTCTCCGCATATTACGTCAGCGGCACGTGCCCGCATCTATAAGAGTACCAGGAACAATGGCATAGGTAATTCTTAACTCAAATGAACTATTTATGTGACAATGAGGTTGCGGATAGAAAAAATTTCTTCTGAGACTATAACACATCACTTAATATTGAGATTCAGGTACGACTAGTACTAGAATACAAGTAGTTATAACGTGACTTTCACGTTTATCCCCAAGGACGAAGATGGGACCTCGGTGATAAACTTGAATACAAATTTGAACAACACTCGGTAGAAGTAACTCGCATACTATTTGCAATTCAGACACATTTTCCTCATCATAATGGCAGTTCACACTCAATCAGACTCTGGGAGCCCTTGCCACCGCTCCAAATTTTAGTTATCGTAAGGCCTGCCCTTGTTTCGATGAGGTTATACCAAGCTATACGGGTGCGTTCTTGGGCAGACATAAGTGTCAGCATAACCATGTCTAGTGCCGTGGCTTCCCAGTAGGCAGCCATCTCCGGTATCACATGCTCATGAATCAATAACCTGCTATATCCAAGTTTCATGGCAGCCTTGACTTGCGCAAGAATACTTTCACAAACTTCGTCGGGCCAGTCATGCAAACAATTGTGCAAATAATAGGCCCGGGCACCTGATATTGTAAGTGTATTTTCACCTCTAGAAGAACAGTCTGTGGTGCCAAATCGGGCTTACCGTTTATGGGCTGTTTCGTGTGGAAGTCATACTCCATGCGGAGAATAGACGATTCTAGATCCTGAATTTGACCTATGACCACAGGTAGATCTTGAAGGATCAATTTTCCTGGGACCTCGGGGTGGAATTTGTGAAACAGTTCTAGGTCGTGGCCCACATTCCCGCCAATATCGACGAGAAATGGAGCCTCTGGATCCGTGTCAGCGCCGTTGATGAGCCTCTCTTTTACCGGGTAGAAGCTAGAAGCCATCCAAGGCAAAAAGCCAAGGGCGTAGCCGCTCATGTGATCACTGAAGTGTGAACCATAACCTAGAGACTGTTGCCATGAAAAGGTATCCATTGTCGTTCCGTAGGCGTACATCATTGCCGTGTCCTTCGCGTCGGTGGGATTTACCCAATTTCGCTTTCGAGAGAACTCGTGGAATCTCATAGGACCGGCACTTGTGCAAGAGAGCCTGGAGATGTGAGCAGCTATCCAAGAGAAGCCCAGATCAAGAGACTGCGCTTACATAGCGAGATAGCTATTGCCAATAGCCGGAATGCTCATCGCCTTCGTAAAATTCGTCAATCTATATTCGTCCACACCAATCTCGATGAGATACCCGGTCGCTCCAAGATGTCGCATTAGTCGACCTTATGGGGGGGGGTCAGCTAGTTTAACTGGATGGGCTAGCATGGAACATACTCAGCAGTACATGATCTATCCCAAGCTGCTCTGCCAACTCGCTCGCCTTTTGCGGCTCGTCGCTGTTTTGTACCATGAGTTCCCACAACCTCGAGTCCACGCCAAAGTTAAGGCCAGCCATCGCACCGGTCTGTCTGCCAGTTAATTTCGCTGGCTCACAAATAACTAGTTAATGGTTGAAAACTTGCATGTGCCCAACAGTGATAGAGCATGGTCTCCCGAGGAGTTTCCAGAGCTTGAACCAAAGTGCGACATTTGGCAAGCAATTTTTCTCGTCCTGCGTTATCAGTGGTAAGGGAATTAAACGCTAGTGATATCTCCTTCAACAGCGTGGGAACGGCTTCGATGTCATTCGGCTCAGTAGCGATGGAGACATCAACATGGGATTGGCCTTGCCCTGTTTTTCGGGCTGGCATATTGCTCACAATCAAGCACAGAGACTGGGGCAACTGGGAAGTGATGTGGTATAGAGCTTGTGTGCTGCAGCAGATGTAGGTGGCTGTGTTGCAGGGAGATCCAGATGTATTTGCCAAGGTCAAATATACCCGATGGTTTGACTGAAATTGAGACTCACTATCGCAGTTGAAGAACTATAAGACACCGCCTTGATGGATTGATAATATTTCCTTTACATACCAATCGAAGTTTCAGCTCATCTTGCCAAGAATCAAGGAAATTCGATCCTGCATATGATCACACTGCAGGAAAAAGCCCCGTGCTGACGATTCGACTCGTCTGAACAGGTCATGTCTCGCCCAAGAGGGGGCTCTTGCTCTGTCTTCTGCCACTCCAAGAGGAGACATCAGATGGGAAGATTAGTCCTCCGCAGCTCCTGCCTTTTGGCTCAAATTCAAAGTTGGATCGGGCTTACATCGTTACCGATTAGGATAGTATTGAACCTTATCAGGCAATCCAACCCCAAGTTATACGATAGCCATGCAGTGTGCAGCTGCGTTAGAATATCACCACGAGTTGGGGAATGTTGGTAGATTGGCAGAATGCCACAAAGTTTGATGTGCCCTTTTGGCCGGCTGCTGGACCACGACACAGCGCCACCATAAAGGTCGGTGAGGGACTGGGAAATTGCCCACCACGTCCAGATCGCCCTGGGAGATACTTTGGTCATGCGGAGCCGAGTCACAATTGCCGCATGAATTAGCCCTGGTGCCCTTATTTTGAGATTTCACTCGTCATTGGTGAAGAATGAAGGAAAAAGCAGTCATATGAAAAGAGAGAGAGAGGATAGCGAAGATCTAGTCCAGACACCGGCGACACGCCGGGGTGCGAGCGGGGGCCTGGATGCCCGAGGCCGGCGGTGGAGCCACGCCGCAACATTGTTGTTTTGGAGCTACTATTGACCGGTAGGCAGCTTTGACCTACCATTTCTTAGCTTCCTTGGTTCCTCTCAATTAAGTGGTGCCATTTCCCATCCCCATACAATCCTTTTCGCGTTCTTCGCGGCGGATTTGCAGATAAATGATTTATTGAACCCGCCTGATGTTCTGACAAACATGCTTGTCGTTTTCTCGTTGACATCCCTCCCAATTCAAATCATCGGTGCTATTTAGCGAGTCGTCTGCTCGGCCCTCTGAGCGCAAGTTAGAATATACAATTATGCTAATGCTGTGCAACCTTGGAAGATTCTAGGCTAATGCATTCTGCACCGCAGGAAGTTTGATTTTATGCATTCCACTAACCTTGGAACTTGAATCAGGCTGAGCGCTTTTAGGGATAGCCTCGAGAAGCTGACGATACTGATTGAAAGTACCCAAATATAGCTCCGAAGACGTTTTAAGGCTTCTTGAACGAGATAGTGCTATATTTTTTTTTGCTGCAGTTACTGCTTACACCTAGGAATTCACAGATAGAATGATCTTGCTCAGTTACCTTCGTCCAGCACCAACCCAACAACGGCATGTCCTGAGAAAAGGCCGCCCAGCCAAGAATGTAACATACAAAGTGCTTCCGGGCAGCCGTCTGTTCATGGGCTCAATTGCATCTACTGGTTGGAGACAGTTGGATGTAGCTGTTGTCGGTGGCGGAATAGGAGGAATGTCCGCAGCGACCGCTTTGCGTCGTGCGGGCCACAAGGTGTCTATTTATGAAGGTTCCGATTTCATCAGCCAGGCCGGTGCTTCGATTTCATGTGCTGCAAATGGTACTCGCTGGTTGCAAGAATGGGGTGTAGATGTTGCTAAAGGCGATGGGGTCATTTTGAAAAAGCTCATCAGCCGTGATTGGACGACGGGCAAGATCCTGACCGAGTACAAGCTGGATGACTATGAGGAACGATGGGGACATGTGTACTACATGTTTCAGAGGCAGTGTATGCACACAATGCTGAAGACTTCAGCATTGGGGGAAGGAGAGGGAGTGCCGGCAAAAGTCTTCTTAAATCACAAGGTATTCTGTCAAGTCACTATGAGTATCTACTTGCTCCAGTCCATTCCGCAATCTAATATTCTTTACCAGTGCAAGAACATCGATCTCAACACTGGCTTAATTGAGTTTGAGAATGGATTATCTGTCAATCATGATCTGATTGTTGGCGCGGACGGTATTGGATCCGCCGTTCGTGGTGTTCTCGGTATCTGGCCTGAAAAGCGACCTGCCGGATCTAGCTGCCTACATGCAAACGTTGTCACTGAAGAAGCGATCGCTGCAGGTTTTCCTGACTTCTCTCAAGATAGTGCCTTGCAATTCTGGGGTGGCCATGGAGAAATTTGGGACAAGATCGTTCTCTCTCCATGCCGAGGGGGTAAGCTACTGTCATACTATTGTTTTTTCCCGAGGGAGAAAGGAGACTACGTGAGTCATTCCTGGGGGGGGGATCTGACCGACCAGTGGAAGAATTGCTTGCTCTGTATCCTCATCTTGATGCGCAAGTCCGCGGTCATTTGGCCCTTGGAAAGGAAATCCAGCCATGGCGTCTATGGATGCAGTGAGTTGAGCCCAAAATATCAAATGGCAATGAGTTAATAAGCTCTGTTATTCGCAGCGACCCATATCCGCATCTTGCAAGAAATATGGCGTGCCTGATAGGTGATGCAGCTCACCCAGTGTGTCACACCCCTATAACTACTCCTATAACTACCACTGGGAGTTAGACGTCGCAGCTAACAAGCATCTAGATGATGCCTCATCAAAGCCAAGCCGCCTGTATGGCAATTGAAGACGCAGCCGCATTAGGCATTATTTTTAGCAGGAAAATCTTTACGGGAGATGTATTTGAGTCTTTATCTACTTATGAGTCTGTTCGTCTGCCCAGAGCAACCAAAGTTCAGGCAGCGGCGGCACGAGCGTCGGAGAATATTAATGAGAGAATCGGTGAGTCTCAAGGTTACGACCTGAAGGATTTCATTTTCTCCTAACACACTTCCACTAAAAACTTTACAGGTTTCTCTAGCAATACTGATAATCCGGTTTATGTGGTGAAGAGTGAGCAGGGGAAATTGACAATCGAAGAGATGAATGCGTGAGTCTCTAACCCCGTCAAACAATTCTAGTCTAACCACTTGCAGTTACGACATGCACATGCACATTGATGAGACCGTCTGCAGACGTACCGGAAAAGCGTATCGTCATAAGTATACTCGGGGTCTGCCGATAGGGCTACGGCTATCAAACGGATATACCGTTGGAGCTGAAGATTGGTCTTACAACTAGAGTACTAGTCTCAGAGCATGTTACTCCACACAATTTCTCCAGAGCCCTCTCCCCAAATAGATATGCTATAACTAGGCATGGAGTGATTAAAATCATTTCAGACACGATACTAACACATAATACTGCCCATTGTTTTGGGTCCGTTCCTGCGAAGGGAGAGAATCCCAGCCCCAGAGAATGCTGGATCCAATGCCCAGAGCCACACATCTAGATCCCACTTCACTTTTGGAGATTCAATGTACTCCCAGTATAGTAGGATTTGAATACAAGTGAACTGTAGTGTAACACAAATTACGCTCCACCTCCTATGGAGAGCCCTTCAGGATGTCTCGTTAATCATTTCTGCTGGAAATGTCTTCATACATTCATCACGACTTTGCGTGGGACTAACACGGCAATGTGTCCCCGATTTTCGGACCTGTTACATTCCTATCCTGATTTTAAAGCCATGTGTGCTGTGCATTGATAGGGAATTAGGAAATTAAATGAGCGGTCTGAAAAGATACACGTCAATTTAAATCCAAGTAACGTTTCCGGTGGATTCATATCCGCACAAGGCGTTCCTCGGCTCAAGCCTACACCATATGAAGTTGGTCCTCACAATTGGGCGTTTTCAAGTATCCACGGTCGCTTTACCTCCATACCAATCTCGATTCGGCGTAGTCCTTCGATCAAAGTATTCCGAGGCAGAGCAAACGTGATTCTGAACCAGCCCGGCTCTTCACTCTTGAATCTGGAGCCGGCACCAACGGCCACGCCTGCTGCCCCAAATCTTTCGACTAGCTCTGCGTCTGTTTCCTTTGTTGCTAGCTCGCCTCCGATTCGTGCCCACATGACGCAACCAGCAACCGGTGAATAGAACAAAATATGATGGAATGACAGGAAATCTTCTACTATCTCCGTTGCTTTGCGCAAACGAGGTTTGTTGTCGCTCAGTAAATCTTCAACCACCTGCAGATTTGAAAACAGGGAAGTGACAGCTATAGATGCCAAATTGCAAACCTTGAACCTGTTGAGGACTGCTAGTGCACGGCGAAGCTCGGGGTTTGACTGCGTAATGAGATAGCCCTGCAGATGCGTCAGCGTTAGTATGTACATGAATCATATCTGAAGATTCCGACAAACCAGTCGAACCCCGCTGCTACCAAAATCCTTGCTGACACTGTAGGCTACATGGACACGAGCGGGGTCAACGCCAAGTCGCTCCAGGTCTATCGACAAGACTGAAGTAAATTTCGTTTCTAGCCCAATCACCCGATCCGGATTGACATGTTGATCGTATCTAGTCGCCCCGAAATTCGAAAGGGCGTATATTTCGTCCGAAATGAAGTGGATGTTGCGAGCTTCGCAGAATTGAAGCATAGCCTCTAGCCACGGGGTAGGATATATTTGACCAAGAGGGTTGTGGGGATTGCAAAGTATGAGGGCTCGAATGGGGCACGTTGCCATTTTCATCGCTTCGCTGTAGTGATTTATAATATCGGCTGCATTTTGAGGTCGTTTTGAGTAACTAACGGGAACTATACTGACGTTGTTTCTCAATTTTGACGTGACAGCAAACCCATCCCACATGGGTGTTTCCAGTAGTATACCGTTGCCAGTATCGCAAATTGCAAATATCAGAGTCTCGATAGCCGATGAACATCCTGTACTTGTTACGATGTGCTCGGGTAAAACGGCAACTCGAGGAGAGAAGAAGCGATTGAAAAATGATGCCGATACATGCAAAAGACCTGGAGGTCCACCCAACTCTTGGGAATATGAGAGGTCCTGCTGATTCAGGTCCAATAAAATGGCATCTTTTATCAGCGGAAGTATGTCTGGTCGAACAAGCCAATTCTCCGCCATGTCCATTTCCAGTACGCCCTTTGGAGGGGTTGGCTCTGCGGAGGCATGGTCTGAGAGCCAGGATAGACTTCGCTTCATGCGGCCTGAAAGCATTATCGACAGAGATTAACTGATCAAAAAGAGTCTATGTACAGTGAACCAACGTCTATGGCCCTCAATTTAACTATGAGATTGGACCGGTCTATGTGTTCAGTATCAGTAGCAGTAAAATCGGCGGAGTGTGGTTCAGCTCACCGCTATTTCGACGTGAAGCTACATCCAGGATGAAGTATAGAAGGCAATCGGAGCAAAGAAAACTGCACGCCTGATCAAGCCACTCTAATTATCTGTGATGTACTCACAGAGTGCGCTAGGTTTAACTTAGTTTTTAAGTTTGATCGTCGCTGTGCCCAGAGCGTGCACGAAGGCTGATTTCATAACCTGTCTTTTACAGCACCATCAAAGACCGAAAGACTGCTATTGCTCGAGAGAAGAGCAAAGTAAAACAAGCAGGAAGCCTAGGAAGGAAATAACTAACGCCGATAGCAGAAATGAGGAGTGCTATAGTAGTTTGCCTGAGGCTTAAGGCACCCGTTCGATAACTAACTACCCACAAGCTGACTATTACGAGTAGCTCTTATCTAGCCCTATCTACCGACAGGGCTCACTAGATCAAAACAGTGAAACTCTCCTCCATCAGTCCTCGGCAATTTTTACCGCATGAAACGGTTCAAAGTTCTCTCACATTTAAGTTCGGGGATTGACCATACATACTTGTGCATATGCATAGGATGTAGCTGGGAGAACGGCCCTCCGAGTCTCCTTGGCAACAACGGGATTCTCCGATTCTGCACCAGGACAATCGCTTTGAAGCCATGACTAGCGATAATCAAGACGGATTGGCGAATCGTGTCGACCTGGCCGCCTGCGATGAAAGATGCAGGCGAGAACTCTGGCATCCATGCATCTTGGTGTGCAGAACTGCAGAGGCAAACCTTGAAATATCCTGCATTATGTTGGGGTTTGGCCTTCGACAAGCCAATTTAAATCTTAAGGTTGGATTGGGCCATAAGCTTTCTGCTTTTACTGAACCGAGTGACTCAAAATGGAACCATACAACTCCACCGAGTCTGAGTTACTGAGTGTTACTAGTGAGTTGACAACGAGGCAAAATCCTATAGATACAGAAATGACCTAGTCCTATCTGCTGATTTACAAAGAAAGGTTCATAAAGACTGATATTATACATTCCGCCATCTATACTATTTACCAATATTACCACCAAAGATGCTTTGGAAGTCTCTGGACCAGGCACATCCTAAGCCACTGAGTGTGTTGATTTTGGGAATCACCATACTCCTCGTTTTCCACCTCTATCGCACGTACTCGCAACTGAAGCACATTCCCGGTCCCCTCATAGCAAAATTCACCAACTTTCATCGCTTTCTCCTCGCACGCAATGGTCGCCTCCACCTATACCAAGCGCACGCTCACCAGCAATATGGCTCCGCCGTTCGTTTCGGGCCCAACCTAGTATGCCTTTGTGACCCGGAGGCTATTCAAACAATTTTCAACTTGCGGGGTGGATTCCCCAAGGTCTGCCCGCCCGGTGTCTACCAGCATAAAAAAGAAATTTCTCCCCGTGTTGATGGATGCTAACATCATCCGGCCGATACAGAGCAACATGTACCGCGCCTTCCGACCCTGGACCACCGATGGCCTACTACTCTCCGTCTTCACCGCAGAAGACGACGCGACAAATCGAGAAATGAAGCAGCATATCTCGGTGTACTATTCACTCTCATACACTATATCTTCTTTTGAACCAAGAATGGACAGAGCTTCACGGATGTTCTTTGATGAGCTTGATCGCCGGTTCGTTCCCACAAAAGCACAGTTCGATGTGACACAGTGGATGAAATTTCTATCTTACGACACCATGGGCTTGATGACTTTTTCACGGCCATATGGCTACGTTCAGCATGGGAGAGACTTACACGGTATCATGGACGACGTGAAGAGGGCAAACCTGAGTATCGGACCTGTAAGCTACACACAACGGGGCACTTTGACATGGAGCAAGACTCAACTATTAGCAGATGACACAGATACCATGGGTTGATTGGCTGCTACACAAGAATTGGGTAGCAAACCTCTTCAAACGTGAATCTATTGCCCCTCTCTTGGACTACGTCTTGGCACGTATTTCAGAGCGTCAGGATGAGCGTCGGAAAAATCCAAAATCGCCCTCCAATTCGAACATTGATGGACCTATCGCCGAAGGTGATTTTCTCGGGTATTATCTTAATGCGCAGGAGAGAAAGGATAATGTGCCACTTCGATTTGTGTCGACATGGACCTTTGCCAATATTCTGGGAGGGGCCGACTCCACAGCTTCCATGCTTCGATCTGTGGTTTGTTTCCTTGCAGAAAACCCTGATGCACTGGCAACGGTACGAGCAGAGCTGCGGGCTAAGCAAGACACTGCCACCGGGCTAAGTCTACCTTTTCCCCAATGGAATGAGCTGCAGAATCTTCCTTTCCTGGACGCCTGTATAAAGGAGTCACTTCGGCTTGACTCTCCATTCTCGATGCCTCTTGAACGAGTAGTTCCAGCAGAAGGAGCCACTATCTGTGGTCATTTTTATCCTGGAGGAACCGTGGTTGGCATGAGTCCCTATATCACTAACCGCTATAAGCCTACATGGGGTGATGACGCGGATGAATGGCGTCCCCGTCGCTGGATAGAAGGCGAACCGTCGCATATAAGAAAGCTTGAAGCTAGTCTGCTTAGTGTAAGTCAAGTCTAGCCGAACTCCCGGCAGGTTCAATATCTGACTGTAACAGTTCGGAGCCGGGACACGAGGTTGCCTAGGCCAGCACGTCGCCCTTTTTGAAATCAAGAAGTTCGTAACAGCGCTTTTCATGAACTATGATGTGAGTACCTGTGCACATAGTTAATGATTTATGCTTACTGTTTAGATTGATCTAGTCGAGCCTCGAGCGAAGTCCAATCCTTACTTCTGGGTCGTATACCCAGAGAGCGTGCATGCGACGGTTAGAAAGCGCGAGTCGAATCAGTACTAGGTTGGACATATCTCAGAGAAGGAACACAGACACTGGGCTCCTTGGTAGTATTTTATTCTTTCTGAGTTCCAAGGTTGTCCACAAATTGGTTACTAGTATCTACGTACGCCATGAACTCCGCGCACTCCGAACTCTAGGATACAGAAGAGTCTCGAACTTTGAACGTGATTTTTGAGTTTCTGTGGATTCTTTAGTATTAAATATTACTAGTAGTATTATGGATTATCTTTCACAAACTACTCGTAGTAATGAAGCTCATTTACTAGTATCATCCAGTTTTTACTCAAGTGGTAGACTGTATGAGCATCTAGAGACAAGCATCAAGATCAAAATCATGGACCAAATCATGGACCATTTATGGAAGTGGGCCTTTTAACTCTATAGAGATGCCCTCTTATACAGAGGAGCCTAAAAAAAAGACATTCAATATTTCGTTGTCCTGAAGATCGCCCGACCGGGAAAGACCTCCCCGCACCGCTTATCTGATCAACACGTGACTCCCCGCGTTGGTGCCACAAGCTGAACTGAAACCCACCGATGATGATGGTCGCCTTGATTCATCCTCCATCCTTGGTTCTTTCATCCACGCAATGCGCCGACAATTGTGATGGCATCATCTCCAACACTTTTCACTGCCTCTAAAAGGCAGACACTAACATATCTATTGGGTGTCTGCCCGTTTTCTATCGCATTCCTAGTCTTCATCAACTCATCCGTCTCGTTTGTGGTGACTGACCTCATTGGGCTTCACAATGGTGAGGGCGACGCTGTCGGCACCCTCGGATTCGCAGATGAGTTACTTGCACTGGCTGCTTGTCCTTTATGGGGGGGGTTCTGTCCGACCGTATAGGTGTCCGCCATGTATATTTCCTCCCACCTCCTTGACACGCGATCTAAACATTGCCCATTACTTACGGTATGTCAGGTGTGCACGGTGGGGTATCTGATTATCGCGCTGGCGCTGGTTCTCTTCGTGCAGGCCACGAACGTCTACCCTCAACTTCTCCTCGGAAGGCTGCTTTTCAGTCTTGGTGGCTCGGCCGTGTCGACTATGGTCACAGCAGTTCTGCCGAGTGTGACGGGTAAAGCACACGCCGCCTGTTCATACCGCGCGTCCGTCTCGTCCGAGTTGACGATCACGCCTGAGCGATTGCGAGCTGCTGGCGGCGCATCCGGAACTTCCGTGGCCTCGCCTTCTGCTCGGCTTTCTGGATTTGTTGGATTATTCGCGGGATGTGGCGCCCTTGTTTCGCTTGCCGTTTTCTTGCCCCTTCCGGCTCGGTTTGAGAAGCTGGGTCTTTCGCCGGCCGAGGCAATTCAGCGTAGTTATTATTTGGTGGCAAGTGTGGCTTTAATCATCGGATTGGCCAGTTTCATTGGTCTTCGCAATCTTCCTGGTGAAGAAAAGAAAGGATGGAGTTCATTGTGGAATTGCGATTACCTGGAGGATTCCGACGACTATGATGATCACAGGACGTCACCATCCAGAATGCCATACTGGAAACAACTGACCACGGCTATGATGCTCGGCTTCCGCAATCGCAGCATCGGATTGGGATATGTGGGAGGCTTTGTTGCTCGGGCTTCATCGGTGGGGATTTCATTGTTCATTCCCCTGGCTGTAAATCATTACTATCGAGTGTCTGGGCTTTGCGACGAGCTACATGAACCGAAACCAGGCTCGGGGCTAGGGGAGATCAAGCGGGCGTGCCCCAAAGCCTACATCGTCGCCTCCATCTTGACGGGGGTGTCTCAGCTCGTGGCTCTAATTGCCGCACCAGCGTTTGGGTACTTGACAGACAAGTCCCGGCGCTATAACTTCCCACTTCTGTTTGCCGCCCTGGTGGGTGTGGTGGGCTACATGGCCTTCGGGCTCTTACCGAGTCCGCAGTACAAGGGACCCGATGGCAGCGGTGGAGTCTTTGTAATCATGGCTCTTGTTGGGATTAGCCAAATTGGCGCGATTGTCTGCAGCTTGGCGGTGCTCAGCAACGGGATTCTGAGCGTCAGCATCGACGATGAGACATTGCGGAAGATCTACGATGAGCAGAATGGCTCGCAGGGCGAAGGTGGGGAATCAACCGAGAATCAGTCACTGCTTGCAGGATCGGTCAATCGGCGGTTACAGCATTTGTCACATCTAAAGGGATCCATCGCGGGCGTCTACTCCCTGTACGGTGGGGCGGGAATCCTGCTGCTCACCAAGGTGGGCGGACTCTTGTTCGACAAGTGGTCTTCGGGTACGCCATTCTACATCATGGCTATTTTCAACGGGATCTTGCTTGCGACGGGGATTGTGTGTGGTGTCATGAATCATGTTGCGCCGAGGATGGCTGTGGCCCTATAGTGGTGGCCCCTCAACCCCGACCCCGACCCCGGCCCTGCAACTAGAGGGGGGGGGGGGGTACTAATGCCGGAGTATTGGGGCCAAAATTGAGAGTTTTCACGCTTCTGTTAATGTTGGTTTTCCTGCGCCTACCCCTGTGGGTTGTGCTCCTATTCGTAGCGTAGTTTCAGGATGCGGCATGTAGGTACTCCGTATTGCGGCAATGAAGAGCCGAGATGATCGAGTATACTCCGTAGTTCAACTATGTACAAAATCATCGAAGTAATAGTGTACTCCACGCCGGCATCCAGGGGCAAGCCACATCAATATTTAATTTAAAATAACGTGTTGATTAATTAAAATCGATGAACTGGTGTATCCCCCCGGAAAAGCGGGCCCGAGTTGGTCCCGGCTCCCTTTTCAACTCTCATCTCTCTTCCTTCCTTCTTTTCTTTCTCACTCCCACACACTCCCACCCACTCTCCACCATCAACGATCTGGACTCCTCTAGACTCTACGATGGACCTCATTTCTTGCCGATCTTTGAGTGGGCAACTCGTTATGGAGCGCAATTTCGCCTGACGGTGATGATGAGCGACCAACCCATTACCTCTTCCAGTCATAATCAATTCAACCCTGGCTCCGACCGGCGTCTATACTCGAGGGAGTTTAGCGCCCCCCATTTAGCTTCAATTAGCTCTTGTTGTGCTCGCCCCCTTTTCCACAGTTGCAGCAAGAAAAAAGCAGGAACACGGCACTAGAGGCTCATTGACTCCACCTTGTGCCCTGTGAAGGGTCCGACTGGGGAACCCCTGGGGCCTGTTCCTGGGCCTGTGCCTGAACCGTTCTCTCTAGTCTGCCCGCCATCACACACACGGCTCCAATCAACCATGATGTGAGGCCAAGAATTACGGAGTAGAGCCAGCAGGTTCTGCCCCAGTCATGCCAAGGCTCACTCGCATGCGACCCGTGTTGGGTACTTTTATGAGCGTATCGCCCCGGCACCCCCGGTCTCTTTCTCTCTCTGTCACGCTGCACACTCTTAACACTACGGCGCTTCGCTGCCTTTACTTTCTTTAATCCAGTCTTTCTTTAATACCGTCGCTATTCTCTAGCCGACTTCACTTCAAGTACTGTGTACCCGTCACTCGTTCATTCATTCATTCACACTCTTTCAATATGCGCTTCCAAACTGTCGCAATCCTGGCCGGTGCCTCTGCCGTGTCTGCCGGCAAAACCGCCAACCTTCTCCTGCCTGGTTTCCAGAACCGTGACCTCGAGTGCGGTGTCCAGGGCTCGGTATGTACATGACTCTCCAGTGATGCGCGAGACGCGCGACACGATTCATACATGTTGTGGTCGATCGCAAGTCTAGTCGCATTGCAAGATATCTATACCCGAAAATATCCGTTAACAACAAACAAACAGAATGGCGATACCACCACTTACTTGGTGACTTGCCCTACCGGCGCTTCGGCTTGCGGTATCCCTGGTGCTGGCATGACTGCCATTGCTGCCCCTACCTCCGTGCAGCTGATCAACCCTGATGGCAAGGGCAACACTGCCTCCGTCTCCTGCAATGTTGCCGGCACCACCTCGGCCTCTTGCGTGGCTCAGGACGGTACTGTTACCGTCTCCCACACTCTGGGCCCCAAGGACCTGAACTGGATGGCCGTCACCATCACCACCCCGACTTCCACGTCGACCCCCACTCCTACTTCCACCGTCACCCCGACCCCGACCTCGACTTCCACTTCGACTGTGACCCCGACCTCGACCTCCTGCCCTGTATCGAGCCCCGTCAAGTCATCCACTCGCGTGCCCTCTTCCACCCGTCTGGCGACCTCGTCGATCCCTTTGAAGCCCACCGGCGGTGTTGTCACCGGCACTCCCGCCCCCACTGGTGCTTCCACCGCCACCCCTCTCCCCAACGCCGCCGCCCCTCTGGCCGGCAACGTTTGGAGTCTCGGCGGAGCCGCTCTGGCTCTGGCCTTCGCTCTGGTCTAAGCTTGAAACAAAGCGAAAAGACTCTCTTTTTCCTAGTGTCTTGGGTGCAGTGGTCGCGTTATCAGCATGTGCCCTAATCTGCGATGCTTGCGCGACCTTGATTTTGCAAAGTTATCTTTACTTCAAGGTTCTGGGTAACTAACAACTTCTAATGGATGGATTCATTGTGTTCCTGGCATATATGTATTCATCTTATCTTATTTAATGATTGATACCTTTCTCCACGACAGCATGATCCAGCGTGATTCCTGTATTTTCACCTCTTCGTGTATACCTATACACAATTTACATATTTGCATATTATAACTTTCGGAGTTCTTCCCATCTATCCCCAGTCTAATAGTCTAGTCCCCTTCATGCATTTGTTGTTAGTGGTGTGCGTGCTTTCGGATATCCAATTTGAAATTGAAGCCACCCCCACCCCCTTGGACCCGAAGCCTGACTGAGCCACAGGTCTACCTATGCATTCTACCTGACCCCGGCGGCCATCATATTCTTGAATAACACCTGGTTGATGCATCCCGGCCCAACACTAGCATCGATTATACATACGAAGGGTGCCAACTTGAGGATGAGCATCATGACGCGTCACTACGTTAACTATTCAGATAAAGCAATCTCGAGATGTACATATGTGGTACTATCATAGATAGACATCCGATAGATTTCTTCAAAAATGACAGTTCTCATCAAACGCAAGGTCAATCCCAATACAACCGACGCAAGGGCGCACCCCACTTCTGTCAGTTTGCCATGCGCATGGAGGACGGGGTGCATATCGGCATATTGACGGAATACATCACAGCAGGCCCGTGCGATGTTCTGAGTGTATTCATCCTCGCATTGTCGATCATCCGCCACTGTGTGGGGTGGATGAGTTGATTGAGGTCAGTAGATAGTGTACTCTATCTCAATCTCAGAGATCATTTACTCCGGCGCTTCCCTATTACTCTTCGAGTCATCCTCGTGATAACTGAAGCACCCACTCGTCCAGCCTGATAGGCTTGTTGACCGTCTAATTCGGCAGAAGGTCCCCATTAATGAACCCGCTGTACCAAATTCATACTTTCTTCCCAGATCGACGTAAAGTCTTCCCAGGCGGGTGACTGATCGGGAAATGCGACTTGCTCAAGATCAACGATCATTACTTTGCCATGGCCGTCTTCCTTCTCGTCACAAAAGAGGAAATTATCTAGATTTAGCGAGATCAATTTCTTCCGAGTACTCTATGGTCTCTGTTATGCATGTTTCGCATTGGGTCTTGAACATCGATCAATCTCTGACTCTGACTCTGCATCCATACCATATAGCCCTAACGTCGCCCCAACGCCAGAACGATGCAAAATAAGGAAGAAATGACGCTTAAAGGCTCCCGCAGATAAAGTGCATACCAATTTCGATCGTAGACCATTGAGAATAGAATGAAATGTGACATTCACCTCCGAGGCAAGAAAAGGGAGAAAGAGGGAAGAAGAGAAAGAGAAAAGAAAAATCAACCACCCACGCTGTAGCAACAGGAAAGACAAGCCTGAGAGACAAAAAGAACAACGCAAGATAGTCACCCTACCGCTTGGTCAATACTTACTTAGCAGCAAGACTATCTTCAACAGATCGATCGCGCAAAGTCACCAAGAGAGGTGGTTTGGCCCAGAAGAAATAAACATCCTGGTCGGGCCAGGTACCATGTTCGATTCCCGGGCACAGATTGATATCGAAGTGCCAGAGTAACTTGCAGAGAATGAGTCGCATTTCCGCATAGGCGAGACTAGTCAAAGTTGGAGCGAGGTCAGTATGGCTCTTGGCAATTTTACGGGAAGGGAACACGAGAGAGTATTGCGTACCCTTTGCCCAGGCACACGCGTGGGCCGTAACTGAATGGGTTCAGAACATCTTTGTTATCCCCGTGAAAACGGACGTCGGTTCCGAGCCATCTTTCAGGGATGAATTCATCGGGCAAGGCAAAATTCGAAGCTGAGCGGTACGAGGCGAAGTGGTGGAATGCAACCTTGGACTGGGAAGAAAATCAGCGTTACAACCCGGATCAAGTCAATCATAATGTTGTGATACTTACACCTTCCGGCACGTAATGCCCGTCAACATGGGCCCCGCCATTCGGGACAATGCGAGATAGACTTGTTACGAGGGGCGGGTACATGCGTAGTCCTTCTTCGATGACGGCAGAGAGATATTTCAGCGTGGCAATTGTCCGGAATGTCATCTCTGTTTCACTCTTAAAGGAAGAGCGAATCTCGTCTGCGAGTCTAGTCATGGTTTGTGGATTCATGCACAGGTAATAGATGCAACCAGTCAGGCACGTAGCCGAGGTCTCGCTGCCTGCGATGATGAGGCTAAATCAATATCAAGCAAATTAGTGCCTTTCCTACCTTTTTCTTGTGAAAAAGATATTTCGCGTACATGAATGCATTCGAGTGGATTTCCGCCCGACTCATGATTTTCTCCCCATCAGTGTACGGGCCCTTCTTCTCGCTCAGCCCATTCTGCAGAATAGCAGAGATGAAATCGGGTCTCGAGATGTTAGCTTCTAACCGACGATCCACCTTCTTGGCAGTAAGATTGAAATGATCTTCCGCTTCCTTCTGGAACTTCGACGGCATACACAAGTCAAGCATCCTTCGCAGAACTGGGAACTGCATCGCAACGCCAGCGATGGAAAGAGCCCTGATTGACTTGACGAGTAGATCGATCCACGGATGCAGCCGAGTATGTTTCAGACAATCAAACGACTCGCCAAACATCAGATCCCCGGTGATATCAAAGGTTGTGTAGTTCAGCCAATCCTTGATATCAACGGGATGTTGCTGCGATGAGGTGTCATCTCCCACGTCGATCTGCTCCCGCAGCCTGCAGATCAGGGTATCGACGTAGCCCTGAATAAGATATTCCTGGTCTCGAAGCGCCCTTTCCGAGAAAGCAGGCGCGAGAAGACGCTTGTGTCGCGCGTGCACATTGTCGTCGGGTGTGCTGACGATATGGTGCGTGCCATTTGGCGGCGTGAAGTAGTGGGACATGTCCTTTGCGAAGCAGCCGCCGGGTCTTTGGCCGTAGATATCGCGAACAGAACGCGCGGTACCGAAAGCAAGCTCATCTGGACTAATACGGACGACGGGACCATACTTCTGAAACATCTGGTAGACGTCTAGATGAACTCTGCCCCGGATGACAGAAATCTGCAAGGGAATGCGGGAGATGGCCCAGAGCTTTGGGCCCGGGAAGTTGCTGAGTGGAGACCAATAGAGGTCGTAGAGGATGGAGAAAGCAATGGTGAGGCCGACCTGGAAGCGTGCGTGGTTACTGGGTCAGCATGCAAAGATACGGTAGAACCAGAGTGTTGGGATGCAGGGGGGGCTAGTCGGAAGTTGTAAGAGGCTTCATTGGGGTTGGGCAAGATGGATGTAGGGTCCTGCAGCTGCAATGAAATGGGGGTGTACGAGGAGCACAACTTACCAGGACTCCTGCAGACACGCTCCAGATGGGGTAAATTGAGGTTTCCCCGGATGAAAACATGGTGGAGTATGATTGCAGAGTGGAGAGAAGACCCCTCGTGATGCTGGGCTGCTCGTCCATGGAGTATTTACTCCCTAGTGGTCATTCGTCTGGGATGTGGATGAGGCCTCAGACCCTGTTTTTTTGTTGCAAAGCTGGAAGGTAATTGGATATGAGACTGTGGTAGCCGAAGTAACACGAAGATATTTCAGCTGGAATGAAAATGTTCAGAGACAGAGAAGTGGAGGGGGGGCGGGTGGAAGAGGAGGAGAACAAAGAAATGAGAGGGGACCAACAGAGAAGGAAGGTGAGTGAGTGGTGAGTGCTGAAAGAGAGAAAACCCCCCTCTTTCCCTCTCCCACCACATCCCATGAGATATTCTCACTCTCTGCTTTGCTTTACTATCTCGTGATGATGCTCGTCTTTCCCTAGGGTAATTTCCCTTTAGATCTGATTTCACTATCTCATCTCCACCCAATACATCCTATATCATTCCCTGCTATTCCCATCCCCATTCCCCTCCCCCTCCCATACATCTAAGAAACACCCCGAGCTTCAGCCCAATTGTCGACTCATCTAGTCCCGAGGTCCTTCTAGGGAATCCATGGCTTACGGCCATACACAATGTGCAAATTGCAATATGTATGCACCTCGGGATTCCTCAAATCTCTCCGCACGCCCGCCAGGAATACCTGGGTTTGATGATTCGACCAACCAAGCACTCGAGTAAATAAGGCCAAAGAATACGACTCGACTGCCATGAGCAAGGAGCAGAGGTTATACCGACCGATCTGTTTCTGAATAGGATCGTCATGCCAGGCACTAGAGGGAACCTTATCCGGGTGAAACAAAAGGTCAGTTGATAGCAAGAAAACACAAACGGACCGAAAAAAGGGAAAGAAAATGGGAAAAAAGAAAGGAAGAAACAAAAGAAGAAAATGGAAAATGGTAGGCCATCCGGACCAATCGGATCACCCACACCGGTCGTACCTTGTACACCTCATCCCGTACATCTTCAAAACCCGCCTCGATCAGCCGCTGCCGGTGTCCCTCGGCGATATTCATGGGCCGGTGAAACGCCTCGCTGGCCGCATGCAGCTGACCGAGGAATTCGCGCAACGTCGGCGCCAGACGCAGCTCCTCGTCATCGTCCGACTTGAGCGTCACTTCGAATTCCTGCAATTCGACCCGACCCCCAGGACGCAGATGTTCGTGAGCCTGGCGAAGCAACCGCGGCCAGTCGGCGATTGCGCCGCTCAGATCGCGCGCGTGGATGAAGTCGAAGGGTCGGCTTGTGCTGAATAGCCAGGGGGGATTCGGCGTCGTCGACGATGAATCGCAGATTGGGCGGGACCCAGGATGGTTGGATGGGGCTGAGGTCTGTGCCGACTACTTCGGTTCCGGGGTAGCTGTCTGCGAAGTCGATGGCCCATATTCCGGTTCCGGTGCCGATGTCTAAGACTCGTTGCATGTTTTTGCTTACCGGGGCGCGGAAGAGGGCGCCATTCAGTACGAGGTTGCGGACGTGGTGGAGGAGGTCTTGTCTGTCTTGTTCGGGCTCGTCGTTGGGGAGAACGTAGTGGCCTTCCCGGTAGGAGTGGTATCGTCGGCCGTTTTCGTAACAGTAGTCTTTCACGTCTGATAGGAGTGAAGCTGTATGACTGGAGGTATCGGAATGATAGTCTTCATCGAAGACTGAGTTGTTCTCGCTGTTTGTTGATGCCGCCGAGGATGCATATCCGGGGTCCTCTGTATCAACTTCATTTGGAACAAGGCCTAATTGTAGCGCAGGCGCTGGTTCATAGGAGGGAATTGGTTGGAATTCTGAGCGAGGTGGCGTGCTGACTGATGAAGATTCTATTGTTAAATTGGGTTCTGCTGGCAATCCAATCCATGCATTCCTTTCCGCCGAATATTCCGTAGTCGACGAATCCGAAGTCACTTGGTGTGTTGATAGCGGCGCAGAGTTGGAAGTCGTTTCCTTTCCTCCAATATCCTCATTCTCGTATACCAATTCTTCCGGAATTGTATCCAATTGAGAGAAATTGGTTCCTTGTTCGGGGTAAATGTTGATGTTCCCTGATATCGGCGTAGGTTCAACGCTGACACTCAGCTGAGGTAAAAGAACAAGTTTAGGTACCACACCCGGGGACTCAACCAAACCAGACCAACACCGCGAATCCCGAAAGGAATCTTGCAATGACAAAGGATCTTCCTCGCGGAAAACAGCCCCACTTTCAACTTCACCCCCCGACACCTGCAAAGGCTGAAGTAGCAAGGGCGACGGCGAAGAACAAACCTCCTTCGGACGCGGGTCAACACCTATACATCGATCGATGCACGACTCCGGCTCCGTCCTCGGCCCCGAAGACGACAGCGACAGCGACAACGGCAAAGAGTCGCCCTCGAGTGGGTTAGATGTAGCAGTATGCGAAAAATCCAAGTCATCAACAACCATGTCGTCCGTGCCCATCTCGGCGTCGAAATGAGCAGTGTCAGAATGCATGGCGGAAATATTCACGAGCACAGGAACTTGACATTTCTGCAAGGCAAAATGGAAAGAGAGAGGGGCGAACGAATGCGAGGGCGAGTTGTCCTGTCCCTCTTTACCCCCCAGGTCTCACAGTAATGTTCAAGTTCCCCTTGTGTAGTGCAGAACGGCCAACCACGATTGGTGTAGCAATTCTATTCGGCAATTATGAGGAGGGAAATTGTCAGATCCAACGCCGTTGTATTGTACCCTCAAGAAGGTAATTGTATGGTATGGTCGGGCTGTCAGCTTTTTCTTTTCTCTTTCTATGTTGGAAAAAAAAAAGCTTATCGATACTGTTCGATGAACCCACTTGGTTAGATTCTGATCGCCGAGGGATATTGAGCCGACGAGACGAAGTTCAAACAAAGGCGAATATTTCAAATTCGAATTATGATTGAATCGAATTGTATCACAGTTTCTGCTTTTATAGCCCTTCTTTGTAAATCCCTGGTCTGTCAAGACAATTCAAACATCCCGGCGCAACGTAAGGGCGGAAAGAAGTACTCCACTCAGACCGGATAAAGAAAGTGAACACTGGGGCGTCATGGGATGGAGTCGGTTCGTAGGAGAATCCACCCAAGAAAACCTTGGAACGTTCTTTTTTTGGCGTGTGGCGTTTTTGGGCATCCAGTCAATGCGGTTTAGGGTGTGACAGGGATGAGAAAATGCCCCGAATTGAACTGGTGACCGACGAAAATCACGCCGAGGACTGCTTTCTCTTGTCCGTGCGATCGCAGATTCTGGCAGATTCCATGCCAGAGTCGTGTATCGAGCGCTAGCTGGTCAGCCATGGCTCTAATTTGATCTAGCTCCGTGGTGTTTCGTCTACCGTGGAATGACCATGTTTTCTTTGTTATGGGTTGAGACAATGCTGTGGGGTGGGTCGACCGTTGCGCTCGGGGCCTGCAGATCATATCAGATCGGATCGTACTGTTTAGGTTTAGGTTTAGTTTAGAGCTACCATACTCCACGCAGTTTGCATTACTGGATATGCTCAAAGGTAAGATTTCTAGGTGTAGTTTCATTGTTCTACTAGAATGTTCGAAATTCCTTCGTTTCGGGTATTATTCATGCCTCATTTCACTCATTCGCGTATAGTTCTCACTGGAAGAGACCTGGCTGAGCTACCTAGCCAACGAGTCCACCAGCCCGACGGTACCCGCTTGGCCCTCTTCTGGTACCTTGGTGTGACTGACGCGGTCCTTGTTCAGCGTCGCTGTCTCGGATTTCCAGCCCAGCATGCAGGACAGCAGCACGAACGATTCGCAGATGAGCTTCCTTGTTGAAGCTGCTCAAGCTGTCCAGCGTCTTTGTCTGTACCTCGATTCGTAGATCTGTCTGGTTGGAAACCAGAAGACCTTTCTCAAGATCAATTCGGGTATTCAGTACGCCTTCCTTGATCAGACGGATGAGTTCTTGGACGAAGGGCGAGTTCAGTCCGGTCGGTCGAGCTTCACCTCCAATCACGTCTGGGGCGAATATAGCCGCCATCGAGTCGAGTGTGACGCGACTGAACGGAACCAGATATTGATGGATAGCCTTGGTACGGATCTGAGTGTAGAGAACCGGGACGTGACGCTGGAGGTTGATGTCGAGGAGGTAGTCGGTGCGGTAATTTTCTAGAATATCGAGGCAAGGACGGAACTTGGAATTACAGAAGAACGCAATGGCTCGACGAATATGCGGCTCCAATTCGAGGAAGTGTCGAAATGAGGGGTTATCCAACACTTGTTTCTGAAGTTCTTGACGGTCCATGGAGGCCAGGGCGCATAGGCCCCCGTAAACGGCAATGTCGTTTGGCGTAACAATCTCGCTGAATGTGTCACTCAGAGAGGAGTCCACGGCGAGGAAGCTCGTGGCTGCATCACGGAAGGAATTCGCGTGCATTTGCGATAAGCCCAGGGCAGCCAGTATCTTAGGTTGGTTTTTCAGGAGATCTTCTGGTTTGGATTGGGAGTTGCGGAGTCGGTGGACATTGGATTGCACGCCTATCCAATCTCCGCGTTCGGCGGATACGTTGATCATCTTGAATAGCATGGATGCGATGTGATTTGGTGTTGTGCAATAGTCTCTCATCCGTGAGTATGCCTTGGCTGCGGCGACCAGGTCTCCCGTTTCATAGTAGTGATTGCCCAAGTCCTCATTTCCCATCTAGCGAGTACAGTCAGTTATGCTGATAGTCGTAGACTGAGAGAATATTCTCATACCCGAATGCTTTCCTTAATCAAATTATTCTTATATCCCCGCAGCTCATGTTCCAAGCGTTCGCTCTGGGCTCTGACTGAGCGCTGGGTATCTGAGACCCAGGCAGAGTCGAGGGCGGCTTCTTGCTCGCCCGGGGCTACCTCCGCTAGAGCACGAACTGCTTTTTCATATCGTCCAACATCCTTTCCAGATTTAGCCTCTGCGACAGCGGACTTGAGGGCATCGACGGCAAGGAGGGTGGAGGTGTTTCCAATAAGGTAAAGGCGGTTGAATCGGGTCCGACCTAATTTACAGCATTAGAGATGACCCAGTAAGCTCTCAAAAATCGACAAATATACCTCTGTAGTTGGAAATGTATGATTCAAGGTCCAGCTTGGGGGGGATCTGCCAGATATTAGCTATCGCTCCAGCTGCAACTGATTTGGGGTAGGTGTCTGCGGGGGAGCGGTGGGGGAGCAGCCCCGCGTGAGGATCAACGCACCATCCACCTTTACAGGCATGGGAGAAAGAGTCTCCCCGAGCGGGCCAGTTCCGGAGCTCAAATTTGGAGGTGCAGCTGAGGAGCCCATCTGAGCTGGAGCAAAGGCATCTGGCATGGTATCCATCGTACACAGCCGGGGCCTTTCGGTGAGTCTCAATGGGTCAAGAAAGCCGGGGGTGCTGTCAAATGGAAAGAGTGATTGGATGAGGTTATTGAGCAGCTAGAAGGGTCACAAATAATGGGTGAAAGAGTTGTGAGAGGAGGTGAGTCTGCGTGAAATCAAATGGATTGTTGTCGTGCATCTGGCAGGCTGAAGGTTGGCAGAATACCACCGCCCCTCACACCGCCGTTGTCTTTGGAGGTGGCTGCCTTACAGCCTCATCGCTTCATGCCTGAGGTGTCGAGGGTAACGTCCGAGGTGCAATTGGGCCGAGGATGATGTGAGTAATCAGTTAATTCAAATCATCCTACTCCGTACATCCGGGGAATCTCCAACACGGATTACAACTTGTTTCGGACTCTGAATTAATTGATCCAATAATCTCGGCTTCAGAATAGCTCTTGCCGACCACACCTATAAATAAAAGTGAGGCTAATTCACAGCCATTACATCGCGATATCTTCTCCGCAACTTCTCCGCAACTTGAATACCTCCCGCAAAGTACCGTGGCTGTCGCCCAAAAACGAATTCCATTCAACAGTTCAAATTCGAGATATTAGTTCAATATGCCGCCTTCTCAGCAACCTGTAGCCCTCATAATGGGCGCCTCTCGGGGCATCGGCCGACAAGTCGCCATCGACCTATCCAAGAATGGCTACGCAGGTACGAAACACCCGAATGAGGAGTATCAAGTAGTCTACTAGACACAGCCATCAACTTGAAGGATGCAGGACAAAAAAGAACAAAATAATTAACAAAACACCCGCAGTAATGCTCGCCGCAAAAACAACCTCAGACGCCAACAAAACAACCCCATTCCCGCCAGACCCAAACTCACCATCCTCAACCATCAACACAGTCGAGCGTGAAATCCGCGAAGCCGGTGGCCAAGCAGCATCCATCGCCGTCGACGTGCGCGACCCAACGCAAATCCAGCACGCCGTTGACGAAACAGTCCGTCGATTCGGAAAGCTAGACGTCCTGGTCTACAACTCCGGCGCAATCTGGTGGTCTTCTGTGGAGAATACACCGCTGAAGCGATTCCGTCTGATGCAGCAGATTAATCCCGAGGGCCTTTACGCGACGGTTCAGGCTGTCTTGCCGCATTTTGAGGGCAATGGGTGGAAGGGGAGGATTGTAGTTGTTTCGCCACCGATTTATTCGCGCTTTTTTAGGGGGAAGACGGCTTATGCTATGGGTGTGTATATCATGACTTAAATGCCGCTTCTCACTGCCTACTTTTGGCCTGAGCTTTTTTTTTTGTGGACTGCGAGTATGGCTATTCCATGGGTTGGGGCTAATTTGTTGGTTTTAGGCAAGGTGGGCATGAGTGTATTGGTTAAAGGTCTTGCTATGGACTTCGTTCGTCAGGAGCGCAATCAGATGGCAATTACGAGTATCTGGCCTGCATCGGTATGTAGTTGCCCCAAAGTGTGATTGTTGCGAGACTAACTTCTCTAGTCCATTGAATCGGCGGCAACAGAGCACAACAAATCATCTGATAAGTCCTACAAGAAAGATCTTCGAAAACCGGTACGTGCGCACCAGTTATTTATGCAAGGAGCTCCGCTGACAGAAAGTAGACAATATTCTCCGATGCAATTGTTGAGATGCTCCGTGCACCAGCAACTACCGTGAACGGACTCCTGGATACAGACGAAGACTTCCTCCGCGAGAAATGCGGTGTAACAGACTTCTCGAAATATAACGTTGTCCCCGGTTCGACGCCGCGACGAATCATGCCTGAAAAGTTCCCCGTGTTGGAGGTTGCAGAGCAGGATGATGAGGGGCAGAGAATGGACAGCGCGAAGATCCGGGCTAGTAAGATCTAGTGACCGATCCTGGGACTGCTACTTTACCAGGAGATGGGGGTTGTCTTTTAGATCTCACAATGTGAACTGGGTGGTCCAAGCTCGAACGAGCTGAACCAAGCTGAACCTTTCAAGGTGAATACATATAAGACAGAGATCCCGTGTAACGGGAGGATTCCGGTTGATGCGGTCAAATTGGAAATGTTCAATTGAAGATGAAGTCATCAGTGCCATTCAGATTAATGCAAAAGAAATAGACGCTCATGCCGATGCAATAGTAAAGATAGAGAGATAAGAATAGGGAAATCTGGAAAAATTGAAAAGAAAGAAAAAAGGAGAAGGAAGAAAGAAGAGAGACAACCAAGCCGACCGAGAACAAGAAAGCAAGGCCCCGAAGAATCGACCGCTATTAATTTTGAAGATCGTGAAAATGGCAATGGAAATGGCAGACCCAGGAATCAAACAAGAAACGCCATGGACATGATAGATGAATCAAAGAAAGATGTAGAGGTCCCCATCTCACAAGAGAATCGCAAAACCAGCAATGAAGCCGGTGATGAGAACGAAAGTTCCGTAGATATGGCCCATTTCAAGAGCGAATCGAGTAGCGGCGCCAGTGGCCTCGTTTGTTTTAATCGCTGTAGACGTGGCGGTACTTGTCGTGGCAACGGCAGAGGTTGTGGTGGTGACGTTCACGCGCTTGGGGTCTTGAGCTCCGCAAGGGTGGTCGGAACGGCAGGCGGCTGCGCAGGCACTGGTGCTGCACTTGTTAACACATTCGGTGTTTGCTTCAGTGCAGATGTAGTAGGCCATTGTCTGGGAGTATTCGGATGCATTGGGCGAGACATTGTTGCTGCAGATGCAAGAGTAGGCCAAAGTATCCTAGAAAAGATGATTAGATATGTTGACATTGGAGTGAGTGCAATGAACAAAACGTACAGCATCACAGGTATTGTCTACTGGGTCTCCAGTAGCTCCAGGAAGCTGGAGACAAATGAGGGGACAGGCAGCTTTCTGGGAACTGCACCAGCTCTCTGTGTGTGTACAAAGTTAGCATGTGGTGGTGTTGAAGGGATCTGCATTGTGGGACTCACGTCGAGTAGCCTCGGCGACCGAGTTTATGTCGATCGACTGGGTGCTCACCTGAGTGAGAACCGAGGCGAGAACCAAAAGAGTGGACGTGAATACTGAGGAAAACATGGTGTGATGTGTGATGGGGGAGAGGGGATGTGGTGGAAGGAGAAGGAAGAGTGAAGGTGTGTGTGTGTGAGAGAGAGAGGGAAGGTGAAGGAGGCTGGTGACAACGGGTGCCGGTGACAGTGACAACTAAATAAGAAACGCAGTGTCAGTCGGTGTAGACTGCCGATGCCGAGCTCCCAAGGGTAAAAATAGCGTGGAGGGACGGAATGAAGGGGGAATGCAAGAGGGTGGCCACCGCCATGTCTTAGAACTTACCCTCGGGGGGAATTCCTGGGCTTTTGTTCGAGAACGTCTAGGAATGAGAGGCTAAAGCTAGTACTGTTGAAAAGGGAAAAGAGCACCACAGGTTGCAGAGAGGGTGCAGATGAGAGAAATTGAGTACAGATTGAGCGGAGTCGGAAACGACAGACTGGAACCACAAACTTGAACGAGGATAGAAAAGAAAAAAAAGGATAGAGAGAAAAAGGGAGAAAGGAGGTTTAGGAGATCACGCGCATATAGAAAGGTGCCTGCGATGGCTAGCGGGGGACACTAGTGACCGATAGGGTGATACTGCAGATCCACAGTGCAATGCAAAGAGGGCGTGGCAATGCGATGGTGATGGCTATACAGAATAGGAAGTGTACGGAGTACATTTACTACATTGCAAACACCTGGGCATGAAAGCAGACTCCAAGTCAACAGCTCCAAGCTTGTGTGGAACCAGCTTGGATGACAGGTCGATCCGGGGATACATATGATCCGGATGAGCTACAGGAGCTCTGGTAACCCTTGATTCACCTGGGCACCTGAAATGAACTCCTGGTAGAGTCAATGGCAAAGTAGAAATCACCACGATGTTCTTCTGGCAACTCTGATTGCCACGTCATATCATACTCCTCTCTGCATCAATATCCGCCATTTTTACTCCGACTAGTCGGCAATGCAACGAGGCGAACGGCCAAAAAAAAAAAGGATGATAAGGGTCGATGTCTCAGTTTAGCGGCAGCGCCGATCAGCCACTTGGCCTATTCGGGACTAGCCCGCTGCTTGGCTCGAACCCTCGCTAATCCCGGACAACAAAATGTCAGACCGTGGTGGGGGGACACATGTACTGCCCACCAAATGGAGTATAGAATGATTCTATCGAGCGGGGGAGGGTGGGGGAGGAGGGGAATATCAATGGTTATGGTATGACTCAGATAGTGGGATGTGGCACTGGATCAGAGAGTCAAGTCTAACGAGATCAGATGATGGGATCATTGCCACAGTCACGGTGTCTAGTGCCGGCTATAATTAGGTACTACTAGCCCTGGAGTACTTACTATCACTATTCAATACCGTGGTTGTGGTCGCAGTGATATTACTAGTACTAGTTGTCGCCTGGGAGCGGAGTATAAACTCCGACTCAACCGAAATAAAGTACATCTACTATATCCAACAATCTACATAAAACTACCACTATCGGGCGGGAAAAAAGTGGGTAAAATCTGCCATTACACTGGCGCAGTGATATTAAAGACATATTGACCGCCAAAATCATTTCCCTCCATACACAGAGCGAGCCACCAAAGCGTCACGGTGTGGGTACTATTTTTCTCCGAGCCAAAGTCAAGAGCCTAAACTTGAATGGGGTTAAGCCGAAATTCAATTACAGAAACCGAGTGTAGTTCTCAAAATTGAGATTAACGAGACGACTTGGACAGTTATCCAAGCTCATCAAGAGAGGGAAAAGGAAGAGAAGGCTCATACGATCTTTCTATTCGGATCATCTTTATTTGTAACGGGTACTAGTACTAGTAGTAGGGGTTGACATTCCAGTGCAAAAGCATTGGTGGGGCGCTGCGATCGTGCCGGAATTAGTTTGGTCTGGCATTCCAGCGACTTGAAGCTAAAAGGGCCTTCCAAGGTTATCAAGGAAAAGTGATTTATTTCCTCGTGATATCCAATGAAATACTACTAGCAGTCAGTTAGTGCCATGAGTAACTAACTACTCAGTGGTCCCGAAGTACCTGGTAGTCCATACTTATTACCAGACACCGTATGAATTCTCCGCTGCTGAGAAAGATACTCCAAGACGAAGGAAGAAGAATATTCTATTAAGCTAGAGACCAATTTGTTCGAATACAAAAAAGTAGTTGAATGTCAAGTTCACCGTAGATAAATACCTGATTTTCGACCAGGCATCCCGCTTACATAACACCGCCAAATGCCATTTTCGAGTTGGAGACGTGGAGATTGCCCTTGAGGAATTCCTCCAGACAAACCTGCTCTCTCACATCTTCGCTTGGACTCGGACCGTTCCAAGGTGAGTGCTCCCTGATTGTCTCCTACGCCCTTCGCTCTTGGCCCTTCCAACCCCTCTCCCCTGGCCGAACAACCAGAGTCAAAGCCAAAGCCAAAGCCCCCCGAGCCTTGCTCGCCCCCGCATAGGCCCGCTAGACTGCAACTCAACCCCGAACCAATGCACCTCGGCTCGAGCCGAACCAGAAAGTTACCAACAGGCAACCATGCTAACACACCTATTTCACAGTGTCTTGTCTATATCCAGACGGCCCTGCCAACATCTGATGGATGGATCCTGGTACTGAGGAGGCCGGTCCGGCACCCCCGGTGCAGCCGTCTCGCTCCTCGCTTTCGCCCTCGCCTTCACTCTCGAATTTACCTTTGCCTATGAACCCGAGCTCAACGCCGGCCGATGAAGACCCCGCCACACAACCGCAAGACACATATACCCAAACCTTAGCTGAGCTCCAAGCCGAGATCGAGACTGAAGCAGAGGCGGAGCAAGAAAGAGAAGAGCAACAAGAAAGCTCAGCCTCAAGCTCCAAATCCCGCCCCGTCTCCGCCGTCGTTCCGCCATGGTGGCAACGTCATGAAAGGAACGTTTCGCGCGCCTCGCAAAGCTCCCTTCGCAACACAATCACCCTAGAAGACCACACAGCGGATCCAGACTCGGAGACAAGCCGCGGGCTTTGGGCGCGGAACGTCGCCATAAGTGACCATTGCGTCGTGCAGGGGAAGACCGGGGTTGGCGCGTACGTTGTTTGGAACTGTGTCGTTCAGACTCTTGATGTGAGTGCCAAGCAGCCTAGCAACGCTCTCTCTCCTCTGATTTTCCTCCCATTCGTGTTATGCGTCGCATTCTGCTGTTTCTGTGACTGACCATTACTCGTCATGTCCAGGGTGGACCGATAGTCGTTCGAATGCGATATTCCGAATTCGACGACCTGCGCCAACGCCTCGTATCTTCATTCCCGCATGCGAAAAGCGCGCTGCCCGCCCTGCCGCCGAAAAGCGTTCTCTGTAAGCTACCACCGCTAGCCTGCACGGCCAACCAGTCCCTCTGGAAGAATCGTTGGATCGACTTACTGATAAATACGCAGTTAAATTCCGCCCCAAGTTCCTGGAGAATCGACGTGCTGGACTGGAATATTTTCTCAAGTATGCATGCATTCCTACCACTCTCTTCTTCCCTTCTGGCACGACATGGGGAAGCGATCGTTACTACGGTGGTGATATTGATGACATCTTCACTAACAAAAATCCCACCTTAGCTGCGTTCTACTTAATCCTGAATTTTCGAGCTCGCCTATCGTCAAGGACTTCCTTTTTGGTCGAATGTCATGAAACATCGCATAACCACCGAGTCAAGCCGAGAGCTTCATCCTGTAAAATACCATATTATGCTACAATTTGCCCGCACTGCTCTACCACCCATCCAATGTCATTAAAGGCCTCTTCAATCGATCGAAAGTATACTCCCACGAATAAATTGAGCATTGAGCATTGAGAATTGAAACCTTTCTTACCATCCTATCCCTCTGGGGTAGTATATTAACGCGATTCATTGCTGATTACATAGGATTTTATCTGGTATGGTTTAAAGCGAAACGGTTTCCTACAATTCAGAATTAAGAAGACTCAGGGCCATGCCCAGAGCCCGAAAGACAAAGAGACAACACGAAAGAGAAGTAGCTTGTTCTGACTCGGTATGCACGACAAAGGAAAATTAGATGATATAATGAATGACACAGTTGACCTGATTGAATCGAGTCAAATCGAATCGAAGAGGACCGTTTCAGGTCCGCAGCCCTTCCCTTAAACCCAACAAGACAAATCGAAAACAGAAAAACGCCTAAGTATGATACAAGCGATCTTTGAATATGGTACAGCGACAGAAGAGGAAAAAAGGAAACAGCAACTTCGAAGAAGTTCGGCGGCGGGTCCGGTCGGTTTTACCGGGTTGGTGGGCTCTGGTTCTGGCTACTTTTTTTTGGTGGTTAAAAAGGGAAGAGGACCTCGTCCGCACAGGGATCACATCGTTTTCTGGTGATCTGCAGCTCCGGCTCCAGGCCCAGCCACAGCCCCATCGCCATCCCCAGTTTCCGCCCCAGCTTCCGGAGATTCAGTCGCGGCTCCGCTTCTATTATTCGATTTCGACTTCCGCGTCGACATGCGCTCGCACAGATCTGCCCACAGAACCTTTCGCAAACTGATATTTGCCATATGAAGCATAGCCAGCAAATGTCTGATACTCGGCACGCCCTTCGGAAAGACGAGATACAAGCCTGAGTCCTGCTCGGGGTCAGGGCGAAATTTATCGTGATATGCCTTCTTGCCCCGGATCGGGAGTCGTTGGAAGGTGTGACCGTATAAGTCGCGAGTAAGTGAGGTGAGCAGTTGCACCGGCATGCCCGAGATATCGTCTGACTGGAGTTGATGAACGGGCTCGAAGCCAAGGCCGAGGTATGAGACGTTGGCGCGCTGGAGAAGGGCCATGGCTGCGACGATCAGCAGGTCACTGATTCCCTTTGCGCTTCCCGGCGTCGCGATGCACGGGTCGACGTGGTAGCCGCCGCATCCGAGACGGCGCAGAGCGGCGAATCCGTTTATGCGGTAATCTGGGCCGCGGCTGTAGACGAAAGTCATTAGGGATGGCAGGGCGAATGGGTCGTATACTGTGATGAAGGCTTGGGGACCGGTGGAATCGTTGCGCTCTGCGCGCCAAGAGTCGTATACGGCGACCAGGTCGGTTTCTAGATCTGCGTCGGTGCCGTGGATGGCTGGGGCGTATACGCCGAGGGTGATGCCGCCTTTATCTGGGTGGAGGAGTTGTCTGTTTTGGACGGCGATGCGCTTCCCGCTTTGTTCGTGGAGGACTTCGTTTGATTGCGGGTTTAGGACGCGCTGGGTGCCGAATCGGATTGTTGTCCAGGAGTTTGGGTGTGCCTGTTCGCGGACGAAGGACTCACTGGCTCCCATGAATGCAATTCCCCAGTGGTGCTTGGATCGATATGCGGTGAACTCAGCGAGAAGGTCTGGGATCATGGCTGGTTCGCAAAGCGGGTCGCCGCCCACGATTGCGACTTTGTTCTGCACTTTGAAAGAGAGGGCTGCTGTGCGTTCTTTGTTTACGAAGAAACGATAACTGTGATCTAGGATTCCCATGTGTGCGACGCGGCCATATTGGGCGGTTAGGCGCTGGATTGCTGTGATGGTGGAGAAATCGCCGAGCGAGAATACGCTTCCGTGGGACTGGTTGGTATGTGTTTTATGGAGTGTGTGGACAGACTTGGTGCTGAGACATGACTGACTCGCTGCTGTTCGGAGTGATGGAGGGCTGCGCTCTTGGATATCTCGTTCGTCGAGGCTGGTGGGAGGAGTACTCTCCACACCAGTCAGGGTTCGGCTGCTGCTGCTCAAGGAGCTGGCATAGGAGGGTGTGGTCAAGTTCGCGGAGATTTTGCTTTGCAAATGATCGACAACTGAGAGATTTGTGACGCCGAGTCGGTCGTCGAGTCGGGGGGTTGTATAGAGCTGATCGATGAGCGAATCACCCAATTCATCCAACAAGAGAGACTTTTTCTGTTTCGAACCAACGGTATCGGTGGCACTGTTACTTGTCTTTCGACCCCGTCTTCCACGCTTCTTTATTTCGGATGCTGGGACTTTTACATTGGTAGGAATTGTGTCGAGATCTGTTGCGGCGGTTACCAAGATGGGAGGCACGGCACCGGTGCTGGCCTCGATAGGCAATGGGTTGTTAGGGTAAGCGGAGGTCATCGCGTGTTCGTATTTGGAGCAACGGGATGTAAGGATTGTCGAACCAGCACAATAAACGTGCTCTATCACAGTATGGCAGATTTGGATGAAGGAAGTCTGAGTGTAGTAGATGGAAAGAAATTGAAATTGGAGGGTGGTGAAAGAGACAAGGTATGTTTATGTCACAGCATGACGCCCTCGAACCTTCCCGTGCGGGTATACTTGGTATAGTTACTTGGTACCATAGGTATAGGTATAGGTATTATTGTATCATGTACTACTCTACCACTGCACCAAGGTAGGATGTATGTAATATTGTATTGTTTTTGATCAGGCAACGTAATATTGCATCACACATGTCTTCTTTCCCTTTTCCTTGACCCTGCGCCCCACTGTTGAACCAGTGGATCTACTTAACCGCCCAGGGTCTTCCCACTTACCAATGAAGGACAGTTGCGCAGAACGCAATTGTTACAGTTCTAGTCTTTACAGCATGCAAGCTCGTGGTGATCTTTGACTAGTGTGTATCACATGGAGCTGAGCATCAGCACTGCCCTTGTTTCAAAGGTACGAACAAAGCAAGAGTTATAGTGTGAAAGGGGGAATAATTAGACACAAAGTACTCCAAACTTCATGTAATTCAATTCAATTAACAAATAATACCCCAATTAGGACTGACAGAAAGAAAGGGAGAAGGCAAAAGAGAGAAGGCAAAGAAAAAGAGAAAAACGCTGGTGCCTTGTTGACGTGAAGGGCTACATTAACCTTTCCAAACAAGCCTCTGCTCCGCCCCACTTAGCGCCTGGCTTCCCGACACTTCCCAGTTCTTTGCTTCCCAAGGGTTGACTGGGATCGACCATTTCCTCAACCTTACCACTGCTGCCTGAAACTCGGGTCCTCGCATCCCGCGGGGCCCGATTTCGACTTTGAGCATGTGCCTCACTGGTCCATTCGTTTAGAACTGACAGTAATGGCGCTGCTTATTCCGCCCGCTCACTGCGGACTTTGTGGCGCTTCTAAGAATATCCACCACCGCTCGTATATTCAATGACGGTGCTGATGATGAAACTTTAAGGCATGCCATTTGCAGCTGTGACCGGGGCTGTAATAAACCTACCTACCTAGGTAGGTCTATAGGTCCACGGGGTATGGGGATCGGATAAAGCCCGGAAGACACTAGGATACCATAGGGCTAGATGCCAAGATATTCTAGATCCCATCCTAGGCATCCGTGATCCTCCCCGTCCGTTTTTATCGGCCTCAATGCGTAGTAGCGGAATCCATGATTCTGAGCCGTAGACCAACCGCTACGGCAAAAAGGGACAGAATGAATAGAACTCGTAAAAAAAGAGTCAAGTTATGCTACATATAACCCGTAAAATGCCTTGAGATACTGCCCCCAGGAGGTACTATTATGCCCTATTGTCGCTTGTCAGCGTATCTTAGTAACTTGAATTCACCAACTTATCAGATGCTCTTCATGCCACCACATACCCAGACCTTGCATAGTTAATATAGGATAACTTCCATACTAGTTTCCAAGATTTAATCCCGATAAATCAATTAGCAAGCGCTAGACCGGGCCGAAAAGACTCCAGCTTCCGAAATTCCGCCAGATCAGCTAATTGATTCAGGCACCTTGCCCAAAAAAGTAAAAGCTGAATCGCGCAAGCCATAAATCCGGGACAGCCGATCGGATCCACCCACGGCGCCTATAAGGGTATGCACGTAGTAGATTCGCATCTGCCTATCACGAGAGTGGGGATAGCCTATCAGCGAATATGGCGCATCCCATGATGATCTAAAACAAGACTAGACCGGTGGGTCAGAAACCGTTCCGATGCCTTGAAGAAACCGCAGAAGAAGCAAGGCAACGTGTGATGGACATTGGGACTGTAGAGATAGCGGTACGAAGTTGTTCTGGCAGTACGGCGTACAAGCGGGAGTATTCAAACAACTTGAACATGCCTTTTTTGATATCGGCATTTGATAACTTGAAGGTCAGCTTCGTTAGTCGCACAGGTTTCCAGCAGATTCTTCTGTATGACGCTGTGAGATTATGGCTGCCAGTAGCACGCACTTCACGAAACAAACTGAATTTATGCGGGAAGAAATTAGGCTCATACACATAAACTGGTTTGAAATTGGTGCCGCAGCTAGCAACGGTGGGGACCGGCGATTAGCCGACTTCCGATGTTGTCTGAATAACTGTATAGCCTCTCTCTCTGAACGCATATGTCACTATTGATATGCAATCTGTTCTACCTCGTTATTCCACATACACATGAGTTCTCGATAGAGAAGAGGGTGGTCAATAATAGTGCCTACAGTACAGATCTCACATCATCTTGTAGATATCAATTTCTTCTTTTGTAGCACTCCCCACTGCGGTTTAATACATCTCATCTCTCACCTGACGTTACTCAAGTCACTGGAAGGTATGACCTAGTGAATTTCTTAACTTGAATCCATGGATATTGAAGAATTTCCTCCGCCATATCTAAGGCTCTCTAAATCGAGATTTTGAAGATACTAAGTCATTGTACAGTTGTCTTCACGGTTGGGACTATGGCACGCAATAAGCACCTAGTAGTACTGCAGGGCTACTACTATAGCATGTTGTGAAAAAGAATATACCCGCGTCAATCATTAAGAGGTCTATTAACAAAATTCATAAGATACCACCCCGGGCCATAGTACATCAAAATCACAAAGACGAAAGTATTCGAAAGGCCTCCCATACCAGTCTTTCTTTTTACAAATCTCACCACTCCGCACAAAACTTAAACAGCATCCGGGAACACATGGGGGGTTGGTAAGAGTTTGAGGCGCCGACGCACGAGCCTTGGGACCGATAAGATGGTCAAAAGCTGGGGAGTGGCTGACACGAGGAGACATATCTTCCAGATCCCACAGATAACCCAGAGTCTTAAGAACGGAGGTAGCGCTGTAGGAAGAAGACTTGCCAGTGACGGGGTCAACACCATAGTTCTCCACATGGCCCTGAGGAGCGTAGGGAGAGACGAGCCAAGTAGGCATACGGCCACCCAGACGGTCAAAGTTGAGAGTGTAGGTGGAACCGTCGGCGGCGGTCTCGGTGTAGGTCTTGTTATCAGGACGAACGGCCAAAGGAGGAGCGACGTGGTCGAAGAAACCACCCGTCTCGTCGTAGGTTAGGGAGGAGGAGGGTCTTTTCCCACTGGGGGCTGGCGCGGAGAGCATCGTAGACTTGCTTGACGAGGACCTGGCCGAATGAGACATTGCCGGATGGGTGCATGGAGTTGGTGTTCAGGCCACAGCAGGATGGGTTGATGTAGGAGAGTTGGGGGAGAAGGCCAAGGTAGGCGTCTTGGTAGAAGTTCTCCATGGGGACGACGTTGGATTTGGCATTGGTGGCGGTCCAGTTGAAGAATAGCGAGTCGGGCAGGAAAGCGCCGTTTGTGCCGTCGTAGTTGCGCCATGAGATACCCTTCTCACTGGCAACCTCGAAGATGCTGGTGGTGTCGATTCCAGACTCAAGGAAGCTATCGTCGTTCTCGCCGTGGCCGTCCGGGGTTCCGGAAATTGCGCACAGGCGGTTGGGGTTGGTGGGCTGGGACATTTTTAGTTTCTGATGTTGTTCTTAACGCTGAAGTTTGAGAAGTACTTACCCCGGGGACACAAGAGTGCCAGTAGTTGAAGGTGGTGAACTCATCAACCAAGTCAACGAGTGTTGGGATCTCGCTCTCGGTGTAGTAGCCCATGACCTCTTCAGTGGCACGCTTAGCGGAGATGCTTGGGTATGAAATCATCTGCTTCTCAACGAAGCCATTCAGGTTAGGCTTGAGTTTGCCGCTGGCGATGTCCTTGTTGGAGGGGTTATAGGTGCCGTAAAGCTCAAAGTTGACACCAGTGACCGAGTGATCAGGATCATGGATAACCGAATCATAGTCCTTGTTGACACTGCACCATTTCTGGCCGTGGGTCTGGTTCACAGACTGAGGGTTACAGAAGGGACCGTTGTTCACAACATTGTCAAGACCTTCCTTGTGGACACCACCCAGGATATTGTCGAATCCGCGGTTCTCCAGCAGGATCCAAACCACATTCTCAACCTTGTCCTTGAGGTTGGCAATAGACTCCTTCGATCCGGACTTGTATCCCCAGGGCTCTTGATTGTTTTTGGCAACAGCCGCACTCAAAGCAGTGCCAGATAGACCCAGAAGGGGGATCAGAGTGTTGGCCTTCATGACGATTGACGCAACAGGAAAAGAAGGTGTGATAATTTAGCAAACGAACGAGCGGAAATCGTTTCTCTTGTGGACATTGGCAGCTCCTTTATATACCCCATCTTCCCTGCTTACACGCGATCAAGATATGCGACGTCGGTCACCTTCCGGAAAAAGTAAGTCGTAGTATTCCCATCAGACGTCCACATGCAGGAGCAGAGTATTCTCATAGGCTTCAGTGAAATATGGGGACCCGCGAAACCGGATCTCGGAGCGGAGCTTAGCAGATAAAGTAGGTACACCTTACCATAGACGCGTATCTATTTCAAAGCATCCATTCTTGTCAACAGCCGAACACAGATTTGGTGCGGGATGCTTAACATTGTACCTGGCGTTGAGTGGAGTCACTATACTTCAACCTGCCAATTACAAGTTGAACCACCACACTAATCTCCACTATACATAATTTGTCCAAGCACGATGGACCAATCACCTTCTTTGTTATGCCCACGCTTCATTTGGATGTTCCCACGTGCGGAATGCTTGGTCGCGTTGCAATATCCGGATTCCTGAGGGTGGCTTCAGAAACTCACGCGAGTGGACCTTCTTCAGCGTTAGCTCCTCTTCGGTTATCTCCAAATTATCTTTGCAATTAAATGAAGAGCGGTACCAGGCCGAGCATGGATGGGGAATAAGCAGTGGTTGAAATGTCGCAGCAAATGATTTTTCTAGTCAGTCTATAATGGAACAAGCTAATTCATGACTTCAGGACATTCTGAACAGTCTGCACCACATCTCCCAGTACCTCATCTCTTGGCCGACTTGAGTCCAACATAACCACATCATCCTCGTCAACAGGTATTTCAAGAAGATCAAGCTGCGAGGCCACCATGGAGGACTTCATATAATGCTGTTCGGTCGCCGAGCGCCTATTCATGCGCTCCGTCAACAGCGCCTTGTCATTGATAGTAAGCAACAAGAACGAGACAGTGACCGGGAAGTCAAAAAGATGATTGAGTCTCCGCAGCTCATCACGATACACAGTTCGCAATGCAGAACATGTTACTGTAACTGCTTTTGCGTCTGAGCTCAGTAGACGATCCATAACAGCTCCACGAATATGAGCGAGCCAGTCCCAGCGGTCGGAGTCAGTCAGTGGGATATTCCTAGCCATCTTCTGACGTGCCAGTGGGGAATGAAGCAAGTCGCCCTCGATTGTAGGTATATCAAGTCGCGATGCGAGCGCTTCAGCGGCGGTAGTCTTTCCACACCCACAGGGACCGATGAGGAAAATAACCTCACGGGCGGGTGCAGGGGTAGGGACCTTTGTCCAGCATTGTGTATCGAAGTATTTGATGAATTGTGAAATGAACTCGCTGTCCAGCCCGCCGACGTTGGCCAGAGATCGTGATCCAGCTTGGGCCTTCTTTGTGTCGTACAGGAGTGTGCGGGTAAGGTCGGTGTTGTCATATTTCGAGGCGAAGAACTCGAGAAGTTTGACGGGTGGGTTGACTTCTGGATCCTGGTTTGATTCGCGCAATCTTTGGAGCCATGCTTGCTTGGGGAGCTCTTCGAACTCAAGGCCAGCTTCACGTAGCAGGGGCAGGAGGTCCTTGGACCAATGGTTGAGTGTTGGGTTTGTGACGTTGAGAACTTCTCCTGCGGTGGATGAGAGGCTGAGATCGATGATGCTAGCTGCCATAACGTCGACCGGAGTCCAGGAAAGAACATCATCCAGCTGAGGCAGCGCCTTGATGGTTCTTGCAGTCCGCAGGATCATTGGGATAGCTTCGGTTGCATTCCAGATGCCGAAGGTTTTGTCTGCCACAATTTGACCAGCGCGGAGAACTCGCGCGGTCATACCGGTTTGGCAAGCGGCACGGTTGACGATGTTCTCAGTGACTAGTTTCGACTGGGCATATCCCATGCCCTGTGCGTGGCTCAGTGACTCGGGCAATTCTTCACGGACCCAGTTTCCTGGTGTGCGTGCGACGGTACTGACCGACGAGCAGAAGGAAAAGGAAGCTGGTTGAGGAGCTTCGGCATTGAGGCAAAGGTCAAGCAGATTGCGAGTAGCAGCAATGCAGCTTTGCTCAAAGCTCTCGAGCGACCAATTGAAGTTGACAGACCAAGCACAGTGGATCACCGAAGTGACTGTCTTCTTAATCTTGCCATATATTTCGTTGTCCAGTCCAAGATTATCGGTGTTGGTAAGGTCTGCTGGAAGAGCCACAATCTTTCGCTCGGCTGCAGGGCTCAAGCCCAAAGAGACCTTGCGTGCATACAGACTCTGAGAGACACGCCGACGGGCAGCACTGGTTGACTTTGCACGAACAAAGCAATAAACCTTGCGCACATCATCAGCTTGCACCAACTGAGCCACGATATGAGCTCCCAAGGAGCCGGTGGCACCCGTCAACACAATATGCTGACCATCAACCTCTCGTTCAATGGGAACATGTGTCTTGAAGTCATTGCTATACTTGTCAATCAAACTCTGCATTCTTTCTTCAACAGGAATCTCCTCCTTGGGTCCTCCGCCCGAGCGCAGGTGAGTGATCTCATCGGCCATTGCTTTCAACGAAGGATTTTCGAAAACAAAGTTCTGAGACAATCGCTGACCACCAAGATCCAGGGTCTGTGTGATGGCAGACCGTAGACGGATAGACTGCAGACTGTCAATTCCCAGGCTGAACAGATCGGTTCTGATTTCGAGAGAAGTTGGATCAACAGATGGGGCAATTTCGAGCAAGGACTGGCGGAGAAATTGGGTGAGCTCATCGCCCTCAAGAACCTGGTCACCAGTTCCATCTGACAAATCGTAGATATCGCTGATCCTCTGAGCATAATCCTTATAAAAGGCAGATCGAATCACAGTACCCTTGTCTGTCCTCCGGTATTCACTGTCTTTGGGAAGCACAAAGACCATATCCCGAGATACATAGGCGTAGGCGGGGGACTCAGCGTTGCATTTCTCGATATCTGGGAAAACTGCATCGAGTAACTCCTCATCGGTCTTGAATGGGGACTTATCGGAGGGTATGATGAAGAGACCGATTCGGGGCTTGGTACTTCCAAATGCGATCGCTTCTGCGACATTGTGGTTTTTGCGTGCGACACCCTCGATAAATAGAGGATTGGCCTTTTCGCCATTCTCAAGAATGAGTGTGTCATCAAGACGAGCATAGTATCTCCAGGCATTTTCAGTAGTAGGATGCTTCTCGAACAGATCCTTTGTCGCATAAGAGTTGTCTGGTCGGTTACTTGCAACCTTCGAGGGCCAGCCCTCTGTGACGCAGAGTTCGTAGATACCTGGCATGCCAGGCTGTGCCTCCCATCGGAGATATGGCAGCAGAGAAGGTCCAGGGCGAACATAGTCCCAGTCCAAATCAGAGCGATCGCGGAAGGAAGTCATCAATTGTCCTGTCTCGGTTGTTCCGTAGTGAGAAACAAGACGCACGCCATTTTGAACCAAGGTGTCACCAATTGGCTTGGGGCAGGAAGATCCGCCAAACATGACAAGCTCAAGACGGGCCAGTCGTTGTAGACCATCTTCAGACTCGGAAAGTAATTTCAAGGCGTAGGGGACCGCATAAAGAATCTCAATCTCGGGATGGTCGTTCAGGGTTGAGAGTAGGGCGGTCGCGGTGAGTGGCAAACTGGCGTTGTACATGTAAATCAATTTCTTGGAGTGCATAGCTCGGAAAAGACAGCTGATTCCATGGGCGTGGAAAAGAGGCAAAGTGATGAATCCCTTCAATCCGAAGTTGTTGGCATAATTTTTCAGAGCTCCCGAGTGGGTTTGGTAGATTGGTTTTGGGTGACCAGTTGACCCGCTGGAGTGAATGACCCAGGTGATGTTCTTATTTTCTGTTGGGCCATGACGATGAGACGCTGGTAGAACTGCGTCTGAGGCATCTAGAGAGTTCAGATCCGCAGGCCCTACGACGGGGACCTGAGTGGCACTCGTGCGCCTGCAGACATTCTCTCCCATCGATTGGAAGCTTGGATAGGTGATAAGGAAGGTGGCCTTGGTAGCTTCGACCAAGCTAATGTATGCATCTTCCGCGATGCGTGTTGAGAGAAGTAGTACAGTGTGGCCTAGTCGTGAGACAGCCTGTAGAGTGATGAGATACTCAAAGTCAGAGGGGCCAAGTAGGCCAACAACTTGCACTGGGTCATTGGAGGAAAGTCTTTGCGGAATTATCTTTGAATAGTAAACAGCCGCTGACTCGACGAGTATGTTTAGCTGTTTTTGTTAGTAATCGCCACCTCAGTGGTCGAAGGAAGTTTCTGTCGAACCTGGTGGGGGGGTATAATAGATGTAGTCTGTTCCTGAAGAAGGATAGGCCACGATTGGCTCATGGGCTGTCTCTCCTGTAGCTCGTACGCGGACAAGATCATCAATTGTGAAAATCTCTTGCTTGACGCTGGCAGTCATAATAGAAGGTGCCGTCGAGGAGTGTGTGTTTGTTATGGGTAGCGTGGATGTCACCGCTGAAGCAAGAGTTGAAGCTGCCATTTTGTTGTTGAGGCTGGACAGCGGTATGGACAAGATTGATCTTGTGAAGTATTGGGAGTCGAGTGCCTTTTTAGATCAGGTTTGAAACGGGAAGTGTTGCCTGTTAATCCGGTTTTCCGAGACAGCATATGAAATACCAGTGAATGTATCCAGAAGGAGATGATATGCGATCCTCATCTGGTGTCTCCATACTGGAACCTGGGGCGAGTTCACGGCCACTCCGACCCGTCTGTTGACCAAGGCCTTTTCCGCCGCCTTGATGAAAATGTCGCATGACTTCATGGCTCACTTGACCTATCCCCGCAAATGTGGAGGGGCCCCTTTGCGAGTACAAGCCCAATGACAGTCGTCTAGGGGAATTTGCGGAGAAGGTCCGAGATGCTGGTTTTCCGACGCGGTGGAGAATGTTGTAGGCGGAAACATACCACCCATCGGATTCGTATCAGCTCCTCCATTTTCCGCCACTCCTCAAATTGAGCGAAAACTAAGTCCACTAGCACTCTTTGATAGACCAGTATTGGCAAAGAGTCACTCATGGGGTGTTATTCGTAGCATGGGTGCAAGCCGAAGCTCCAAGGTTAGTAGGTATGTGCATAGTACCTAGTAGATACTAGTAGTAGTAATAGAAGTTAGTCAAAACAACCTAGTCTATTTGGGAACTTGAAGTGCCAGTGATTGTATATATACCTAGGTAGGTATTTCCGCCTCAGAAGTCTTATCTACTACATAGGTATTTTAAAAGTTCAAGTTCGAACTTCCAACTTCCGAGGCTGAACTTGAAGTTTAAAGAGTAAAAGCTCACCTGGGAAAACCTCTACTACTTTTCAAAGTTTATCTCAAGTCAGTGTGTAGGCTTACGTCTGGTGGAAGTCTCATAAATGGAGTCATGAACATTCTATAATCTCTATCTAATTCTTTACTTTTTTTTTTTACACGGTAAATTTCTCCTTGTTGGCAGGACCAGCCTCCACCGCAATCTTGCGAACCGCCTCTTCGCCAGTCTCTTCAAAAATATCAACACCCCAAATGGCAGGGAAGTTGAACCGCCTGTGGCGCTCAAGTCCGGTTAGCTTGCCATATGCATCATCGGACAAAGTGCGGACTTGAAGATTGGCGGCGATGCGAGAAGGTGTCACACTCTTGGAGAGGACAATTGTGCCACGCTGGACACCCCAACTGGCGAGCAAAGGGCCGGGATCCATGGATGTCTCCTTGGCAACCTCCGCGACGAGAGGATCGTCGACAGTTCGGGGCTCACCAGTTTGGTTGTTTCCGAGAGGAGAGTAGGCCTCCACAATGATTCCCTTGCTTTGGCAGAACTTCAGCAGATCCACCTGCTGGAGATATGGGTGTGCTTCAATTTGGTTGGCTGCAGGAACAACTGAGACTTGGCTGAGCAGTTCCTCCAGTCGCCGGATGTTAAAGTTGGAGACACCAATAGCTTTGACCTTTCCAGTCGCCAAAAGCTTCTCCATTGCCTTGTAGGTAGCAACATAGTCGTTGGCCTCCAGCTCAAACACGCCGTCCTCGTTCAAGGGAAACCACTTGTCACCTCCCTTAAAGGCACTGTGAGAAAGTTAGATGGTGGTCATCTAATCATAGGAGTCGGGTCAATATCTAACATACACAGGCCAATGCATGAGGTACAGATCAACATATTCAACACCAAGATCCTTCAATGTCTTGTCAAGCGCTGACTCAACATCCTTAGCAGCATGCTTGGTATTCCAGAGCTTGCCGGTGATGAAGATTTCCTCGCGAGGAACGCCCGACTTCTTGATGCCCGCGCCGACCTCTGTCTCGTTGCGGTAGATAGCAGCGCAGTCAATATGACGGTATCCTTCCTTCAAGGCGATCTCTACAGCGTTTTCGACCTCGAGGGGCTTCGCTTGCCAGGTACCAAAGCCCACGGAGGGGATTTTGGCACCGGTGTTGAGGGTGAAGTGTGTTTGAATCGCCATTGTCAATGTGAGAAGAGAAAATAATTATTCGAGTAATGAAATCAAAAGAGAATATTTGGGTCAGTATCTGCTCATATTTATCACCAAACTTTCCTACAAGCACCGGTTATAGTGGATTCACTCGTGGATTCATCCTATGTCGGAAAAGCCAGTGGGGGGGTCTGATTATCCGCGGATTTCCATCCGGGGCGACCTTAGAGGGTCCGCAAAACACCCCGCAATTGATACTTGTGCATCGTCATCTCGAGTACCCCATATCATTTGATGGATCGATACTCCTGCTTCTTTTTTTAATTTTTGTTTACGTTGGAATTCTTGGAAATTTTCAAGAAGACCATCTCCACAACACTTTTGTTGCACAATGGCCCCATTTCCTTCATTCGATGATCTTCCATTGCGTAAGGATGGCCCTCCTGGTAATGCCTGGGGTCTTTTTGGAGACAATGATGAATGTGGAATGTTGAATCGAATTACCCCAGAGGTCGTCAATGCCGCATCGAAGGAAATCAAGGATGGCGTCCGTATTCCGACTGATCTACCCATAGACTTTATGTCTAAGCCGTGTTTTGGCAGAGCGCCATTTCAGCACACGATCAAAAATAAAACGCCACGATCGGTTAATGATGATACAATTGTGTTCAATACCCAGATCAGTACACAATGGGATGGATTTAGGCATTTTGGTTATCAAGAATCCAAAAAGTGGTTCAACGACCACACTCTAGAAGATATTTTGCAAACGAAAGTGAATGGTATACACGGTAAGTTTCACATAAAGAAATATATCTTTGCCAGTCTAATCTTGAAATTCAATTAGCTTGGGTTGAGCAAGGGGGGGATTGTGGGACGCGGAGTGTTACTAGACTATGCGGCCTGGGCAGAGGCCCAGAATATCGCTGTCGACCATTTTTCGCCACATTCGATCTCTGCTGCCACGCTTCAAAATATTGCAGATACTCAGGGCACGGAGCTCCAGAAGGGGGACATTCTCTTTGTCCGCACTGGATGGGTTCGGGCTTTTACCAATCTGTCGACCGAGAAAGCGATCGCGTTGGCGGATACGACAAATCCTCCAGCGATTGGATTAGAGTCATCCATAGCGACAGCTCGCTGGTTGTGGGAAACAGGATTTGCGGCTGCAGCTGGTGACCAGCCCAGTTTTGAGGCATGGCCTTGCCAAAATCCAGAGTACATGTTGCACGAGTGGCTGTTGGCTGGTTGGGGCATGCCAATTGGTGAGATTTTTGATCTAGAGAGGTTGAGCGAAGAGTGTAGGCGCCGTGGACGGTGGTCCTTCTTTTTCAGCAGCATGCCACTTAGAGTGAGTTATTTTTGAACCCGGCCCTCTACCAGATTTCGGGTAATATCATCTAACAGCTATTAGGTCCCTGGTGGTGTTGCTAGTCCACCAAATGGGGTAGCAATCCTTTAAAACCAACAAATTACTAGTACTAGTAGATGAGCCTGTTAAGATCTAAATAAAAAAAATAATATGGCTGCCATTACAGGATCAAAAAATCATTCAATTCATTTATTTCGATGCTAGTACTAGTAGGAGTATCGAAAGAATGGATCTTCTTGGTCCGTCTGATCAGCCAAGGTCGCATCCATGCTCTGCAATGCGACATCTTGAAGACTGATCCTATCTCGCTCAATGGCGCTTTCCTTCTTCCTATTCAACATGGATGCATAAAAAGCAAATGTAAAAAGTAAAAAGATTTCAACGCAGTATGCTACCAACATCGCAATGATTCCTGAAGTGTACTTTGGAGCCTCGGATTCTTTGAAAGAGAAGGGCCCGATAATGTTGCCCACGCAGTAAGAGATAAAGAAAATGCCATTTACGGCAGACCTTTTGGTGGATCCACCGGTATTTGCTGTAATGAGCGACATTATCATTGCGAACGAAGCGGTATATGTGCTAGTCAACTAGTCCAGAAAATTTCAGTGATAACTCTTGCAAATATGAGGGACCGACATACCCAGTAGCAGACCAATAGCGCCACTTTATGATCTCTTGAGATAGTATGAATTCCCACAGCCCCTGCCAAGGCTGGACACACATATGCAACAGCTACCAGACATCTCATCTGGCCAGGAAGCCATCTTTGAATATACATTGCAGAAACGTTTGAGACCAAGATGACCATACCGTAAGGAATCTGGAAAAGAGTGGTCACTAGGTTTGAATATCCAAATCCGGAGATTATCAGACTTCCAAAGTTGCTAGCTGCTCCGTTAACAACCTGGGTGGCCACTCCACAAAGAAAAAACAGCCATGTTTTGGGATCAGTAGCGGCTTCGATAAGTTGGTATTTCTTGATCTCGCGATGGTTGGCTCCGTGGTGTCGTGGTCCTAAACGGCGAGTTGCAACAATTCTCTCTTCTTGATTCAACCAAGGACTATTAAATCAGTAAAAGTGGTCTTAATTCGAGAGTAAGCGATAACTCACGCGGTTTCAGGGCGCTCGGCCAGAGTAAAGAACATGAATATCGCCCATATCGACGACAGCGCTCCGATGACAATAAACTGATACTGCCAAGGTTCTAGAGCTCCTTTTATATGACCAACGCTAAAGGCCAAGAGTCCTCCAAAGGAGTTCGCCACGCCAAGAAATGTTGACCACCAGCCTATTCGGATGGGCTGTTCCTCGACCGTGTACCATGTCGCTGTGATCAAAAGATAAGCCGGGGTCGAACAAGACTCAAGTGCACCCAGCAGGAAACGTAAGCCCAAAAACGAGTCAAATCCGTTGCAGCCAGCAAGTGCCATAGTAATACCACCCCAAACGAACAGGTTAATAGAAAGCCATTTCGAGACCGGGATTTTTTGCATTGCAAACGTTGTAGGGTACTCGAACTTTTCTTCAATCAGTAATAATTTCCTAAGTGTACTCAGCTGGTGATCAATAAACATACCGCCAGATATCCGAAATAGAACATGCTGCCTATTCAAAAAATTTATGTCAGTTTATTAACAGCTTCATAGACACAAGGGATTTACCTAGCCAACTGTACTGTGATCCATGTAGATCCAGAGAATCCTTCAAGCCAAATACAGCAGAGTATCCCAGCATAGCCTTGTCAATATAGGTCACTAGATATGTGATACATATAAACGGTATGACCATAATATCAATTTTCCGAAGAACTTTCTTTGCTAGCGGAGAATTTGCAATGAGCTCGGACGACTCGATGGGGTTGGATTTCTGGGCATCATTTTGAGCAAAGTTATGCCCGCCCTCCAAGGACTCAAAATGGTCGCTGGTACTCTTTGACATTCTAGGTCTTGATTTGGTATATAGTTAGGACACCGAATATTAGGCTCTCGGGATGGAAGAGGTGCTCGAGTTCAGAGTGGGGAATTCTTCTAAATATATGACCTAGCTAAGCTTTGACATTGCTCCCGAGTATTCGCAAATGAGGTGGCTTTCCAAGGTTCCGCGTCCAAGGACTGTTCATTGAGCGCCCGGCGGATTTAAGAAGCATACTATCAGTTGAGAGCTAATTAGGTAGTGAATCATTCTACGCAATTACAAGTAGTAGTAATGTGTGCTACAAACATAATGTAGCATGTTTGAAACCTTGGGAAGTACTTCGGTTGTGCTAGTATCCAAATGCCGCGTCTCTCTAGCCGACTTCATAGATTTACAGAAAATTCCAATAGTAACTCTGTACCAAAACCGAGAAGATACTCACAAGTAAACACCAAATCTGGGAGTTGGGTTACCCTCGGCAATCATTACTATGGCGGGTCTCGTGACTGGCGGATAAGCCCTGTCGGAATTCTTCTTCGTCCTTCCTCCTCGTTACCAGCTGGCTCTTGCTTTCACGGACCAGAATGTGTTGACAGGCAGACCAAAGGTTCTCAAGGTCAATTTGACAGAGAAAATAAACGACAATTTCGACATCTTAAGTCGAACACTGCTGACAATTTCCGATGGCTGATGCAGCACAGGCGACATCACTGCTCCCGCCTCGGGGATCGTCGCGGGCGCGGAAAAGAATGAAGGTCACTCGTGCATGCGATGCTTGCAAAGCACGCAAGAAAGCCTGCACGGGCGATATTCCATGTCGATTCTGCGCACGATCGGATCTCCCATGTTCTTACGATGTTCCTTATCATCGAGGCTCCGCTGCTACCCCACTGCCCTCGGCGCAGGGCGGAAATGTGCGACCCATGCCAGTCGCGTCAATTTCCGCCCCGACGGAGCCTACCCCAGTTACGGAGTCGGTTGTTGGGGGCCAATACAGAGGTCCAGCGTCGGCCCATTCATTCTTGGACCGGGCCGTGAGGAACTTCCACGGAGCTCAGCGGACTTTGGATGCGACGTCGGAGGATTCACAGGCTTCGATATTCTCGCACGGTGATCGGCATGCTCCCCAGATTCCCGAGTCTCAACTGCAATGGCCTAGCCAAGCCGCTGTCAATTGGCTGGTCCAACGGTACTTTGACTTTGCATCGCCGACTTATCGCATTCTACATCAGGGGACAGTTGAGGAATGGATAAATCTAATTTTGGGGCAAGAGGTGCCAACTCCACCAGGCCAAACTCCAAGACTATCCCTTGCGGGGAAAGCGATCATATTAATGATGTGCGCCATTTCATGTTCTTTCTCCGCGCTACAGGACATGCCGCTGGAATATACGCTTGGAAATATGCCACGCGGACAACAAAGTGAGATGTACTATCAGATGGCGGATCGGCTTCTTTCCCGGGAACAAGGCTCGCCATCATTAGAGTCAGTCCAGGCTCGGTTCCTCACAGTATTGTACCTCCTCGGCACGTCAAGAATGAATCAAGCTTGGTTCAACTTTGGGCCTACTGTGCAACTACTGATGGCACTGGGTCTCCACCGAAGAAACGCATATACGAGAACACTCAATTCTTCCTCGCCTGGTGAGGTTGCTCTCGAGTGCTCGAAACGAGTGCTATGGTGCTCTTTTACGCTTGATGAATATCTCAGCCTAATTCTTGGTCGGCCACGCCTCCTTCGCGAGGAGGACATTGATCAAGATTATCCTGCACTCGTCAATGATGAGCAGCTAGATCCTCATGAAGGCCGATCAAGTTTGCAAAGAAATTGTCTCATGGATGCACCAGTCTGTCACGCGAAGTTGTCAAAGATTCTTTCGAAGGCCTCGCAAGACCTATACACAATTCAACCCATCGAAAAGGAACAAGAGCTAATTCTTATTGAAAGTCTCGTGGGCAAAATTAAGCAGTGGCAATCTGATCTTCCACCACTTCTCGGGGATTGGGTGTGTCCCAGCAGTTTGATATCTATCTTTCAGAGACAGTTGACGGTAATAAGACTGGCTCGGTTCCACGCTTTGATGTTTGTAACTCGTCCATTACTACTTCGAGATTACTCCCAAGAGACGAATGCCTTAGGGGACTCCGCTCATGTATATCTAAGATCTTGCATCAGCAATGCTCGCGATACACTCGAATTAGTACTGGAATTGGCCAAAGATCGCCTGCTCTACCCAGCCTTTTGGTATACCCAGTATATCGCTTTCAACGCTCTATCAATTGTCTACATCTATCTGATACACACGAAAAGAGGCCGAATTCCCCACGCATGGCTTTACGCGAATGCGGATCTCGAGCCGCACGACATCGATCAAAACTCACTATACAAGTTAGCTGAAGAGACTCAATATCATTTGGGCCAAGCAACCGAGAGAAATTCTCTTGCATGGAGATATAACATCGTGCTCGAAGCTTTGAGATCGGATGCTACAAGGTACGCATCCGAGACGAGCAAGGATGCGGAACAATCAACAGGCAGAGCCCAGTCAGGCCACGACTCTTCTTTGGCAGTACAGCCTGTGAATATGAGAGATAATGTTCCTTTCGAATTGACCCCTGATCATTCTATTGTGGACTGGGACAGCTTACAAGGAGCTGGATCGTATGATTTGGGGGTTGGAAGCTTGTTCACATTTACGGGCTCCACAGATGAGCTTTGTCTTGACTTCTGGCCCCAGCTAGATCGCTTACCAACCTGTGAGCTATAAAACCTTCATTCTTGACTTTGATATTTAAAGGCTAACTCTTATTAAGCACTTAATTAGTGTGACCTCTCTTGCGAGACTTTTTCTATAACAAAGTACGACTTTGACCAATCGGGGGTAATTGTTTCAAAGAGTTTTTTGTTCAGGACACACATTGATGTTTTCAGTAACAATGAACCAGGAGCGGTGATCTGGAATTGATTGCTCGATAACCTCAGCAAATCTGAAAATGACGAATCCACGGACGTGGCTTAGATCGTGTAGCGGAAACCCGCCGCAACCTGCGCGGGAGTTGGACCATTTCGCCCCGTATCTTGGCCCCGATCCAGCTTTTTGTTTTGGCGGCTTAGATAGATTCGAGTTCCGGTAGCTAAGATGACGGTCAAAACAGAAGCGGCAAGATTAACCAAGAAGGCGGCTAGATAGCGTGGCTCAGAATAGTAGAGGTACGAGCCCCAGACTGTCAATTTAATATCAGCAAGGGACCCAGCGACACATGATCATTTCACTCATACCGTTCGGGGTATTGCAAACAGAGTTTATTATAGCAATTGCGGAGGCTCGCTTGATTGAAGGCTGTGATATTGTTCCTGCTATCCAGGACAGAACAACCACGCCTGCTGAGTAGAAGGATCCCGGAAGCAGCATCATGGCAACGTCTTTAAGATAGTCAGTATAATCTAATCTTCGACATAAAGGGTTTTGATCGAATGTGTGACCGACAGCGAGCGGCTGTATTTAGCGTAGAGACAGCAATTATGTTGGCCGCGAGACAAACAATCATTGGGCAAACTATGTGCAAGTAACGCTCTTGTTTCTAATACTTCATTAGAGTGATGTAATTGAAGGATTTCTGATACGTACCTTGTCCGAGTGGAAGCCGTTGATGATCATCGCGATGACGCAGAGAACATAAGGTGGCTGTATATGCTCATAATTAGTACCTTATTTTGGGTTAATTGTCATGATGAACGATACTAACCGCAGTAAGGCCATATGTTTTGTTGCGAGAATATCCAAGGGTTGCCACTACCGAAGGGAAGAAGTTGGTCACAGCCCCCACGATGTAAATCTAGACGAGTCAGCTAGGAGCATTAAATAATGGCCTGGAAGATATAAATCACGAACAGAGTAAAGTGTGCCCATCAAAAGCCAAGTCTTTGGGTCTGTAACAGCCATCATAACACCCTTGTAAGCGCTGACTTCATCGGGATTGTCTTGCTGGCCTTGATCTTCCTCAAAGCTCCACAAAAGATACTCATTCTCGAGATCACTAAATCCAGTGAGGGATTTCAGCGAATTGGGCAGAATAAATGCGAGTATCAGAGCAAGACCAATTGTGGCAGCACCCTCGACCAGGAAGAGCTATCAAGATTGTATGAGCCCCATTGTTTCAGTCTTACAATCCAAGAGAAAACTTACCCATCGCCAGCCCTCCAGACCATGATGGCCATCCAACTTCAATATTGCGACAGCAAAGAGTCCACCAAAGGCATTGCCAAGCTGAGAGCCAGAGTACAAAATAGCTGTCCTAAGTGTGTACTGTTTCTTGGTGTAGAACAATGACATGTAAAAAAGAGCGCCTGGGAAAAATACGGCTTCGACAAATCCCAGAAAGAACCGGGAAGCCATGAGGCCAGAGGCATTGTGAACTGCAGCTGTGCAGGCTGACAGAGCTCCCCAGAGACCCATTGAAAAGCATATGTATACCCCTGGTGCTTTGATTTTGCCGACTATGATATTCGATGGGACCTGCATTAAAACTACCGAAGCATTAGCTACCGTTTACTTTCAAAAGAGTTTATGACGCACTGTATCCAACGAACAAGATGCTGACACATGTTTGATACTGCACGTCCGTCATCTTCAAATCCTTTTCGATGTCGGCAAGTTTGGCTGCTGCGATGTTTTGTCGGTCGAGATAATTCATGATGTACATCAATACCATACATGGCATGATTCGTGCATCCAGTTTCAGAGTTGCTCGACGCTTAACCTTCTCTAGCTCGATGTCTGAAAGTGCGGCTAATGAGGCTGGCATTATGAGTGGTGAGGTAGTGTCGGGGTCCTTGCTCGGAGTATCAACCGCATACTCAACCTCTTGCGCAACATTATGCTCTTTATTGACCATGACGAATAAGCCCAGTTGTATGCTAGGTATGAAATGGAAACAAAGATACCGAAAATGTAGTTTGCAGGAGATTTCATAAGGATTTGAGTGAAAAAAATGGACACATTCTCCTCAAAGCCGTAAATATA